TTTGCTCTTTTATTGTCTGAAATCTCCTGGTTTCGGCCTTGTTAGAAAAAAGGCTTAAACTTTCTTGAAATGTCTTGACATTTTTCAGTTTGTGAATTAAGTTTGATGGATAAAAATGGGTTGACAAAATTAATCAATAACAATATCTATTATCAACTAATCCTTTAAACTATTGCCCAACAAAGGTTCAAATATTTCAGTGTTCCAGCTTCTCGCATGTGAAATATGCTAAGTAGAACTTGATTTTGAGTGAAATCATTCAAAAACAATCATTATTTACAGTCCTATTGGATTCTTCATGGATTTAGGTATTCTTCTCAAGAGGAAATAAAACACATGACACCTGAAACAGTGAAAACATTACACTCCTGAGGTACATATATGACATGGGAGGAGGGGCGTAGACAGAGTGAGGCCTCTGTAGCTGCTGAGTAAGAGGGTATGTGCCACGTCTCAGACCCTGAGTGACAGGTATTGACCCGCCCAGCCAAAAGACGTCTCTGTGGGAACGCTATTGATTATTGCCACAGCAATAAAGGTCCCGGAAGCTTGTGAGAATGTCACGACTCTGTGCTGCCTGAACTAGGCTGGGTCCTGATACACAAACACAAAGACAGAAACATTTGTCCCTCTGACACATCCTAACCTACAGCCACTTACTAGCTCACGCTAACTAAAGGGCTCTGACTGGGTGGAGAAAAGATGAAAGAAGAGATAGGTGGCATGGTGGTTGATATGTGAATTTATGTAAGGGTGACCTGCATGAGTAGTCCTTAAAACATATTTGACCCTTTTAGCGTTACCATGCAGATATGGCTTGCCTGAAGTTAAAGACATTTGTTTAGTTAAGTTTATTGTTTATTTGGTGAGGGACCATGTATAAAATATACTGTACATTAATCTCAATTAATGAGGGGAGATGAATTGCACCAGATTTAGCTGATTAGCTAGATTCCATCTGCAGTCCCTGGGCAGATACAGTATACACATAATGGTAATAAATTATAATAAAGTTAAGTAGCCACTCCAGTAAAAATAAATGGAAGTCAATGGAATTACATATTAGGTGTTCACAGCAATGCAAATTTATAGTTAAAAAAAAAGGGTAAGTGTTGAAAATGTTATGAATGAAAGTGAATGAAAGTTTACCAAGGTGCTTCCAGCAATGAAAAACAACAGCCAAAATGTTTAAAAAAATCGTTTTATTTCAACAAGGACTATGGATTATCTCAGATAAGATCATAAAAAAGACCTGTGTCTTTTCAATTGTCTTAAGATCATTTATTGTGTGTTATGGGTGCCATGGCATGTTTCCATTCACAACCACTGATTTGGAAGAAGGCAGAAATCTTAGAAATATCAGCAATTACTGTAAAACAGAATGTTGTGCATGTGAATGTACCCACCATTTGTCCACTTATCTACGGTATAGAGAAGTTCACTACAATTCTGAAATGTTTGTCACTTATTTTTGTGACACCCAATGGAGGTAAATTACATTTTACAGCATTAACAAAGCACAGTTCAGATTGATTTCACTACGTTGTCACACAGAACTCAATGGATCATGCAGGGTAAGTGCAGAAAATATTTAATTGTGTGTTACTAGTCCTAAAAACTGAATTCCATTAACCTCTGTGGGTTTCAGAGGAGGTAGAAATCTCAGAAAATCAAAGCAACTTTTTATTTATTTTTTATTTCACTTAAAGGGATTTATCTTCATTGTTAAACATGTTGAAACCTACAAATCTAGATGAAAAAATCTAGCATCTGCAAATCTGCATGGGTGGAAACCAGTTAAAATGATGAAATACATGTTTTTGAGTATTACTAGGGTTAATAAAAAAATTATGAAAAGCCAAACCACGGCACAAGCTTCAGAAAGTCACTCTCTCTCCAACAATCTGGTCAAAACAATACAGTTTTTTCCTTTGTTATTCTCTCCAACTCCCTCTGTCCTTTTTTCACACACCCCCTCACACAAACGCCATCTCCACCCTTGACCTCACTGTGAAAAGTTAGCGCACCCGAGGTTGAACTCTCCCAGATCTGCCACTGCCACAAACGCTGGGAAAGTGGCCCTGACATACGTGTATGCGTGTGTGCGTTTGTGTTTGAGTGTGGCAACACTTGGGTCTCATGAATAGGAGAGATTTGACCCTCAACACCCCTGACCTGTCCACACAAATGGCCCCCTTTAACCCAACTCTGCTATTGTCAGCTAAGACTGCCTTGGTTTATTCACACAGGCCACCAAAAGAGTCAAAATTCATTATATGCCACTTGGCTTATTATTTTCCACCAACGTTTATGCCTCTCTTCTGTCAGCCTCGTTCACGTTTTCCCGCTCCATTCACTGCTCTTTTGCTTACAGCCTCCGTCCTGACCTGAAACTTCTGATCTCAAAATTTCACTTTAAAGCCCAGAAAAATGAGCCCTAGTACTAAAATATTAACTTTATTAAATTCAACACAGATTTAAATGTACTCAGTTCTCAACCTAAAATGTTCCAAGAATAGATGGGGTCTCAATACAGGACTTGTTTGGATTACTTTTGTGAGACCAAATTCTTCTTTAGTCTAGGTGATTCAGTTTTGACATTTGACATTGAATATGGCGTTCCTCAAGGAAGTATTCATGGTCCTACTCTGTTTTCTCTTTATTTCTCTTTGTGCTCCCTCTGGATAAATAGTGTGCCTTTTGACTTAAGTAAGATTTCTTCAAAGATGTGTGCATTATTGCTTATGTTACTTAACATCGTACACTTTGCATTGTTCCTTTAATTTAGACATTCAATTCAGTCATAATGTGTGTAATATGTTCGAATGGGCTTATTAGTTCAGCTTATTTCTTCACAGCTTCTGAACAGAGGGCTGTTGTCTGCTAAAGGATCTTTTTTGACAACCAAGTGGCTGTTTAAACATACTGGATTTTGACAAATGATGTCCTAGGATCTTAGTGTTCTTTACTGCTTTTGAAAACAGTCTTGACAACAGCTGTCAGAGGAGTTTCTAAAACTGGGCCCCAGCGACCTCCAGGAGTCATTTAGGAGGTTCAAGGTGGTCCCTGCAGGAAACCCTGAAGTGAACACTTGTGTTGATCATGTTGAGGAACACAATGGGAAGTGGAGGCTGAAGTATGAGCTTATTAGGAGAAGAATGATAAATGAGAAAAAGTTGTTGACTCTGGGAATGACAAATATCAGAAACTGTTTATAATGGAAGCTATCTTATTAGAATGATTTAATCCTACTTTCTTTACCCATTCTTAAATAGGTTAGTGACCTAACAAGCCACACATTTAATCCTCTGGTCTGTCTGTTTGAAACTCATCCAACTCACCTAAACTCCAACTCCAGAATATGTTAATCTCTGTCCTCCACTCAGGTATGAGTTGTCTAATGCCTACTCAGTCACATGCAACAAATAAAAGAAGCATCGTTTGCCCCTTTTATTAACTGAGGTACTACTCTGTTTTATGATTTCTTGCTTAACAATGGACTCTGTGAGAGCGCCAAACTCTAAAGCCTCCTGAGGCTATAGAGCTGTAATAAATAAAGCGAGAGTGCAAATGGAAAATGGGAAATTACAAGTTGTATTTAAAATTTGAAGGGCCTCTTGGCTCAATACCTGGAACCATACAATGTTACTGTTGTGAACTGCCATGACTCCATTGATTCACTTAGGCTGAATGTAAAGCCTATGGAATCCCTAAGAGGACATTGACAATATTTTTATTTTTTTGTAATTTCTGGTGTGCAGCAGATACTTTCAGGTATCCACGATAAACTATCTTATGCTCATGAGGAAACTGAAACAGAAACAGAAACTATCCTGTGAGCATGAGAATGAATTGCGCACAAGATACTTTCTGGTGTTCATCAAAAAAGATTGCATGTGCATATTCTCATGCACACATAAAACGTTCTCATGAGCACCAGGTACTTTTTGGTGTGAATCAGAAACTAAAAAAAATATATATATATTCCTGCCAACGTCCGCTTAGGGTCCTTCGTATCGAGCCCATTGGTCATTGTGGGTTCTTCATTTAGCTGATCAAGCCTCTTATGTGTATTACTTTAAAATCATTATTTGTGGCTCTTTACACAAAAAAAGTATATCCCATTATCTTACTTAATGTCAGATTCAGTTTCAATTTGTCTTTTATTTTATTTTTAACACGGAGAGTGTGTGTGATGCTTTAAAGGAGCAACAGCAGATGCATCCTTTGGTGTTTTATAGAGCTCAGTGTTGCTTAAAACATATCAGGCAATTATTGTTATTATGTGGCGGAAAATCATTTCTCATAGTAAATGTAGTAATACAGATGCCCCCCCCCACCTCTTTAATCTGTAACAGTGCATCATTTTTTTCAGTTTGATTTTGTCATGTGAAATGGTCCTTTCCACATTTTAAGTAACTATTGTTGGCAAATAAAAGTAGAGAAGTCAAAAGTACAATCGTTCCGTATGAACGAGAATAAAACACTGATGTACAGCACAAGAAAACACCAATAGGGAACACAACAGAACTTGAGAAAATGTAATCAGTTACTTCCCACTATTAACCAAAGACAACCACATGAATCACACAGTAAGGTTGAGTAGTGGGCCTTTTCTTGGAGCAAACCTCCCTCTGCTGGTCAATCTGTGAACCTGCTGCCAAAAGAAACATCATCACCAACATGCCTACTATAGTGCGTTTTTGGGACAACTCTTTTTTTTTTTTTAAATAATCTTTTTCTGTTTTAAGTAGGCATATTTAACAAAATAAAGTATGTTAGCCTGGTGTATACATAATAATGCCAATCTCCTCATTATGTTCCGGTTGACTTCTGATTAGATGTATGAAGGAAATAAAAGTTCTCAGTTAATATTTCTGATTTAGACTTTTACGGCATGAATTATTCTTTTTTTTGTTTGAGACGTGATCAGCTGGTTTATTTATCCCCCCCCCCCCCCACAGGATGTTTGGTGCTACACGTCATTGCTTCCCCACTATGTCAACGTTACAGAGATTTACTCAGAACTAGTGTCAGGCCAAATCACGCCTTCATCTAATCTTTGGATTTATCGTTGTCAGACTTTCCTTGTGAGATGGAACGGCAATGCGGAAGTTGTAATTCAACCCCTTTTCGTAACTTGGCCTGGATTTCTTGATGGAAAAAACGAGTAGCTTGTCTTATAACTAGGGGGGGGGGGGTGTGAAGTTTTTTTTTTTTTTAGGGAAAACCCTTTTTTTTCTGGGACTGCTGACGCGTCCTGCGTGCCGAACCTGTGGATTCCAAAGCCTCGCAGCTTCCACCATGTTTCTTCACTTTTTAGCTTTATGGGTCTTTGTTTCACAGGCTGACTGTTACTTCTCGGAGGAAAAGTATCCGGAGGAGTCGAAAATGCAGCCTCCGACCGTGGTTGTCGCGATAATAGCCCGCAACAATGCTCACTCCCTGCCGTACTACCTCGGAGCTCTGGAGAGACTCAACTACCCCAAAGACCGCATCACTGTGTGGTGGGTTTCTTGCATGGACTCTGCATGCTCTGTCAGGCTGTTTGTAGTGACTCCTTTTGTATCCCAGTACAGCAGCCGTTCAAAAGGTCAACGGTATTTAAATGAGTTTGTGAAAGCAGCAACGTCGTACCCCCTCCCCTGTTCTCCCTGCGCCTCTCACTGCGGGCTGCTCAATATTTCATTTCCTACTGTGGATATCGTGACATTTTATGTACTGTGGAGATGCTTCTGACTAATTTGCTTCCTCAGACACGATTTTAATAAAGTCTGCTTTCCACTAACTGTTAAAATACTCAAAACAGAGCTGTCCTCTTAGGGTCTGCATTTGCCTCTGCTGGGTACTTGCATGCAGTTTATGTGCCAATCAAACCAACCCAGGTGTCATTTAAGATCTATTCTGCTTTGTTTAACTTGATGAACTTGCATCTTAAAGGAATTATTAACTGTTGCATGGCACAGTAGAGTTTGATAATCAGGTAAGACTGATTCATTGTCTGTAAAGATGAAGAAACATTTGGTGTTACATTTGTGAAGGTAAGGTAACAATGGTTCAGTGTAGGTGGTGTTTTCACAGCAGTGTGTATGCAGGATGTTCAAGAAAGACATTTTCTGTTGCACTTTCTGTTGCAATGTCTTGATTCACGTTAAACTAAGTTGTCTTGGAGTGTCACATTTCAATTACTCCATCACATGAATAACCTGATAATAGAAATACATTATCCCATTAATCCAGTGTGAGTGCACTTGTTGATTTACTCTCAGGACCAAAATAGCCTCCCATAGTAAGAGATGTAAAGGGGAGATTTTTTAGAAATAACCTTTTGCCAACCCTGCTTTTCAACAAGTCATATTTGCAGGAGTAGAAGTTCGGGCTCCCTGATGTTAAAGGTCATTTCCGTGTTAAATAACAGTTTCAAAGATTGCTTACAGTTACTCAGTGTTCACAGAAGAGCCAGTGTGACATCCTGATTGAAAGAAACTAGCCCACTAACGTGTAGTGCCTTCCTAATAAAGGGATCCTTAACTAAATTTTAACCATCTACTCGGTGTAAGAAATCTTTCTCAGCTAGAAGTCACAATGAATATCATGTGCATTCATTTCCCCTCAATGAAACGAGCATTTGAAACACAGTGGATTGGTGTTGAGTATTTATTTGACATTCTGCTCTCTCTGTGCTGCTCAGGGCGGCCACGGATCACAACACGGACAACTCCACAGCCATTCTGAAAGAGTGGCTCACTGTCATGCAGAAGTTTTACCATTATGTCGAGTGGAGACCGATGGACAAGCCCACGTGAGTCCAAACATGTTTTAAAAAGGTGTTTTCAGTACTTATCTGGGAAAAGGAAAGGAATCATTTTAAAACCAGGATTAGGGCTCATTAGATCAGTTAATGTACATGCTTTAATGCTGAAAGCTGGAAATGTGTTGTCTGATAAAATGTTCTGTTTGTCACTGTGCTGTTTGTTCTTTGTGTGAAACTTTGTGTGCTGCTGTCATGGCCAGGACTCCCTTTTAAAATAGATTTTTTTAACTCATTGGAAAATTCCTGTTAAAATGGCTGGTAAGGGCCGCTGGTGGATGGTGCTCGCTCCCCATGTGTGGGGGCTGTAGTCCTCCGGGCGGGCGGCCCGGGTTCGGGTCCGACCTGTGACTCCTTTCCTGTATGTTGTTCCCCTCTGTCTCTCTCCCTGATTTCCAACTCTGTCCACTTTCCTATCTTTACAATAAAGGCACAAAAAGCCCCAAAAGAAACCTTAAAGAAAATTAAATTCTGGTTAAATACAATTTAAAGGACTGCGGGCATACTTGATCAGGTGCCTTGAATTTGAGGAAAAGACATAAATCTGGGGACTTTCTTTAACTTGATCATGAGGTCCACAAATACATTTGCAAAAAATTGCACTTAAAGCACTTTTTTCTGGCTATTTTTGTCTGATGCAAAACCAAAGTGCATCAATTCAACTTTTAAAGCCTCTAAATCTGTACTTTACTTATTAGCCACAGTGGATCCACTGTGTAGCTTAAGACAGAATCTACAGTATTTGTTAATCTGCGTTATTCAGAATGATGGCTCTGCTTTTCCATATGATTAAATCCCTTCAAGACATTCATCTTTACAAGCTATCAGTTGAGCTAAAATGTAAGCAATGTACTGACATATACAACATTTCTTTAGGTGAACTGACAGAAATTGGGAAAAAGGCTTTTGGGTGTAATGACTTGAACTGAGCTGGTGTCCTTACATGTTTTTAAATCTAAAATGAAAGACTTGGAAGCAGACTTTGTTGTTGATGTCGATGTTTTACACCTCCACTGCTTGAACTACTGACTCCCAGATTTGATTCCCAGATGGTTCTCTCTTCATGCACATTTTTTTGTGTTTTGTAAATGGTACTTTGTGTCTCTGTCTGTTACTTTGTGTTTTTGCTGCTGACTGTCTTGGCCAGGTCTCCCTTGGAAAAGACGTTTCTAAATTCAATGGGAACAACCTGGTTAAATAAAGATAATAAAAAAATAGATTTACCCACACCCAAAGAAAATCTTTGTTTTAGGTCATTCTTTCTTTCGTTAATTTATTACTGAAAGCTAGAGTGCAAATTGGAACCAAAACAAACAGTGATTGTTTTTTCTCTCTTTCGCAGGTCGTATGCGGGAGAGTTGGGTCCAAAACACTGGCCCAACAGCAGATACGAGTATGTAATGAAGCTGAAACAGGCAGCTCTCAACTTTGCCAGAAAACGCTGGGCCGATTACATTCTGGCAAGTGTTCAAATAATCTTTGTTGTGACGGCGGTGTAAGATTCATATCGGTCTCTTCTCTTGATTTATCTGATGAAGTGTGTTCCCTTTCCGCTGCTCTTGTTTCATCCAAGAACAAGTTTTGGCATCGATTGTTCACAGCCTTTTCTTTTTTTTCTTCTCTCCTTTCTTTTGTTTCCTCTGCGACTCTGTTTCAGTACGCTGACACAGACAATATTCTCACCAACCCAGAGACACTCAACCTGCTGATAGCAGAGAACAAGTCTGTCATCGCTCCCATGCTCGACTCTCAGGGAGCGTACTCCAACTACTGGTGTGGTATCACTCCTCAGGTGAGTGTGAACACACTTTTATATCTCTGCATGCTCACTTGCTGTTTATCAAAATCCATCGCTCTCTTTCTCTCAGGGATATTATCGCCGAACAGCAGAGTATTTCCCAACCCGACATCGCCACAGACTGGGCTGCTTCCCCGTCCCCATGGTCCACTCCACCATGCTGCTGGATTTAAGGAAGGAAGGCATGAAGAAGCTGGCCTTCTTCCCTCCTCATGATGACTACTCGTGGCCTTATGATGACATCATTGTGTTCGCCTTCTCCTGCCGGGCTGCAGGTTAGTAACCAATTATTTTTTATTCTGTTTTCTCATGAAACCGCCTTAAAAGATGTCAAGAAAAATAAATATTTTGTTGATTTAGTTTTGAATTGATTCAATTCTGATGCTCAGAGATACAGATGTACCTGTCTAACAAGGAGCGCTATGGCTACCTTAACGTCCCGGCAAAACCTCATCACACCCTGGAGGATGATCGCCTCAACTTTGTCCATGTTCATCTCGATTCATTAAGTAAGAGCATCCCTTTTCACCCTTTCTCGCTATTTTGCAATGTTGATCAATCTAAACACTGACAGGGAACACAAACGATGGAACACAGTTTTTCTTGTGATGTTTACATTTTCAATTTGTCGTCTTCCTCCTTTGTTAGTTGATGGTCCTCCAATGCATCCCTCCCGCTTTGTCCACATGTTCCCCAAACAGAGAGACCTCATGGGCTTTGATGAGGTAAGAGCCAATGTTTTTTTTTTTCTGGTATGGATACAGCTTTTTTTAAGGGGCATCATTATTTCATAATATATGGATATAGTGTTTACTGGGGACTGAATTATTTAAACAGCTTTTGCATTGGCTGTTCACACTGTTCAATGTATCAGGACCAGAGACAAGAGTTTTCCACTTCAAGTAGTAAACTTATGATAGATGCTTTTAATGGTCCCATAATTTTTCTGAGGTAGTTTAAGCTAAAGATAAAGAGACTTGCTGGATGCACACCATCATTCATCAGCAGCAAACAAAGAGCATTTAAGTTTCATTCTCTGAGCATCAACAGTGAGAGGCAGTTGACGCGTGTCACACCCTCTGTTGATTGCAAGCTGAAAATCTGGGGCGGGATTTTCACGAAAATCCAAGTTTAAAAGAGTCTGAATCTGAAACTGCCAGCAGAACAAGCCTGATCTGAAAACTAGGAAGGTTTTGTCAGCTAGGTGGGTGAATCGAAACTTGCTTTGAGTAGATATTGATAGTGGGTCGTTGTCAGGCTTTGTTTGGGCTGACACTTCAGTGTGGCCACAGAGCCCGGGCATCCACGACTACTGCTTTGCCTATTTCCTCTGGTCATCTGCTAAACGCAACATGTGCTACAAAGACATCTCTGTCATTCATGGGAACAGGAAAAGACACATCTGTCATAGACAACGCAATCTTAACAACTTGTCTCTGCTTAAGAAAGCCTCTTCTACCCACCCTTCATTTACTTTTGGCCTCTGGAACTGAATAAAACTGAATCATCCAAGCACTTGCAAAAATGTCAGACATTCAGGCACTTGCCCTTCCTGAAACCTGGATCCGCCCAGAAAATACAGTCACACCAGCTGCTCTTTCTGTTGACACAGTGTTCTCACACACACCCCGCTCTGTTGGACGTGGAGGTGGTACAGGTATCCTCATTTCTAATACCTGGAAATTCAATAAACTCTTCCCGCTGAGCAACAACTCCTCATTTGAATATCACACAATCTTGGTTACTGCTCCTATTAAAATGTACATTGCTATCATTTACCGCCCACCAGGGTGTAATCTGAATGATTTTGTTGTGGAACTGGACATGCTACTCTCAGAAATCCCTGATGATGGAACACCACTGATTGTAATGGGAGACATGAATATACGCACTGATAAAGCCCAGGCAACAGACTTCCTTGCTCTCCTATCCTCATTTGACCTCACGCAAGTCCCAACTCCTCCTACCCACAAAGCTGGCAACCCTCTTGATTTAATTCCGACTCGGAACTGCTCAACAGCAAACCTGACTGTCACCCCCCTGCATCTATCAGGGAACTCCATCAGGCACACCCACAAATGATGTCATACCACCAAAACATGCGATCGCTCAAGCCAGCTCAGCTGTCTAACAAAGTAATGGCTGCCATGCCTGTCCATAAGGTCTTTACCGCACTCTCTACAGACGAGGCTACAGACACACTCTGCTCCACCCAGCACACTATTCATCTCTGAGCAAGCTCTGCCCTCTGGTGTCCAAACCCGCTCGCAAAACCCACCCTAGTTCCATGGCTTACTGAAGTCATAAGAGAGCAAAGAGCAGGGCTGAGGTCAGCAGAGAGAAAATGGCAAAAATCCAAACAGTCCGCTGACCTCAATGACTATAAGCAAAGACTTGTCTAAAAGCTTGTACTAGACTCTCGGCCCACCACCTGTCCTCTGGACCCAATACCATCAAGCCTCCTGCAGACCATTTCCTCTCCGCTTAATGCTGCACTTAAGCATATCATCAACTCCTCTCTGTCAACAGGTTTGTTCCCCACTGCATTCAAGCAAGCTCTGGTCACCCCTCTGCTCAAAAAACCCACACTAAACCCAACGCAGGTTGAAAACTACTCCGCTGTTCATTTCCTTACACTGGCTCCCAGTTACTGCTCGCATCAAATTTAAAACTCTGCTGCTCACTTAAAAACAGCGACAAAAACGGCTCCTCCTTACTTTAACTCTCTACTACCACTAATGCTCTGCCAATGAAAGGCGTCTGATCCAACCTTCACAACAGGGTCCTAAGACGCTGACTAGACTCTTCTCCTCTGTCGCCCCCTGGTGGTGGAATGAACTTCCAAACTCCATTCGATCTGCAGAGTCCCTCTGCACCTTTAAGAAAAAACTAAAGACCCAGCTCTTTCATGAATACCTACTAATGATGGTCTCGATATTATTGATGATGATGATGATGGTAGTGACGATGGTTTTTGTTTGATAACGATGACTTATAAGATGGTTTCTATACTGATTAGAGCTCTCAAGAGCTGCCGTCAATGTTGTGCTTTGCCTCTGTCAATGCCTGTCAGCACCTGTGTGTCCAATCGAACTCGAAGCTGATCGTTTGCTCTTACTGACATTGTTCCCTTTTTTCTAGATCCTTGCTTGTGTTGTACTTACTCTCTGATGTACGTCGCTTGGATAAAAGCATCTGCTAAGTGAATTGTAGAAAGAGACTTAAGCAGAGGCTGATCCAGGACTATAATCAGTGCAGGTGTGTTCTTGTAAATGGAGGTTAATTTCTACCTCCTGATCCATACCAGGAATGAAGCTTTTCAACAACAAGGCCATCATTAGTGTTGTATGGTTTTAATCAAAATCCTGGTTTATGCCTCTTGAGATCTTCCTTCGTCTTGACATCTGCTTTTAATTCAACTTGAGAAGCTACACAGTATGAAGGGAAATAATACGAGCACATTATAGGTATGATGACATACGGTTAACAGATTTGAAAAAAAACAACATTTTCCTACTCTCCTCAGATATATCTGATTAATCTGCGGCGACGTAAGGACCGCAGAGACCGCATGCTGCACTCTCTGAACGAGCTGGAGGTTGATGTCAAGGTGGTGGACGCTGTGGATGGAAAGTGAGTGCACGCTCTAAAAAAGACCTGACATTGTGACTACACCAAATTGGCTCGATGGAGAGTGTGTGTATTAATCAAGACAAAAATAGACGATATTGACAAAATATAGATTTGAGAATAGTTCACCATAAACAAATAACACTGCTAACAGAAATGTACTATACTGATTATCAGCTTATAGTATTGTAGTTACTGTACTGTAGTTACTGTACTAATGTATTCCTAGTTCTTGGTTATTGGATACAATTCTGATTTATAAAGAACATTCTGGTAATGAATATCTTTATTCAGATTTGTTATATGCTTCCTTTGAACCTTCAATTATCTGTAAGACTAAAAAATGTTTTACTAATACCTTCTCCTCCTTAAGAGATGTAAGGATATGTTCAATAATCGAATGGTTCTCAGATCATACTGTGGGTTTATTGTACAGTTCTGATCACATTCTGAGAAAAAGCAGAATGAGGACATCTAAGACTGAATGAATATTGCTTTATTTAACCCTATGCAGTACATCTGGACAGCCAGGGACTGTTGTATTTTGGAGGTTGTCCTGGTGGAGTTATTCATTGTAGAGTTGCACATGATGTAGAATCTTCATTTATGTATACTCTGAAAGACAGCACAATATTTACCTGTCATATCTGAGATTCTTTATGAGAAGCAGGGTGCATGTGACAGTGTAAAATGTGCTCTTCTTTGTGTGTTCATGCAGTGCACTGAACAGCAGTGACATAAAGATCTTGGGTGTGGACCTGCTGCCAGGCTACTACGACCCCTTCTCTGGACGCACGCTGACCAAAGGAGAGGTGGGCTGCTTCCTCAGCCACTACTTTATCTGGAAGGAGGTGAGAACATCCATCTTTAGAGGTGTGACAGAATAATTAAAGCTGAGGTTTGATTCTAATCTAATCCATACTTGTTCAATTGTGAAATTGAATGCATATATCCTGCAAAATCTGTTGTTGTATATACACTAGCTTTGTCTCTGAAAATTGAAAAAAAAACAACACAGTCAAAGCAAGTTAGTGACATACAGTATATGAACCCCTCTCCGACTTCTGTCTCTGCCGGCTATTCTTCTTTTTTATGTCCATGCCTTGCACTTTACTGTAGCTATCATGATAGCGATTAAAGTTGCTTACCTTATAGGCTAAGATAATCTCTTTCCCATTGGCAAGAGGTGTGTATTTGTCTAGCCTTTGAGTTACAAATATCAACCAACTTTTCCAGAATCTCATATAATTTAAAAAGTAGCATCCTGTTTGTTTGGTCGCTACAAAAATGTAAGTGTAAAAATGACCACCTGGCCAGGCTAGCTTCTTCTTTTTCTTTCAATTCCTGTGCTAAGTATAGCTAAATGAAGCTAAATTAACACCTGAATGGGCAGTTGAATGTATAATCTAATATTAAACTCTCAAAATGCATGAGACCTTGGGGATAATTTATCTATGTTTCCACATATTTATAAGTAATGAAAGAAAGAATGTCATCTGCAATGTGGCAAAAAAAATCTCTTCTCAACTTCTTTGAACTTTTCACTTAGGTTCACAAAAGGGATGATAATTGAAATTAACATGAACAAAAAATCTGAGATATTTGTCCTCAGTATTCCTGATCATCTCTAAAAAAAGATTTTTTTCCTTTCTCCTCAGATGGTGGATTTGCAGATGGATAAGGCGCTGGTCTTTGAGGACGACGTTCGTTTCCAGGCCAACTTCAAACGACGAGTCCTCAGATTGATGGAGGAGGTGGAGCAGGCTGAGCTGGACTGGGACATTATGTAAGATTGATATGTCTTATGAAGGCAGTTCTTGTTATAAAAGGGTTAAACAGGGAAAGATAAGGTAAGGTTAAGTCCGGATGTTATATATGTAGTGTATATGTGAGGAACGGGATCAGACTCTTTTGTTTATTTTCTGTTGCTATGGTTTCTAAAAGACAAAGAAAACTAATGTTTGTAACAGAACAATAGCTTATTTCTCTGAAAGATAAATAAATAAATACATAGAGCTTGGACACAAGATGAAAGCATTCAAAAGTGGTTGTCAGCAGGAAGATTGGAAATGTACCAGCATCTTTGTTTTCCACTTTGTGGTTGCCGTAGCTCTTTTAAAAGACACATGTTCAACAAATGCTGCAAATAAATGATCCTGCAAAAAAGAATTTTCCAACACATCTGGCCACAAAAGAACAGCAACAATGCACCAGTTTTCAGTACTCAGAGGTTTCAGGTATTTGCCACTTTATTGTACCTCCTAATCCTCTTTTTCCCCCTGGCTTATTATGGCTTTATATTGCTGCAGATACTTGGGCAGGAAGCAGGTGAATCCTGGAAAAGAGGAGGCAGTGGAGAACGTTCGAAACCTGGTGATGGCTGACTACTCGTATTGGACTCTGTCCTATGCCATCTCCCTGCAGGGAGCCCAAAAACTGCTCAATGCTGAGCCTCTGTCCAAGATGCTGCCTGTTGATGAATTCCTCCCCATCATGTATGACAAGCATCCAAAGTAAGTTTGACTACAGCTCATTGCTTTATTTGTGCAGCATTCTATTCTCATACATTGTTTCTTTTCAATCATTTATATGTCTCTGAATTCTCAGAACTCTACATCCTCTGCTGTGAGACCTTTTGAAGCTAAAAATGACGACCTCATAATTCGCTTAAAGCATTCCTCCCTATAGTTGCACAAACTTGTATACATGCTATGCCGGTTTATTTAGCTTGCTTTTGTGGATAAGTAGATTAAAGAGCTGACGGAAAGTCTGAGGTTTACTTTTTTTTTTTTATAGTTTCTATGAAAAGAAGGTCAGTTTGGTGATAATATCTATGCCTGGCTGTAAAATATGTTAAGATTGTGAGTTCAAAAAGAACACCACATTCCAAAATAGCTCCTAAATCTTTCTGAAGATAGTCCTTTTCTGTTTAACAGATTTTGTGGCATTGTCTGTTCTGGGAGTGATTCTCTGGATTATGGGCAGCTGTTTTAGTATAAAGTGTGTTTGCCAGACAGACCTGAACAGCTTTAAGTGGATGCAGATGAGCTTGTGACTATCTGTTGCTGAACTTTTACAAATTTAAAATATCACAATGATGGTTCACTGCCAACAGAAATTTAATTACTATTGGAGGGATGGCATGAAACGTGTTAGGATGTTCCTTTTAGGATCCAAAAAAAGCTAACCATAGCATTTTAACAGAAAACAGAAAAGAGAGAACAATAAACTTATGCCTGCTTCAAATTGTAAGCATTGTAAATATGACATGCTAGCATGAATCTGTTAGTTTTTTAGCCTGAAAGAGCTGCAAGTATTGCGTAAGACTGCTGTGTACCATCTGTATTTTATTTGAATGTGGCATGCCTGTGTTAGCAATTCTTAGCCTTACAGAGCTGCTTTAGACCTTTTTGTTTACTTTCTTTTGTCATATTGGCACTGTGGCATGTTAGCCCGTGCTAGTTTTTTCTCAGCCTAACAGGCGCTGGTATGGCTATTGTTAACTTATTGCCCTTGCCATTGTAGCATGTATTCATGCTTGTCTTAGTAATATGCTAACCGGTATTGTCTCTAGGCTAATTTACCTCCTTTTACTATCATTGTTGTTATGGTATGTAATAATAAGCACATCTATTTTAGTGTTTTATCAGCCTCACAGAGCAGCAAGCATGGTTGTGGTTTTTTTTACTTTCTAGCATTGTCATTGTGATGTTTTAGCATTCCTGTGTGCACATTAGCCTTTGACAGAGACACTTTTCTCTCTTTTGTGCTAAACTTTTCCAAGGTTTCTCAAAACAGCAACTACATTTATGTCTTCTTTGTGGTCTGAAAAGTTGAACTGCTTTTCTTTGTCTACCCACATGAATTTCTTTTTTTTTTTTTTATCACAAAGGCCTCCCCCCATTGCTCATGTGTAAGGCTGTATCTAAGTCGGGACTGATTTCTTACCCTTAACCTTTCAAATGAGCCCTTGCCGAAAAAGATTTCCTCAGAGCCCTGCAGTTCTGATCAGAGTAACTGGGACCCGTATGACTGTGATGAAATGCACCTTGGCTTTGTGAGGCCTGCAAACCAGAAGGCTTGGCAGTGTGTGACCCATCATGTGTGGAAAACTGGCTTATAGCCAACCCACTTTCTCTTTTCTCTCCCTCTTTCTCTCTCACCTCTGTTAGCCTAATTCCATATGCTTGACTAGTTTGCTAAGAATCCCAACAGTTTACCACGTTGGTCCTGCTGTTGCCCTTCATGCTGAGAGTTCCTGAGCTGAGTTTGAAACTCTGTCTGCATCTCTTGTTAAATTGGCATATATTAAAAGTACATCAGGAATTATTAATCAAATGATTGGAAAATATAATCTCTTATTCTGATTTAATTCTGTTTTTTATGGTGCCATTTTAAACATTATAAGTATTAAACCAATAAAATTTGTTTCTCTCTCTGCAGCGAGAACTACATGTCCCATTTCCCCAACAGAAACTTACAAGCCTTCAGTACACGCCCCCTTCTAGTTCAGCCTTGTCACTTCGCCGGTGACCCAGAGTGGGTCAGCGACACAGAGACGTCGACTCTGTGGGACGACGACTCAGTACGCACAGATTGGAGGGGTTCCCACAAGACCCTGAAAGGGGCCGCTCCACCCGAGATGCTTTCAGCTGCCTACAAGGACGAACTGTAGTACGAACAGACGGTGCTGGACGTGTGTCAAAGGTCAGGAGTTCACACAGCGAGACCCTGAGAAGAGCGTTCAGTGTTTTCAGACTTTATTTCAATCCACTCTGTGTCACATCACTGACATGCTCAGTATCATGCAAACTGGACTTTGTTTTTTCAAAGCATGTAAGCAGGTGTTTGATACAAAATGATTTAGTGTATTTTTAGTGGGAAATAAACAAGGGATGGTGAAAGAGAGTGTGTTTAAAGATTTGTAAAACAATGTGTTTTAATACTTGTACAGATATCTTAACAAAACTCATTTTTCTCTTTCATTTCTCTTTTCCAGTGTTGCTTTATCCATCAGTCTATCCATTTTTTCTCTCCCATTTTTGCATGTCTTACCTCTTTCTTATCTTTAACAGATAGAGTTATGTATTACAGAATAGCTCGACTGACCTAAATCAACATCTTTCATGACTTTTTGAACAGATTAAAAGCTGAGGTACCTCATAGTTTTAAGGAATGTATGTGACTGTTCAAGTGCTTTATTCAGGAAATATGTTAGTTTAACACATTGAATGTTTGTATCTAAATAATTAAAGTATTTCAAAATGTTTTTTTTCTCCTTGAAAATAATAGTCATGTATAGATTCACTGAAAACATTGATCTCATGTGACATACTTCTGCTCTATGGCTGTGTTTTAATATTTCACATTTAGTCTCAGACATTAGACGTGAAGATCTGATTATGTTTGATTTTTTTAGTTTAGTAATTCTACTTCCACCAGGTTACTATTATACTCTGTCTCTTAAGTATCATGATGTTTTCAGATGTGTTTACATAGATTTTAGATTCAAGGATATTATCTCTTGCACTTGAGCGATCACAAAAAAGACATACAGCATGATCTGTCATTGCTCCATGAACTAGTGACTGTTGGCTCTAATATTGGCATAAATGGCTTCTCAAGATGTTAACTCCAATTATCAAAGCGGAGGTTGATGCACCTTGTGGTTATCAACTGACCTTTTTTGCAAAGTGCAATTTTTCAGAAATATCTATCTACTTCTCAGTGCTTAATTTTATTTTGCCAAATTATTACTGCACTCATCAAGCAAAGGTCTTCAAGAGCTTTTTTAAAACACAACCTTTTTATAGCTTTTTTGTAGCATCACTGGGATCCTAAAACCTGAGACTGTGTTGACAGTGTGTCCGTGCAGGGTTGCAATGCAAGTTACTGATGTAATAATGATAACCCTCATGGATTTTCTTTAGGATGATTATGTTACAAACAATTTACATTTGTCTCTCTGGTCTTACTTCATTTATTCACTTCCTATTTTAAGTGCTGACTTCTCTTTTTATGTCTTTATTTATTTGTAAAGTCTATCTTGATTTTGTTAACAGATAAGTCAGATCGTTATATGGTGCAAACAATCAAAGTGCAATGGCTTTTCTGCCAAAATGGGTTTTCTCTCTCTCTCTCTCTCTCTCTCTCTCTCTCTCTCTTTCTCTCTCTCTCTCACACTCAATGAGATGATGTTATAAATGTGGGTGTCTGGACAATTGTTAAGCAAACTTTTCAAGCATCAATAAATGTTTTTTTTCCCCAAATTTTCTCACTAACTTAATGTCCTAACGTTAGTTAAAGTCTAGTTTGTATGGAGAAAGTACTACAAGTTGTAATAGCACACATCCACCACTAGAGGGTGTGATATCTTTCCTTTTTGCAATAAACAGGCAGACCAGGCATGGAACTTTTTCCTGCCAAGATAAACATTTTTTGGCTTGAATTCTTTGAAGTCTGTTACAAGATTACTTTGCATGGTTGGTTGTTTTATTTTTAAACTGTATTTCACTTTAAAGTATCATAAAACAATGTCTCTATTTTATTCAATTGCATTTTAAAAATATTTTCAATTTACATTAAATTCTTATTATACACCAAAGGTGTCTGCAGATGTTTTAAAGTCGATCCTGTCTTCTTGCCTTAATTGCTGCTGGAAGAACCTGTAGTTGAAATTAAAAGAATGCACCAAAGGTCTTCACAAATTACAAGTATGAGGCTTTTTCACTGCAGGAGCATTGCACACACACGCACGCACGCACACACACACACACACACGCACACATGCACACACTTACTCACAGTGTGTGTGTGTGTGTGTGTGTGTGTGTGTGTGTGTGTGTGTGTGTGTGTGTGTGTGTATGTACATGCCATATTCGGAATGAAAAGCAAAGGCAAAAAAGTTCAGAGGTCAGTTTAGACCTTTCCTCAGTTACTGATCTAAAACCGGATATGCACACAAGCACACAAAGCATAAGGGACTAACTGATCCAGTTCTGCATGAGGCTGTATGAACTGGAGAAAACCTCCCATCACCGGAGGGAACCTGCATTCAGCTCCTGATTGGCTACTGGCTTGGAGGTGTGGATTCATGGGTCAACTTCTCAAGCAGAGAAACTGCCAATGGGCTTCAAGCCACAAGGTTTCATAATGCAGGGTTACATCAGGCAGTTGTATTTGGATTTAATGTGCCTCTCACAACAGGGCCACTATATGTAAGCTATCCTATGCTTCACACACATAAACTCAATACAGACAGACATGACATCATGTTCATCTGATGTTCTACTTCTGCATGGGCTGCTTTCTGGACCTTGAGGACTCACAACAGCTGCTACCCCGACTTCCCCCCAACACTGCCACAAATCTCACACTACACACACACTTTCATCTTCACTGTAAAACAACAAATCATCCGCTTTCTATCCTATCAAGGTGCTTATTCGTTCACTGTCATTACGAAATGTCATTTTATATGACATTGTGAAAAAATCAACAAATACTAAAGCATATAACAATACTTGTTTATAATTCCTGTAAAGACTAAACAGCCACTGGTGTGTAAATTCCAGGAGGGGAGGGGAGGGGAGGGAAGGGGAGGGGCCAAGACAGGAACTACAACTGGCAGTTTGGTGACAGCTTGTGAACCTCTGCAGCTGGGCCACACTTTAAAACTTGATTTCTCTGTGTCAAACACCAATTTTCCGGCTATTTCTGCGCCTAAAAATAAGATATTTTTTTTGCAAAAAAAGATATCTTGCATCGATCGCATTGACCCGGGCAAGACTTGTGACACGCGAAGTGTAAGTAAGTGTGCATGTGGAAAAGCCTCTCAGGCAACCTGAAGTTCCTCTCTGTGAATTCACAGGTCGTAACGTTGTTTTTGGAAATCACATGCCGGCTGAATGCCACGTTTACTACAGCGTCGAGCTACAAGCTGTTCTGTTAATTTTGGCGGTCACGCTTAAATGCACGGTGCTCTGTTATTAATGTGCACGTTTATACGTCATTTTCACTGAAGGGACACTCGGTGTTGTTGATGCCATTTTAAGCCTTCTGCATGCACACTTTGTTTTTACTCCTCGCCTCAAGACCTGGTTGAAAAGTTGCATAAGCTTGAGCTGCAGCAGCACGGCCACATCACGAATGAGCGCTTGGGTGTTGTAGACGGATAAAGTCCACACTGTCTCCCAGCTGGACATGCACAAGTCACTCTAATCCTGTTTACCTTCATTTACAGGTTCAATCACTTGCAGACAGGTTTGTTATTGTTAGTATATTTAACAGATTAAGCCCAATGCTTCTGTCTTCTTGTCATTCAGTAAATCCACACATCACTTGGGTTATTCATGTAATTAGGCTTGGTTAGTTATTAACTGTTCTTTGGCCTGCTTGTAGCCCTCTACTATCATCGACCACAGGGCTGAGAAATCATTACAACCTTCACAGTCACAACTATCAGCTTGAGTTGCACTTGTGAACGAAGGTTGTGGTCAGATTATACTCCTGGGACTTGCAGCCAAGTGAACATTTTCCCTTTTGATTGTTAGAAATGTAGGTCACTTATCAAAGCAGGTGCAAACATTGTTATCTCAAACCACTTGTTGTTACCTTTCAACTATGTTGCAAGAATAATAATACACGATTCCAGTTGTTACTGATGCACAAATGTTGTATTTGATGCTTAAATTTGATTGTTTTGTTTTTCAGTCACAGAATATACAGTGTTTATTCAGTTGTGCTTTTGTCTGACAGTTGCGTAAAATGTTGTCCTAAATTGCGCTGAAATGACTTTGCAGTAAAACCATGAATGTTCTAAGGACACTTAATGCATCTGCAGCAACGCCTCATGCCCTTACTGTGTGTCGTCTGTCTGTCCACAGGGGCCATGGCCTTCCTCGGGAGCACATTGCGGCGGATGGTGACGGCAGTGCGGCCTCCACGCTCTCCCTTGTGCCGGACACCTGCTCGCTCCTGCAGCTCTGAGCCCACCAAAGAAAAAAGTGTCCCCTATGAGAAGACACTCAAACAGAACGATAGAGCCTCCTCTGGACCCACTAAACCTTTACCTAGGTTAGCTACCAGCATGGTTACATGTTTGGGACTGTGCTTAATCCTGTTGGTGTCAAACTGACCGTTTATCTTGGTAGTTCTTGCAGCTTAGACCTATTTAGTGTCATGGATCAGTATTGGAATATCACTCATGATGACATACGTTTGTATATATAAAATAAAGCTATCTTAACTGCGAAAATGGATACAAACAATTGTGAATGATAACAAGACTCAAACATGTTTCGATAACATTTCAGATGGAGAAAAAAAACCCATTAAAGCAATAGTCAACAATGGAAATGTGTTTATTTGTTTTTTTGCTAAGATTTAGATGCTAAGCTAGGTGTGAGAGCCAGTCAGATGAGTTAGCAATGGGAAGAGAGGCTTCAGCACAATGTATTCCACCCATAACAGCTGTCCTTTTTCTTCTTTCTTTTGTGATGGTTAAACAAATACAAGTGCTGAGGTTTAAAGACTCTTCTATTAGCCTGGATAGCCTTCCTGCTAACCTAACAAAACCAGCTGTTGTGGGCGTCACAAGATTAAGATTAAGATTATGCTGCAGCTCGTTTGTGTTTTTCTGCTACCACCCTCAGATCAGCAGATGCGGTGGTGATCGGAGGAGGCAGTCTGGGCTGTCAGACCATCTACCACTTGGCTAAAATGGGGATGACCAATGTAGTTCTGCTGGAGAGAGACAGACTTACTGCCGGCACCACCTGGCACACTGCAGGTAAGATTATAGACAAGTGGAAGGGCTGTGTGTTTACCATATGTGAAGTGAGGAGCATGGAGATACAAGTGTTTTATTCTGCATTATTAGCATGTTTCTAATCTACTTTCAGAAGTGATATGATTACAGTGTAGAAGGCAAATGATGACTCTGTACTTATCTAGCTACAGTATCTTTTTTCAAATGTAATTAAAGTATTAGTAAGCATTATTTTTACAACTTGCTCGAATGTGTGTGTTGAATTTGTAGGAGCCAATTTAGTGCGTGTGTGTATTTATGTATTGTATTTCATTGGCTTTTGTGAATATGTTTATTTATGTACTGAATTTGGACACTAAGTGGTGATAATTGATCATTTGGGTTAATTGGTCAGGTGGTTGGTTGGGTGTTTATATGTCACAGGTGAACAGGAAACGAGGACATAGGTGGTGGGAACATACAGTTCTTACCGTAACACAACATAACGCAAGTAGGCTGTTTAACATAACAAAAGAACGACAACCAACAGTATAATCTGTAACAACTCATCATATTATCGTCACGGTTTGTCTCTACTTCATATGTGACAATAAACTGGAACATCAGAAAGTGCTTTAATGTTGGACATTTGTTTATTTTCCATACACCTATGCAAGTGACTAAAGGCAAGATAAGACATTTGGACGTTAGATAGTCACTACAGAATTGTTAACATGAGTGTGTTTGTCGCTTAGGCCTGCTGTGGCAGCTGCGGCCCAGTGATGTCGAGGTCGAGCTCTTGGCTCACACGAGAAATGTGATCAGCAAAGACCTGGAGGAGGAGACGGGTCTCCACACAGGCTGGATCCAAAATGGAGGACTCTTCATCGCCTCCAACAAGCAGAGGCTGGACGAGTACAAGCGCCTCATGTCGGTAGGGACGAAAAAGATGGTCACATATAGAAGTCTCTTCTTATGTTTTGCATGTTTTTTTTTCTTTCATTCTTGGCAAATAAAAAGTCATAAACATATATGTGCTTATTGAAAACAGAGGTTTGATAGCTGTAGGTTTAAGCGGTGGCCTGTAGAGAAGTTTGTGTGTGGACAAACTTTCAACAGAAGATTTTCAACAGGAGTTATGAGATATTTGGTTTGTGATCGGATATGGTTTGCTCCACATGTAGCTACACAGGACCAGGTAAAAGACTTTACCTCCATTATGTGTCCTAGAGGTTTCGATGTTCACCTTACCAATGCATGGTGTAAAACGTATCCAACCAGGAGCAGTCAACATGATCAACTTTAACAAATACAAACTAAACTTTTGATACAGGTATGCTACTGGTGGCTCTAACGCAACTCCTCTAGAGCTGCTTTATTGTAAAAAAAAAAAAAAAAAAACGTCAGGTCAACGCTTTTCCTGTGAAGCACATGCTGAAATTGAGCTCAAAGATTTATCATTAGATGTAGCAAAAAAAGGCTACATGTTGAAATGACAACAATCTCAGGTCAAATCTCCCCTTCTCTTTTAGCTGGGTAAAGTTTATGGTATCGAGTCTCATGTCCTGTCACCTGCTGAGACCAAGGACCTGTATCCTCTGATGAACGTCGATGATCTGTATGGAACCCTGTATGTACCTAAAGATGGCACCATGGACCCAGCCGGCACATGCACCACCTTGACCAGAGCTGCATCCGCCCGGGGAGCCACGGTAATGTGCAAGGCTAATTTCATCATGGATGAACATTACATAAATACAGTGGATGTGCTTGTTATTGTAGTCTAGTCAAGCTAACAAAACATTTTTTTTTCGGTTGTTAATGTATTGTCTCAATATGTGAATTTGAAGATCAGCAGAATGGTAAAGTTTGGTGAAAGCTACGATTAGAAGCTCATACATCATCAACATCATGTAAAGTGCATGGATATGGTAAACTGATTTAAAACCTGTTAATAGCTGTAGGAGAAATGTGTTAAAATTGAAAATGCTTTTCAGTTTGAATGACTTTGGTCATGCAAAAAAAAAAAAAAAAAATCCATCAAAGTGCACATTTTAAAGTATTCTAGTTCTTCTTCTTCACTTGCCACTCAGGCTAGTTAGTCATTTAGTGAGCTGTGTAAAAGTAGCACTCTTCTGTTTACATGTAAAGCCAGTGTAGATAGCTGAGTCCTGACCTTGTGTAAAGCTAAACATGAATTTCTGTTTTAAACATATGGCTTCTTTAACAGCTTTGAGTGAATGTGACACTAAATAGTTCACATTTTAAACTCATCTTTAGCTCAAATGATCTTAAAACTGCTGCATATATTCTTCAGCTTTCAATGCATATTTTAAATAATTTCGTAACATTTGTGTAAGGATATTTCACATAGAGGCTGTTTCTTTAAAGAACATTTTTTTCTATCTTCAACTTTTGGTCTTGTGAAGGTTGCTGTTTTTTGGGTTATATCACCATGGTAACTGAGTCTGCACAGCTGCTATAAAGCATGATAAGCTTTGGCTGCTGTCACAGATGGATATGTGGAGAACTAACATGCACTTTGTTTTGATGTATTGATCTCATTGTTCAGGTTTTCATAATGGTTTAGAATTTCGCAGCATTTGCAGAATAATGAAAATATGAATAGGATTAGCCATTAGTTATTTAAACCGTTCAAAATAGGACTGATTGATCTATAGACTGACCCAAAACTGCTTTCACTGCAGTGTTAAAAAAATGTCAGGCCACAGTTGTGAAAAGAAATATAACTACCTAAATGAGCTGATACTGAAAGGGCTTCCATGTTCATTACATGTTGGGAATCTTACCAGGATGGAGCACAACATGTATATATCATCTGTATGGCGTTTGTTCATTTCCCCCCCCACTCTGCTCTTCAAATCAAAGGTGATCGAGAACTGCCCCGTGACTGGTATCCAAGTACGCGCAGATGACCTGGGAATAAAGAGAGTGAAGGCAGTGGAGACCGCCCATGGGACCATTGAGACGCCCTGTGTGGTGAACTGTGCAGGTGAGACTCAGACACCATCAACTAAGTGATCATAGATAATCATATAAAGCTTTATAAATAAATCTAATTTCAATAGGAACAGGTAGTCGGTGCAGTCTGTAAGCAGTGGGGTCATGGGCTCCTTTTATTTTTAGTCAAATTCTGTTCACTTCTGCAACAAGTAGTTGTTCGTTTTCTTCAATAAGTTTGGGTTTAGCAGGTGAAGAGAAGGTTAAGAATATCTATATGGCTAGTAATAAAACAAAATTAGCATAATTCTGTGATTATAGAAAAGCTCTGACATGGACATCTAGAACATCTTTAATCTTTATTCTAACATCATAAAATGAGGATTACAATTCTCACACCAATCCCAAATCTGTAACTCCTGTTTTATTCTGTTTTTTGTTTTTTTTTAATGTTGAACATTGACTTTTTCTGGCTTTTCTGCCCCAAAAATTGCATCATCATCCAGTATTAAAGTCACGATTTTGTGGTTTTTATGCTCTGTGTGTGTGTGTGTGTGTGTGTGTGTGTGTGTGTGTGTGTGTGTGTGTGTGTGTTCCATGCAGGTGTGTGGGCCACCAAGCTGGGTGATATGGCCGGAGTCAAGGTGCCGCTTATCGCCATGCATCATGCTTATGTGGTGACAGAGAGAATTGAAGGTATACAGGTAAGAACTCCATGTGTCATATTTAACAAGTGGACTGCTATTTATATGTACAAAATGAACCACTGACAGAGTGATCTTTAGCCCCTGATAGCGTGCTGGCATGTCCCATTGCTTTGTAGCTTCTTATACTGGAAACAAACATTGTCAACTAAAAAACAAACTGTTTTAATGCAAGACACCAGAACAGGAAGTAGACTCCTTCGTTACATCTCTAAACCAAGCGAATGAGGACACTCAATTTGATCTCTGTAATTCTGATCTTTTTCTAATTCAGATGTTATTCAAATTGTTATTTCCCTTCCTGAGGACTGCCAAGCTGCCCTTGAGCAAGGCACTGAACCTCAAACTACTCGGGGAAGATAGTCCCTGTGCAGCTCCCCTCACTCTGACATCTCTCCATTGATGCATGTCTTGTCACCTGTTTGTGCTCTCAGGCCTGTGTGTGTGTGTGTGTGTGTGTGTGTGTGTGTGTGTGTGTGTGTGTGTGTGTGTGTGTGTGTGTGTGAGGCATTTCTCACATTTTGTTTCCCGTAAAGCAGCAGAATGTTTCCAACAACCACTTCTAACCTCTGAAAAAAAAGAAGCTCAGAGGACGAATGAGTAACTTTCATACTAGATGATGAAATGATAGTACCTAGAAGGTCACAAATCCATAGGTAGGCGTGAAGCTTTACAGTTCACCAAACATGATATGTCAGATCAGAATAGGATTCAGGCATCCTTTTAGAAAAGTGCCAAACGTTTTTAATGTTCTTTCTTTTGTCTGCATGGAGTCTGTCTGACCAACAGGGGGCACTGTGAGATTATAGATGATCACTTCAAATGATCTAGACTGACGTTAGAGAGTGTTGGGATGAGGCTCTGTGCAGATTGGGTTGTTTGTGTTCTTCTAAATTGCTGAAAATGTCTATTTTTGTGGGGTGCTTTGAGGTCCCTCTGTATGCAGATTCCACACGTCTGTCAGGGCTTGTGAACATGATCCACTGTAGCTCTGTGATTTTGCATCTTGTGTGCATTGGGTTTAGTTAGTGTACACATGCATATCTGTACTCTGGTGCTAGGCTGGTGGTTTTTAGGCGGGCTGTCACAGCTCCCCTTCCCTCTTATGTAGTTTAAGAGCAGCTTAGCCAGCATTACTGCCACATCATGTACTCACAGACATCAGCCCACACACAAAATGACACACTCACTCACACACTCGGATGCCATTAGGAAATCTGTTCCCACCAGGACGAGCAACTTGTCAGCTCACACATCTCGTGCTGACCGTGTGTGTGTGTGTGTGTGTGTGTGTTTTTGTCCCTTGAGGCTGTGTTGGAGTTGCTTTTAAAGTTCCACGCACGCAGATAATGACTGTTGTATATTTTTTTATCTGCGTGACTACATGACAGACAGACTGTATTGAAGTTCAGCGCTCAGTATTCTGTGTTCAGTATTGATCACACGAGTTAAGCTGCCTGACTTTAATCAGCACAGAGGAAAGAGGAGAGGGAGTTTTGATTTGTGAGATGCCGTGCGCCATTCTCCAAATGTCAGCCTGTTCATTGGTATTTTGGTTTTGTACCCAGAGAGCCAATGACTTTCCCATGCAAAGCACTCATGACAGAATGAAAACAAATGACACAATACACTTGCAGTGTAACTATTCAGGGGACACTCTGCAAGACAGTTTTCTCTGACTTGAGGGGGTGAATGCATCTCTGCTGGGATTTGAATAAAGATTTCATGGTACGTCAGTAGCTGCCATGCTATACATAAAGAAATGCTATGGTGTGTTAGAGCGTTCCCTGCTGCTGTAAAGATTTAATGGGTGTTATGTTCTGTATTGTATACGCTCTTCTGTGCATTTGCTCCTATTTAAAGCAACAATGGGACCATGGGTAGGATTACTTTTGGTTTTCTTTCACTGTTAAAGTTATACTGAATTTGTAGAAAGAAATAATAACAAATAAAAGTGTAAAACAAATTCTATTCACAGAATTTTCATAAAATATTTTTATGTAGAGGCCGAACGATGTGGGATTTTTTTGGGGCTGATAACGATAAGAATATTGGGGAGAAATAATGTTCAGATACCGCTATACCAGCCAATATCTTTCTTAGATCTATGTTGGATCTTTAGAGATAGATTGATAAAGATGTTGATCGCTCAAATGCAGATGGAACACTTGTGGGGAAAAAAAAAATGTAATAAAGTTGAAAGAAGACAAGATGGTCTCTCAATTGAAAAGTAAATGCACATGTACTGTATGTGCAGCACTGCTCGAAACTCTGGAGGGTGTAAATGCTTGTTGTAATACATAGAGCACCCTCTGCTGGCGATAGACAGAAGGTGAACTGCTAGTGTTATTCAATGATGCTCAAAGAAATGCTATTTGACTGGTAAATAAATCGAGTAATATCGGCGCATATTGGAAATAAAGTTAGCCAATACCGATAGTCACTGGATAAGCTAATCTCGGCAGTTACTATCGGCTGGTCAGTTAATCAGTTGGGCTCTCCTTTTCAGTTCCTTATATTGTAATTAAAGCATACATTGGCTTGCGCAGCCACAAATATGTCGCTGATAACTTGTCTTTCTTGTGTCGAGACATTCACTGTCTGTTGATAACTTACACAAAGTAATTCATTTTATACAGAGATTTATTCGGGGTTAACTTATTTTGTGCGTCTGATTTGGTTTATATGTCGCTTATATAAACTAAGGTATTGATGAATGAAGACTTTAAATAATTATTCATCCTTCTCTTTTTTTTTACGAAGCTCACTAACAGTTTGTACCTAAAACACAATGTGTTCAGTTAAATTCACAATGACTGTTTTCCCCCTTTCATTTTCACACTTTGCAGAACATGCCAAACGTCAGGGACCACGACGCATCTGTGTACCTGCGTCTCCAAGGTGACGCTCTGTCCGTGGGAGGCTACGAAGCCAACCCCATCTTCTGGGATGAGGTAAGCTTGGGTATCAGCTGAAGAATTGACCGTCTCACTCTCTGTCTGTAATTGTGAGATTTTCAAACCTTAACCTGTATTTGACCGTCCGTGTTCATGAGTGAAACGTATGACGCAGCGTCTATCCTGTGTGGCATGAAATCAATACTTCAATGAGGAAGCTGAATGAAGTTTAATCCTGTTATATACTTCTTAATCTGTCTGACACTTTGACCTTATCGCTTATTTCTCGGGTTTTATTTCCCTTGTCTTGATAACTTGCTGCTCTATTATCTTGGGGTCATTTTCCAAACAGGACTCATTATTATTTATCATTGTTTAGAACTAAAGTACTAAAAAACAAATATCCAATGCTTCAAGGAAGCGCTGTGCCATTGGAAAAAGACAGGTTTTCTTTGCTATAAAAAAAACACATGTTGGAAATGTCAGATATCTAAACAACTGCTTTACTATTTATATAATTCCCTCAGGAATGATAAGCATAACCCTACTCCACATTAGAAAATCCCATTGATTTTAATGACACCATATCTATTCTTTAGCACCGCCTACAAACTTTATATTTGAGTACCGTTTCTAGTGAAATCGCTTTTATTGGAACATTAAAATCAAAGTATTTCTGTGAAAGACTGAAAAGACAAAAGACTGTGAAGAAAATGATTCAAACGACTCTTTATAAAAAAGAAAAGAAGTTATCTGTTCTTTTATGAACTGGCTGACTCTTTAAAGGTGGATATAAGGCGCTGGTATTTGGATATCCATTATCATAAAAGCCTGAATTGACAGATGATCTTAATGGATGTGTACTTTATCTCAAGGACGGCGTTTTTGGAGCACTTTGATAAGTGGACTGGACAATTTAGTGGCTCGCATCTCTGCTTCAATTAACTGTCCTTGTGTTGCACAATAATGACTTTTCCATCATGGCGCATTCTTGTTTGATCTATTCATGTAGTCTTTTTGACCTGTGCTAATACAGTGCAACATAATCCTTTACCCATAGCATTCACAAGTATACATAAACATCTGTTCAACATGTTCATGTCTAAAAAGGAGCCACATCTTTAATCCAATGAAACACATTCAGGTGGTAAAACTTGTGCAAGCCCAAAATCTTGAACCCAGAATGTAAAGAAATGTCAATGACTTATTAGATGGGGCATTTGCAGGACACTGGTAATATGTTCACGCCTGTTGGACAGATGTTATTATGACTCTCCGTTTATCCGTTTGGCTGCCTGCCTGTCTACTCACTTAACATCTCTAGGTTTAGTATTGACCCCCAGCGTGGCTTCAACCAACTACTACAACAACTAGCTACTATCTAACTTTACCCAGTACCATTGTGTGCAGAATCTCTATTCTGTTGTCCTGTAATCCGACAGCAAGTAAACCTAGTGTATGGTATGTCCTTAAGTGACCTCATATGGGTCGATCCTCTTACCTTAGGATTTTTTAGTGTGTTCAGACTCCTCTATGCTTTTACATTTTAGTGGCTTTCTTTGTTCAGAAGCAGCTCTTTTTGTTCTCGTCGTGCAGCTGAGTGTTGCTTTGATGTCTTGAGGCGCGCAGTAGAAGAAAGGGGAGATACAGAAAGAAGAATTAGCGGGGAGACGGGAGAGAATAGACGATGCCTACTGAGTGAAGCTGAGCAGGATCGATGGCTCGGGAGGGATTTTGAGAAGTGCGTGTCTCGGACAAAGAACACAGCTCCTCAGATACTCCAGTTGAGTGTCAGTGCTCGGTAATAATGCAGAAGCTCTTTGTTCACATGAAAGCACCAATCCGTCAGCTTGTACATCCCTGTGATGTTTCAGTCTTTATCAAATCCGAAGTGCCACCAATGACGCTAATTGTATAGGAACCCCTTCTACCCTCAGAACTCTGTCTAACCAGAGACTTCTAACTTACAGAATCACTTACATTTACTTACAAAGATTTAAAGTTTGATGCAGTTATCCAGCCTACCTCTGCAGTGACTGATAAAAATGGTCACCTTCTAAAATGAGTTAGCGACTGCTGTTCTGGGACGTGGGAATTGCACATAACCATTATGAAGCAGGATGCATAGAGGTTTGATCAGATCAGCGCCAGGTTGTAGGACGTCGCTGCAAAAGAGCGTAAGTGGTTGTGCTGGTCTTATCAATTTGAGCATCCTGAGTCAGTCATATTACTGTAGGTGGGGGGAATGTTAATGGAAGGTGGTCTACACTTCCCTGCACTTGTTACAGTAGCAACATTTTGGCCATGTTCATGAGGAGGGAGCAACAGATATCCAGATGGGAGCAAATTAAGGCTTGGAGAAGGAACTGAGGGAGGGAGCTGTCTTGATTTAAGTGATGTTGAATCCCTGTTGAGAAAGAGTCAATGCAACAGATGCTACAAGGTTGTGTTGTGGCTGCAACAAGTGTCTTACACACAGAGAGTCTGAAGTCGCATGTGGTGATTTGTAGTGTCTTTTTGTTCAAGTCAAGAAGGACTGACTAAACTGACAAACTTACATTTGACAACAGTCCACTGCAGTAGATTGGACTCATTTTGGGGAAATAAGAATTTAACAGACAGTATTTCAAAGTGGCTATATTTAATATTTGTATCAAAACAATGAAGCAGTAAGGTTAAAACATTGAGACAGTTTGTAAGGGTTTGCTTACAAATAATGAGAACTTCCTCTCACTTCCCCTGACTGAATAAGAGGCACTTGTGGGCCTAGTGGTTAGGTCTCCCCCCCCACCCCCCTTGTATGAAGGCTGTTCAACTCCACCCTTTGACTTCGTTCCTGCATGACATTCCCCGCTCCATCTCCTCAGCTTTCCTATTCTAACAAGTTAACCCTCATCTTTGATTGTGGTGTTGAATCGATGTTGCTTGTTTCAGCTGCCCAACAATGGCAACAAAAAAGAAACGTGATAATGCAAGTGTAACAAGTCAATTATGTTTGCTACTCTTACGTAATTTAACTTTAGTGACCATTCCATCTAAAGGATCAGTCTTTTATATGCTAACCCAAGTGTCTGCACTAATGATACTCGATCAGATTATTTTACAATGTCATGCAGGATGCGTCAGGGCTGCCCCTTGTCCCAACGCTGCCATCTCTTTTAATTATTTTCAGGGGAGTTATAATGTCTCCATGCAGGTGCCTTTGTTTCCTTCACCATCAACTCTGTTGCCTCAGGAAGAACTCATTAAATAAAACCCCAATCAGATATATCTTTGCATTATGTCTTTTAACAACAAATCCATTATTAAAGCTAAAATTGCTTGGGAGAAAAAAATGAATATTGAACTTTCAGATGACTGGTAGAGTGACGTAATTGATAAAGTAAGTTCCACGACATCATGTGCACATCTGGGTCTCTTACAGTTTAAAGTTCTTCTCAGGATTCATTGTTCTAAAGCCAAACTAGAAGAAATATACCCACGTGTGACCGATGTAGCCACAGCCCTGCCTACCGTAGCCGTGTGTTTTATTTTTGTCATAAGTTGCAAAATTTCTGGGGATTTGTTTTTTGGACTCTATCTAGTGTGTTAGAAATCAATCTACCACCATGTCCCTTGACTGCCGTATTTGGTGTCCCTGTAGATGTCCCAGACGTATCTCTGTATATCTGAACAGGCTGATGCAATTACGTTCTCTCTCTCTCCCCTGGCACATTTGAGAATCCTTCTTACATGGAAATGATCCAGTCCCCTATCAGCTTCTCTCTGGTTGGATGACTTAATAGTTTTTCTCAAACTTGAGAAAGTCAAGTGTGCAACCCTTCATTTTGCATTTCAGCAATCTAAATAGTCTCCCAACTGATCAGCCATAAATATCTCACTTTCCTAACTAGTATAATGCTGAAGGAATATATAATATATATATATATATATATATATATATATATATATGTATTTTTTGTTCAAAGCTTTATAACAGTAGCCCATTATAACAAGGTGGTTAGTTGCTCCATATTACACAATTGTTTTTGTAATCGTGCCAAAACAAAAAAACTATAATCCCAGACTGGGTGACCATTTTAATATCGACATGCCTCCTGTCCAACCAGTGTAAGAACACAAAGCCCTTAAACCCTTACACACATTTGTTATTTCAAAGTAACTTTATATAGATGCATTTGTTTTTTTTATATTCCAGGTGTCTGATAAGTTTGCCTTCAGCCTGTTCGATCTGGACTGGGATGTATTCACGCAACATATTGAGGGTGCAATCAACAGAGTTCCAGGTCTTGAGCAGACCGGCATCAAATCCACTGTCTGTGGACCAGGTACTAACACACACACACACACACACACACACACACACACACACACACACACACACACACACACACACACACACACACACACACACAAAACCATTACTTCAATAGAAGCAATCAGTATTTTGCAGTCGCTTAAAGGCACAGTATGTAGATTCAGACGCCAGGGGGCTCTCAATCAATCGAACAATGACAAAAGATGACATTGAGGCTGGCAAGGAATCATGGGAGTTCTATCTGCTAGCCCTGGCAGAAAACAGACTCTGTCTGTGTTCATAGGCAAACAGTGAGAGCACGGACACTACCAGTCAGGCCTAGCTCCTCGTCCTCACCGGAGTTCCCACCCACTGATCTGTGATAGGTCTGTAGCTTTAGTGGTCGAAAATATGAGGAACTAGTAGTGTAGTTTCACCCCGCTAACAGCCGTCGATGACACAAAATGATTTTTGCGTCATTGGGGGCTCCTTTTGCAGACAAGAAATACAAAGATTTCCCATCTCAAGGTAAAATGAGGGTGGGATGCACGACCACTCAAAAATACTACCAGGTTTCTAATGATACAAAGCTTAATGCAAATGGTGAAGTATCCCTTTAAGCACCTCTTTTTTTTTTTTTTTTTTTTTCAACTTTCTGAACCGCAGAAGGAAACAAGCAACTTTCTTGACACTTACTAAATTGGATACAGACTCATTTCAAAGTGAGATGTAACCGTCTGTGAAATATCTTTCACAATGTCCTGTAAAACCTTTGCTCATGAATACCTGAACAAGCAGGCGATGAGTCATGTTTGTAGCGGAGAAAGTTGGAGTTGCTCAAGCCTGACTTCTGTCCAGCAAATATTACTTTTCCCGGAGTTGTGAGCTGATCTGTAGCGGCCTTAAAAGTGATACTGGATATTGGATACTTGTAATTGGATTTTTCACCATCATACTGTTAATACATTTGAGACAGAAAAGGGGAACTTTAGGAAAACATGGAAGACAATGAAGATAAATTGTTGAGAATGGCAGAGATGAGCAAAATAAAAGAGATGGAAAACAGAATGTATTTTATACTTAATAACAATGTAATATAAGAACTCAAAGGAAACATATTAGATAGAATAAATGGAATTGAAATCAAAGTCAGGATGTTGTGTTTTGTTGTTGTTGAAGAGCACCTTCTACCTTTTCACCCTTTCTTTAATATTCTTCTTCTGAGTGTTTTGTTTTTGTAGTCAGTGAGCTGAGTCCTCTGCTGTGTCCTTCGAGAGAGAGAGAGAGAGAGCTGAGAAAATAGAACCGAGATGATCTTGAGTATTTGATTTCCATGAGTACCTATAGTATGTTTTCAAGATGATTTTTTTTAAAGTGGAGCCTGGTAAACAGTGTAATTTAGTTTGCAGTGTGGCTAACATTAGCAGGGCTAGCACCACCAATTTTCGATCCTTTTTGCAGGTTAAGCCCTGATGTCTGTGCTGAATGTGGTTATGCATTGCCCATGTCAATATGATCTCGATTTTGTAGCTCAAAATACTGCCAGAGGTGCTGCTCCTACGAGATGCTATGTTCACTGTGCCGGTTCATAGGGCGGAAGAGAAGGCTCTTTAGTCACTTTTATGTGCTAAGCTAACACCTCCCAGAACAAAATTAAAAGTATGCTCAGAGATTAAAGTAATATTAACCTCTTTAAAAGTCCCAGTTTTAGTATTATTCAGTTATTCAGACAGGTAATCTGTGTTATGTTATTTATTTCATGAGTGATATACAGAAAGACCTTTTGAGCCAAAATGACAAAGCTGAATTTCCTTGGGTCTGTTACATACAGTGAAAGCACTATTGGAGATAATGAAGCTAAGCATAAGGAGATAAGGTAGCCTTTTATCTGTTGCCACTTTTATCTACCAAGTTTCTCTCCCTTTTGTGTTTTCAGAATCGTTCACAGCAGACCATAAGCCGCTAATGGGAGAAGCGCCAGAGGTCAGAGGTTTCTTCCTTGGCTGTGGCTTCAACAGCGCTGGTAAGTGCCGCAGGGATGGAAAGACGAGGCATGAATTTTAAAGAAACAAAAGAAAAGAGAGAGGAAAAATGACTATTGCAGATTTCTAATACTGAAGGTGGATCTTCATATGCTTTGGGTTAGTCATGATATTAATATCACTTGCAGTTGGATCGTTTCAAATACTAGATCGCATACAGCTTTTCCCAAGAGGGGAACGGTAATAGAGCTTGAAAGGTCAAAGGAATCCTCAGAGGAAGTGTGTGGCAAAATGAACGGGAAGAAAACAAGCAAAGAGAGGTGACCAAAGAGTGTTCTTCTAGATCTTGACCCAGTCATAGCTGATCTTAGTGGATGCTCTTAAGGCACATATTAATAATGGAGGTTTTTTTACTGAGTCCATGGAGGTGACACATGAACATGCCTACACACACACACACACACACACACACACACACACACACACACACACACACACACACACATATATATATGAACAGAAAACAACCGATGGTACTTTCAAACTGAATCCATTATTATACCTCTAACATTAAATTTGAAGGAATGTGAGTATATCAGCAAATGGAAAAACACTAAGAGAGAGGGGGTGTAAATGGTAAAGCAATCACAACCATTAAGCAAAAGCATTTTTTTTTTTTTTTAACTTAAAGACTACAGGGTCAACCTCTCAAGCTGTTATGAGAGGAGGTTTGGAGCTGCAGAGAGGTGGAGCTCTAATGAGTGAACTTACAGTGTTATTGATAGAGCTCAACAGTGACCGCCCACTGTTTCTGCGACTCTGGTTCCAGAAGTAATATTCCCTATTCATATCCTCCTTATATCAAGAGATTGAACCAAGACAACCAGCTACCCCAATACTCGTGTCTAGAGTACGTCTGCATTCGGTGAGAAAACTGCATTGAAAAACGGAGAAAAAGGCCAAAGTACACGACTGTGTACATCATTTGTCTTCCGGAGTTAAAGGAACTACCTATCCCATAATCCATTGCAAAAAAATATTAATTCTTCTTAAATGTAACTTTTGTAGTTGCTATAGTGTTTATACTGTTAATACAAGTGTTATGAAATCTTATAGTTTCTGTTGAATGTATAAATGAATTCAATGTGGAATAACAAGGTTAATTTGTGTTAGCTAACTACATAGTTAGCCTGCTAGCGAAACTATCTGTTTGCATTCTGTGGCGAAGTGTGAAACATTGCCATGGTATCACTATCAGCCAGCTCCACAAATAATCGACATGACACTCTATGATTGTGGATAGTGTAGTTCTTTTCCCCGATATCAAGAATGAATCTTGTTTTATTTTAAACTAGGTTCATATCATTCAAACTTGAGTCTCCTACAGGAGCATAGTCCATCGTTTCTCACTCAGGTAGCTCGTGGTAAATCTACCTTGGATGTTTATGACATAATGGCTAATAACCATATCTACTTTAGAGAAAATGAATTGGATTTTTACTTCCAAATTCACACTGTTGAGCTCCATACTCACACAAACCTTCCTTTTTTATTTTTTTTTGCTGAAGTGTAGTTTTTGTTAACTGGATTAGTTTTCTTTTTTTTTTTTGAATAGGTCATTGTTTGTTGCTGTTTTTGCTCTTTTGTTCCCCAACTACTTCTCCAAGACAAACTCATTCTGTCATCACTGTCGTAGGTCAGTTCAGATCTTGTCATCCACATACTGGGTCTTACACATTTTAATTACAGCTGTGCTACTGTACTTTTCATTTGTATTATGGAAGTAAAAGGTAATTTAGGTCTAAGAATAGAAAATGATTCTTCAACAATTTTGTAGATTTATTCACAGTTGGAGTCAATTGTTTTAGGCAACAAGCAAATGTACAACATTTCCTGTGTTTCAAACGTCAGTGTTTGCTAGCTCCCTTTAGTATGGATTATTTAAAATTTAATATTTTTGTCTGGGGCTGTTGGCCATAACAAAACAAATAACTGAATCATGAAGTCATCGCCTTGTACCTTTAAAATGGAATACTTCGAAGACACTTTTCCTTTTTCTTCTACTCTAAGCAGACGAACATGTGATGTTCCTATCTAAAATGAGGTGCATAAAATACTGCACTCCTCATGTGCTCTAGTCTGTGTTTTTAAGGTGTCATGCTGGGACAGGCTCAAGGGACCAGCTGTCACAAATGCATCACACCTGCAGTGGCTGGATAATGAAGGATTTTGCACTGCCATGCACAGCAAGGATGCTTCAAATGCCTTCTGTTAGCCTGAACACACACAGATTAATTCAACATGCAAACAAACTAATCAAAGCAGCACATTGCCTCCTTTTTTTTCTTCTGTCTTTGCATCATCAGACCCCTGTCCTCTTTTCTCTCCGTTAAGAAACATTTTCTGTCCATTATACTCCATCACAAAGAAACACATTCAGGAGTTCACACAGCTTCTTTTGCTTAAGGCAGGGCAAGACAGCGTGGGTAATTCAGATACCATGGGGTCAAAACCGACAACATCACATAAGAGATCGACCATTGAGTGTTCAGTGGCTCTTTAAGCCTCCAGTTTGTATTTATTTCTTAGTTTTAAGATGTTTAACTTGATGGAGTTCCTTTTGATCAAATGTTGTACTTGTTGCTTCGCAGCTCAAGGTTTCTTATTCTTATTCTTAGTGTCAAATCTGCCATGCTGAACTTCTGATTTTGAGTACATCTGTTTTGTCTTATTATGTTTGTTTTTTTTTATTGCTTTTGTCCGCTGCACCTCTTACCCAGATGCATCAGCATCTTGTTCATATTCACTATGATGAGCACCTTCCCAGGTATTATGGCTAGGTGAGGCTTCTGTATCACTTTAAGTGCACAGAAAATCGCCTGTACTTTAGGCAGAACACAGTGCAGGAAGTGAGGACACCACTTTATTCATTTGCAAGGAGCTTCTTGCTTGGACAGTCAGACCTTCCCTCCAGCAGTTTGACAGATGATTGGAAGGTTTGAAGTTTGAGGTCTGAGGAGACAAAAACGGAGGAAAGGGCCAGAAACAATATTGGTACTATTTACTGTCGTTGATACAACTTTCATACCTGTGTTCAACTGTGTCCTATATCAGCCAGACCTTTCTCCAGCACTAATACAGAATAGTGTAGAGATAGGCTGCGCTACTGTCAGATTAAAAAGTCAATTTTTAGAACCCATCGAGTATCGTCTGACGATGAAAATGTCTCTGGAGGCCTTGAAAATTAACCCGTTTCTACCAGTGTATCCAGCAGGAAGCCATGAAGAACCGATCAGCCAGATCATTTTCCTCACATTGCACTTGTTTACAGTCTAACTAGGAACTTGAGAAGTTTTTTTTTTTTTTTTAAAGCTGAATCTGTAATAACTTAACTTCAAATTCATCTGATTCATGGCCTATATGCTATCAGGCTAATGTAGCTTTCATACCAGCCTTGCATGCGAGCACGGTATCTTTTGGAACACAATTGTTAAATTGATCAAAAGTTGGTGTGATTTCTTCAAACGTTGGTGACTCAAGAAAATGATCTGTTACCTCCCTCCAATTAATCTTCATGCAAAGAAATCAGACATTAGATTGTTAAGCACATTTTCTAAAGACTAGACCTCTTCCGCTAATTGTAGCCTATAATCAAAATGTAATCACTGTGCTGATTTACGTACTAAATATCACCTGAAAGACGGCATGCTTACTGGCTGACTTGGGTTGAGGAAGATAAACACAACTATGTATGCTTTCGCTCCCTTTTTGAGAGATTTTTGACTAGCTGGCAGCAGCATTCAAAAGCTACAAAAGAGATCAAATATCTTAAAATGAATCCTCCGAGCTATGAGAGGAGGGATTATAGGGAATGCTAAAGACAGTAATGACTAAGAAAGGTTTAAATGTTTGCACCGCAGTAAACCACAATAATAGTGTGAGATACTGATGGGGGGGAAGGGAGAGGAGAGAGGAGGTACAGAGAAGGAGATAAGACAAGAGGAGGCACACGCAGGAGAGTTCACACGCAGATACATGCTCACACATCAGCGTGGTTATCGGGGGTGACATTTATCAGCACCACCTCACCTTCCTGGTTGCCTTCACATCACATTGTCTTGAAAGAACTCCATCACCTCCCCCACCCCCCGAAACACCCTCCTCTCTCAACCTCTTTATCCCTTCTCCAATCCATCCATCCATCCATCCCAGCATTCAAACATCCACCCAGGCCTGGCCGGGAGTGACAGCACCCCAGTACGAGGCAATGAGAGGGAGAGGGAGAGGGCTCGCTGAGAGAGATAATGACGGAGGGATGAAGGAGGGATGCAAGGACACACTGGCTGTGCTGCTGAATAGTGATGTTTTGAGTGTGTTTCCATGCACATAACACACACATTCACTCACACACACACGCACACACGCACATGCAAATTAGCAGCAACAAAACAGCATAAGGGGGTTGCTTTAAGGGAGCAGCTCATTAACCCAGCAGTTTTGGGTGTGGACGGATGAAATATGGACTTGGCAGTCTCTCATCTGCTGGTTGAGTTGGAAACAGACATCATTTTGCACTCAGGGGCTGCTGTGAGCGAGAGGGTCAAATGATGGAACAAAGGTCAGAACAATCCTCTGTAGGTTATACTAAGGACAGAGGCTTACACTGAAGTAAAAGAAAACTGCTCTTCTGTTCTGTTCTCTGCATTCATGACAATACTCCTAGTCCTCCAGACATTGAGAGAGAGACAGACACACGTAGCGAGAGAGTGATGTGTTTTCCAGATTTGACTCTTTCATTTTACCAACCTGTGCCTGGATAATGCACCTGGTAGTTTGTGAAAAAAACTGTATTTATTTTGCATATGTGTCAAATTATAAATTAATTTGTGATTTTTGTTTGATTGGTCACTACATCCTTTTGTTTACAAAAAAAACAAACCGGAAAGAATGACACATTTCCAACACTGGTGGTTTGACTGCGTATAAGACAAAAATGTCAATTTTTTGAGAACTTGCATTTTGGCATCCTTATTCTTCATGCGACATTTCAACGACTGAATGATTCTGAAAATAATAAAATATTGAAGACCTTAAGCAAAGATTTAACTTAAGATAATTTGGAAAGACATATTCAAAAGATTTGCATTTATTTTTTATTAAAATCCTGACTATTCTAGAAGAAAAGATTGAACTATATCAAATTTGACATTTTGCATTTTTTTTTTAAATCTAATTTTGAGGCTCAGTTATCAAAATAGATGTAGTTAATGATTGTTTTGGCAGTTTGACATGTGTTTTGTGTACCGTATTTTCCGCACTATAAGGCGCACCGGATTATAAGGCGCACCTTCAATGAATGGCCTATTTTAGAACTGTTTTCATATATAGGGCGCACCGGATTATAAGGCGCATAGAATAGAACGTGTTTACAACTGAACAAGGCTGGGAGATATTGTGAATATATAAATATAAATACGTATAAAACGTAACGTATAAAACTACAAAAACAAAAGTACATAAGACGATTTCCCCAAATAATAAATTATTTCTTTGACGTTTCTCTTAACTCTCAAAACGTAGTTTTATACGTAGTGCATTCACAATAACTCAACGTTGTTCAAACGTTAATGTGCATATTCACAATGTCTCCCAGCCTTGTTCAGTTGTAAACACGTAAAAGAAACACAGTCTGATACCGCTAATTCAAACGTTAGTGCAGGGGTGCCCAAACAGTCAATCGCGATCGACAGGTAGATCGCTGACTGATTCTCAGTTGATCGCGAGATGTTTTGTCAATATAAAATACAATTGTAAAATAGAAAAGTGATTTCAATTTCATCTCATTGCCCTGTTTCCCACACACGATACCTGTGTTGGGAGCCCAAGTATACTTCCGACCTGTGTGTATTTAATTTTTCATTTATTCATGAAATTGCAGAGAGAGAGAGAGAGAGAGAGAGAGAGAGAGAGAGAGAGAGAGAGAGAGAGAGAGAGAGAGAGAGAGAGAGAGAGAGAGAGAGAAGAGAGAGAGAGAGAGAGAGAGAGAGAGAGAGAGAGAGAGAGAGAGAGGAGAGAGAGAGAGAGAGAGAGAGAGAGAGAGAGAGAGAGAGAGAGAGAGAGAGAGAGAGAGAGAGAGAGAGAGAGAGAGAGAGAGAGAGAAGGCATGCGCAAGGACGTGCAGGTAAAACCGGGGGGGTAAATGTTTTACCAAAAAGTCATATATATAAACTATGCTACGAGTATTAAGCGCATTTGATGAAGCTGCAGCTACTTTTCTCTGCTGTCATGACTGTGAGCATCGCGGGGGACGAGAGACACACACACACACACACACACACACACACACACTTGCACTGGAGCGCCAGCCACCACGCAAACCTTTTTACTTTTAGTGCTACAGCACACAGTTGATCCGTGATCCGTACGGACCGAGGTGGGAACACACGTGACCCGGTCAAACGGTCGGTTGGACTTTACTCCGTTCACTCTCACCGTGTCTGCAGCTAGTTTAACAAAAGCAAAATCATCTCACAGCAGCCTGCTGTAGTCTGTAGTCTGCATTATTTTTTACAGAACTCTCATTTATTATTTTCTGTTTGTTGTGTGAGTATTAAATGCGTTTGTAGGCTGTTGGTAAAGGCTATGGCTCACTATGTGGACTGGTAGATCTCGGCAGACTGGTAACTTTAAAAGTAGATCTTGGTTCAAAAAAGGTTGGGCACCCCTGCGTTAGTGCATTACTCAACATTGTTCAGTTACGTATAACACGTAAAGCTCACTTTTTCAGTTCATTCCCCGTCCACGAATCCCTCGAATTCTTCTTCTTCAGTGTCCGAATTGAACAGTTGGGCGAGTACGGCATCCAACATGCCCGGCTCCCTCTCGTCATTATCCGAGTCAGTGTCGCTGAGCGCCGTGTACAACCAGTATGGATCAACCAATTAACCAATTGATCCATATATAAGGCGCTCCGGATTATAAGGCGCACTGTCGTTTTTTGAGAAAATTAAAGGCTTTTAAGTGCGCCTTATAGTGCAGAAAATACGGTAAGTCTCTTGACTGTGAGATGATTAAGGTCTCTCTCTGACTCAGGTATGATGCTGGGAGGTGGTTGTGGCAGAGAGCTGGCTCACTGGATCATACATGGCCGCCCTGAGAAGGACATGTACGGCTATGACATCAGGTTTGTCGATGCACTTTGACACTGTATAAAAACAACAAAGGTAGAACTTAAAGCTATTCTAGTCATGACGGGATCATGGATGCAATGCTGCGCTTTAAAGCTGGCTAGACTTTTAGCTCCTGAATGTCTTTTCTATTAAAGGAACAGGAAACTAGAATAATGCAGCTTTAACAATGTCTGAATGATTGTGACTTTTAATGGGTGTCAATCTTTTGAATACTTCTTCTTCTCTCAGGCGTTTCCACAACTCGCTTACAGACAACCAGCGCTGGATCAGAGAGAGAAGCCACGAATCCTACGCCAAAAACTACTCCGTGGTGTTCCCCTTTGATGAGCCGCTGGCCAGCCGAAACATGAGGAAGGACCCCTTCCATCAGGTACAATGGACAGTGCAGAAAGCAAAATGTTTTCTTTTTTTTTCTTTAGGAGTTCAAGGAAATGACCCTAATGTGCGTTTTCTAGTCAGACTCCTCTCTGCTGTGATGAGTCATTCAAGTCAAGGCACAGAGAGTTCAAAGAAATGTCCTTTTTTTTCTTTTTTTTTTAAAAAAACCCTTTTTTTTTACATGCCGTCCATGTAACATTTTTTTACTAAAGGGAATGGAGCAAATCCCATTATTAACTTTTAAATCCAATACAAGGAATAGATCGACTGATTTCTTTGAGTAAAAAAACAAAACAATATATACACAATACCTGTCGTAAAACTATGTAGAAACCTCATCAAAATGATTTATTTTTAAACTGAATGAATTTAATACAATGCTTTAGATGTCCAATCAGCTTTCAGTATCAGAAACTTTTCAGTGTTGTGCGGATACTATGTGTCTTGAAATGTTAAATGCCCTCATAACTCGTAACCCACAAGACAACACAAGGGAAAATATTATCAATCTGTAAGATTATTGAAAACACAGTGCACATAGTGATGCACAAAATAACAAGGATGTGGTCGCTTTGATATTTGTTTTGGTACTTGTAAGCTCAGTACACAGCGTTTTAGATCTTTGTTGAAAAGTTCAGCGTGATAAATGAGATAAAAGCAGAATTACTCTTCATTCTGGCACCTCACCCTGAGATGTAACAAGACTATATTAACATATATTTAGACTTTATCAGAAAAACATTAAGTCTAACCTTGGTTTTATTCATGTGCTTTTAGTTTGATGACTGTGAAGGTTTTTTGTCTTTTGTCTGTCATAATGTGTAGTAGGCCGTGATTTGTGACTCTCAGGATTATCACAGACAAACAACTTTTTTTCCTTGTGTTCAGCGAGGGTGAGACTTACTGTAATGAATCCATAATGAAAAAGTTTTACTAACATTGAACAAACCCGCTCACCTCTGTAAGCCACAGGAACATCTCTGCTGTCATCAGACCAGACATATTTGATTTGAGTCTTATATACTGTATTTTTAGTTACATGACTCACTGCTTTTCATCTTTACTTTACCATTCATATTACTCCCTGAATCTTTCTTTACATGAATCCACGCACAGCCTTCACTTCTCTGTCTTTCATCTGTTATTTTCTCTTTTTGACATCCTCCCCCAACACAATTTCCTCTTCTATTCATCCCGCTATTCATACTAAATCTATTTCTGACTTTCTTTCTTCCTGTCATTGCCATCGTCTTTGTTCTTGTCACAATCTATTTTTCTGTGTGAGAGAACAAGAGATGCTTTTGTATCTTTCTCTCTATTAACCTCTGTAACCTTTGCGTCTGATTGGATCATTGAGACAAGTGCTTGGTGATAAATCAACAAATCAACAAACAATGCTGCTGCCGGGGTTGTGCAGGCTTGAACATCTTTGTGCCCACAAAAGAAGAGAGTACACTTCATTTACTGATACTATAAATCAGATTAAAGCAGGGGTGTGTCCAGGGGGGAAACAGGGGTGGCATGCCCCCCCAACAAAAATCTGATTCAAACCACTCTTGGAACTTTTTGGCTATCATCTGATTGCTGATGCCTCTGGGAACTTTGGCTAACGTCTCAGTTAGTCTGGTCTATCCGAGCATTAGAGTTAAACGACATCAAGCTAAGACTTCCTATTCTGTACACTGCATTTTTTACAGTCCATTTAGCATCTTTAGAGCTATTGTGTGTTCAGACCAAAGCAAAGCTAAATTCTCCCCTCCAGATATGTCTGAAAAGTAAAGGCTGTCATTTCTTGGTTCATTAAGTTCCCCGGAGGAGTGCCCTTTCATACGTTTCTGGTGAGTCTATAGCCCTCTTCAGACTTTGTTTCCGCCTAAAGCGCTGTAACTTAGGTCAGCCGCCACAACACATCTTTGCACATTCATATTGATTCAGCGATGGAGCCAAATCTTGTCCCAGTCTTGAAAAGAAACTGCTTTACTTGAAATCAACGGGGTCTTAAGTTTGCTGAAATAACATCATGGTTCCGATTTATAAAAAAGTAAAATCCAAGCCATGTCATTTCTGTTCTCATGATGGGAAGAAAAAATGCTTTGGTTTTTTTTTTTTACAATGGAGGTCTGATGGATCAATAAATGGAAAGGGAATTTTTGCACATTTTTGTGTGAACGCACAAACTTGTTGTCTCCCCTGCATCATTAAGCACTTCAGTTTGGCCTCCATAGTCGTAAACGTCTGGAAACCACCCAGTATTTAGGTTGCTAATAAGAGTCTAGAATCACTTTTCATGTCGGGTATCTAATATAAGATATGTGTGATACATTGGTTTTGCAAAGATATCAGGTTTGTTCTGACACCCGCTTATTTCTTTTGTCGGTCTTCCCTCTCTCTCTCTCTCTCTCTCTCTCTCTCTCTCTCTCTCTCTCTCTCTCTCAGCAGACAGCAGTTAGCAGGGTAACTTATCCCCAGCAGCTACATTTATTAATGTGCTCCTCGCCAACATGACTATAAGTGATACACTTAGCTTCTGAAGCCTGGTCCTGAATGTCTTTCAGCTTCCCTTCTCTCCTCAGCCTGACACAAACTCTTAATGGGCCTCGTCACCATATTTTATGCATTAATGACCCACTTAGCCCTACTTTCCTGTTTCAGACTTCATTTACCTTTAACTGTTGCAATTTCTACACCCACTCACGCGTACAGGCATTCTTTCAGAGCAGATTACTGTCACACAAATTGCATTAGCTATGTTGTAGATGTATTTGTGGTGCATTCTTAAAGCTCGTGTTATTTAGCTTCCCTGACACATTTCATGCTTAGTTAACTAGATTTCCCCAAAAAGGCTTTTTTAAAGATTTGGTACAGAATGAGAAAACACATCTTGTTAGTTAGTTTGTTAGTCTTTCTTCGTTTATTGTGTGTCCTCAAAAAATGTTAATGTTCATAAGAAAAGAACAGAAGAACATAAAATGTACTTTTAATTAGGAGCCTAGGCTACTTTATAGTTTTTTGTTGGTTCAAAAAAGAACCTGGATTTGATACCAGAACCAGAAATGTCTCTAAAACATTCTTTATGGGGAATAGTTAACAACAACAATGTGGTGTTAGCTTAGAGCATAGGCATTGGCAAAGCTAGCTAAATGCTCGCAAGCAGTGTTTTACATTTCACACATTTTAAGGCTGTGCTTTTTCAATTTGAGTGAATAAGATATTAAACGGTAAAAACACCAAATTAAGTAGTTTTATTTGAAGGATAAGACTTTCTGCAGTTTTACTGGTAGGACACAGCAAGTCAGAAGCTGTCGTCATCTTTAGCTTAGCTTGTTTTTTGGTAAGGATTGCTTCATTGACCAGAGCGTACCAAACAACAACATGATAGTAATCACTGAACATATTTCCAGTTAGCAGGGAGTTATCCAGTTAATAAAAGACATGGTTAATATGTTTATTATGTTCTCTCTTTTCATACAGTAGTATCAGATGGGTGCTTTATATCAATCAATAAGGAAATCTAGAAATCGAAATACGATAAGAACATTTTTAAACAAGTTGCATTTTTTGTTTGTATTCTCCCAGCAATGTAGATTTTTTGTTGTTCTATTTGATACTGAAGGGGACATAAAATGGACGTAAAATATGTAGAATTTTATTACAATGTTTACATTCAAATATCTGGACTAAACCTATGTTATATTTTTTTTTGTTGAGTACTGGGAATACTTCAATTATTTTTTCAACAGTTGTCAAAATCTGTTATTTTTTAGTTGTAATGGGACGTGTCTTGCCATGACGGACACAACAGTTTATCGTTAGCGTGGAAACACTGGATGTTACGTCAAAGACTGCCGTATAAGGAAGCGTGAGCTGCTACAGAAAGCTGCCATACTGTTGCTGTATGTGCTGCGTTGATAAAAAAAAAGTCATGTAAATTATACTTGGATTATACAACTCGGAGTTTGTTTTCATCGGGGATGGGGGTCGCAGAGATAATCACTCCCATGATTCCCCACCAGCATCGACGTCGTCTTTTGTTGTTGTTTTGTTTGAGAGCCCCCTGGCAAAGGGATTGACATACTGTGCATTTAAAATCTATAATCGGCAGCTCATTTGAAGTTTGTATTTTTATCACTTCCTGTTCTGTATTAACTGTACACACATAAAACCTTTGGCTATACTAAAGTTGTAAAAAAAAAAAAAAAAAAAAAAAAAAATCCAGGAACGTTATGAGGTGAAAACCTGTTAAAACAACCCCGCCCCCACACATTCCCTCTTGGGGTACATGTATCTGTTGGCTTCTTCTCTAGAACAGCAGTTTCATCACATTTCAGCCCCCAGATTAACACTTCCACTGATTGATGTGATGTGTGCTACATGTAGCAATTCATGCACATAAAAGGGCTCAACAGGAAGCTTCATACAAAGATGTTTCTGCAATTTTGTGTGAAAACTCTTCACAAAGTTTTACAGGTTGTTTTGAATCCAGGCCTTTAGTTTCTATATTTCTAGAATTGTATTTATTCATAACATGTATGTAAACTAAGACTCAGTAGAACTTATTAGCATGCAGTGTTTATAAAGTGTCTTTGGCAGATCTAGTGCTCTTTTGTACAGCACTGTAAGATTAAGAAATCATTCCCAAACGCAACAGCTTTTTATACTGGCCCTAAAACATAATTTGCTTTAAACGAGGTACAGTTTCAATAATAATGACGTCTGATCAGTATGATTAAATCATTTTATGTTAGCCAGCCACATTACAGAAAGCTTAAAAAGACAGAAATGACTGCTCACAGTTAGACAGACTTGTAGCTCAAAGAAGAGTGTGCAGAGTCCCTGCAAGGCTGGGTTGGTCCAACCCTTGGCTGCAAGCCCATTAGACCCCTACTAATCACTTGTAGAGGGCCATCACCTAGCAACTAGCCTTCCTACTGTCAGACATTGAGAAATGTTAGGGTGTTAGAGAGCAGAAGGCCAACGCTGAGAGACTTATTATTATTTTTTGAATGAGCTCATTTTCGCTGCACTCGCTCTTGCCCCTAATCAAGACAACATGTTTTAATGCAAAGAGGTGCTTAAGGCGTTGATCTTCCAATAACACTGTCCCTGTGCGAATTATGAGACACGTCTTCTTTTTGGAGATTATTTCAGAGCACAACCGAGCAGTCTCTGACACTGCTGCTCACACATTTTCTCCACCTCAGTAGCACAGATGGTAAATATAGCTTGGTGTGGGAAGTTTTGGCAAGAGACAGCTAGCTGCCTGCTAGGAGGAGAGCATAGCAGAACATACCTACCAAATGTGGGCGACTGTCAGTTTTAACTAGCAGGATGGTGAGCTCTGAAGTATCTCATTGTAACACTGGTCAAGACATGAGGAATTTGCACATATATATATATACACTCATCTGCCACTTTATTTGGTACACCTTACTAGTACCGGGTTGGACCCCCGTTTATTGCCTTCAGAACTGCCTTAATTCCCTCGTAGCATAGATTCAACAAGGTGCTGGAAACATTCCTCAGACATTTTGCTCATGTTAACATGATGGCATCACACAGTTGCTGCAGAGTTGTCGGCTGCACATCCATGAGAGAATCTCCCGTTACACCACATCCCAAAGGTGCTCTATTGGAATAAGATCTGGTGACTGTGGAGGCCATTTGAGTACAGTGAACTCATTGTCATGTTAAAAAAAAAGTTTGAGATGATGTGAGCTTTGTGTGGCATGTTATCCTGCTTGAAGTAGCCATCAGAAGATGGGTACACTGTGGTCATACAGAGATGGACATGGTCAGCAACAATACTGGACATGTTGTGCATTAAGAGGTGCTCGTCTGCATACCTTGGTTGTAACAAGTGTTTATTTTAGTGCAATTTGTGAAAGGGTTAATGATGATTCTGATTTTGAACTGAACTATTTTCCTGCCTAAAATTTAATCCAGTTGACTTTTGTCATGGCCCAAAATGTGGTGGAGCAAGATTGTGTTCAGTAGTGGGGATATAAAGAGTGTAGTTTCTGAATATAAGACTAAAATAATTTAAGTTTTTTCAACTTGCACTCAAAAAAGATCGTATGAAAAATATTTATTTTCTCAACATTTAGTGAAGTGTTCCCAAAGGAAACACTAGGTAGTCGGCTGTCTTGACGTCTGGTGCTCTCTGTTCTGATTTTATCTCTGCATGTGTGTGATTATTTGTTTTAGGTGTTGACGGAGCAGGGCTGCGTGTTCCAGGAGAGACACGGCTGGGAAAGACCTGGCTGGTTCAACAAAGACGCGCCTGCTCCTGTGAGACACGCACATTCAAATTTCACACATTTACTGTACTCAGAAACCTGCAAGCTGTTAATTTATTTACATCCACATATTCACAGAAGGAACCTTGGAAAAACATCAATAGCAAGGATGCTACTTTTATTACAATGACACGGTGTCTTGCCAAATTCTTTGTCCTCCTGCCTTTGTTCTTTGAAACTTTGATAATTAATTTACCTTTTTTTCACTTTATTATTCCAAAGGTTAAAGACTATGATTATTATGGAGCTTATGATAACAAGAGGAACGTGAACTACAAATACAATGAACTGCTGGGCAAAGAGTACACCTTTGACTTCCCTCCACATCATGACGTGGTAAGATGCTGATCATGAAAGTGTAAAAATGTTCTTCATTGACAAGAAAAACTTTATGGAAACATCCCTGACTCTCTGTTTTGTCAAACAATTACAATTCAAAGGGGGAAAAGAACATCATGTTCAGAAATAACAGCACAGTTTGAGAGAACAGTCAGTGAGGTTTAGGGCACAAAACGTGCTTTCTGGCAAAACGTTATAACAAAACCTCTTTGACTCTTTGATTTGACTCTGAAAATATGCAGTCATCTTGTCGTGTTTGGCAAAGAGACGACGCACTTTGGTTTAAAGTTTGGTTTGTGATATTAGATGCGTGTGTTGTGCCTTTTTAAAAAAAATGCAGATTAAGAGCGAGTGCCTCTCATGTAGACACGGCGTGGCTGTGTTTGACATGTCCTACTTTGGAAAGTTCTATCTCTCCGGACCAGATGCCAAGAAGGCGGCTGATTGGCTGTTTACCGCTGATGTCAACAAGAAGCCAGGTCAGTGTGCTAAAGCAAGAACACACACACACACATACACACACACACAAATACGCGCTCAGGCACAGACAGATGGGAAATAAGATTGACAGGAGGTTGGATAGATGGATGGAGAGACTATTGAGATGCCAACACTGAAAAAAAAACAGTCAACTCATCCATGTAGTGTCTACTAACTCTAAATGTCAGTGTCTTAACTGTCAGAGCTTCTGTTGAAACTGGTTTCAGGGGAATCTGAGCTGCTGAATTCAGTTGTATCTTGTATCTTATGTGTGAAGATGTCGAAACAGGCAGAAGTCCAAATGCTCTTTATATTCTTCTGTCCTCTTATCTCACATTCCTACTTCTTCCACTGTCAGTACTCAATGCTGAATAGGAAAGATGGCCATGGCCCCTTAGAAACCTAGTCCATAACATAAATTAACTTTGTACATGTTTTTCCTAAATACTTAGTATTAAGAATTTAAAGTTTTAAGACACCCCCACAAGGCCGTTTTTGCCCCTCGGTTTGCCAGGCTAAATGGCAACAGAACCAACAGGTGTTGCAGCGATGGAAGCGGGCAAGACAACTGGTTCAGATGGAAGTGATTCTACCCGACCGAAAAGGCCTTGGCATATTTCTAATTATCTCCACGACCAGAAATGTGGGAAAACTAGGATCAATATTGGAGATGTTTTTGAAAAATGGAGAGAGGTTATAACGCAGAAAGGTTTCAAGACCGATGCAGAGCTGGCTAAACACTGAAGCTTCTGTGTCTGTGACATGGCAACCTGTGTGCACATCGACAATAAGGAGGAGGGGGCGGGGGGGGGGCTCTCTATTGTTTTGAATTTGGACTGCGGTTACCATTTAAAACGATAGGTGTCAGAGTTACACACTGCTCCTTTAACACACAACAGGAAGTGTCTTAACCTGTGTGATACAATCCACAATTTATTTTCTTGCTTGTTTGATTGATGTCTTGCGCTACCTTCCAATGAATTATCCTGAACCGATAATGACAGCCAGATCTCACCCACCTACGAATGTAGCTTTTAAAAATCTTGGCTTTCTTCAACGTGATAGATGATGCTTCAGCCAAGCCTGCTTTCTCAGCCTGTTTGAGGATCACTATCTGGTTCCTGTACCCAGATCTCGATATAGAGCAATTAGAGTGACCACACTTATAGTGAGCAACACATATACACACTTTTTTCCTTTTAATAGCAGTGACACAATGAAACAAAAACGTCTATCATTCATTGAATGTCAGACATGACTGGAGGACATTTAAATAGTGGCTTGTCACTGATTGAAATGTTGTGGTTTGTCTCTTGTAATTAGATTCGTATGGGCATAATTGTGACAGCTTGTTATTTGGTGTTCTTAGCAATCATTAGTTTTTGATGGGGTCTTATTTCAGACGTTTCCTTGGTAACTATTTTACTGAAAGAAAAGGTTGTCGAGGCAAGTCTAGTCCCTGGAGGAGTGTTGAAAGAGGTGTAAGTACACTTCACTTTATTAAAAATTCATTTTTATTCAGACAAGAGGGCTAGGAAAACACACACACTCACACACACACACACAAACCTTGCAAACCAAATAACTCACAAAGAATCAGTTAAAAATAATAAAATTAGAGCCTGACCTCAGATTTGGGTTCATTTTTTATTCAGAGGTTTCGTTGGCTTCGTTCCATGAAGCTACTCTCTTAAAGTTGGCCTACAAAGTCTGCTGTGAGAATTAATTGATAATGTGTTATGTGTTGGTGTGTTTCAGGCTCCACTGTGTATACCTGCATGCTGAATAAGAGAGGAGGGGCGGAGGCTGACCTGACAGTAAGCAGGCTGGAGGCCGGCGCTGCCAACCTGCCACTGGCACCGGAGTCTAATGGTAGGAAACAGTGTTTGTGTGTAATAATAAATACCTCCTACACTTGAATATGAACTGCTGTCTTTGTTAGACTTCCATCATTCCACCCCTGTCATGCCTTTATTGTTATTGTTGTATTTTCTACTGTTGGCTGAAACATCGTTCACTCTTCACTTAACTCATTTTGAATTGATTGTTGTGTTGTATTTATTGCTCTCACTCCCGGTCTATCATTGCGTTAAATCCGTTGCATTCATTGTTATGTTCTTCTACTTTTCCGCCCATTTATTCATTTGTTTTCCTTCTATCACCTTCAATTTAATTAAATCAATGACATTTTATATTTTTAAAATCTACCATCCATCATTGTCCACACATCTTTTCAACATGAATCGCTCTCATTGACCTCCTCATTACTGCTTATTGATAGTAAGTAAGGAAGATGTTGTGCATGAATTATGATCTTAAAATGCTTTTGCTTACTTCTACCTTATAAGGGCCATACTAAGTTAATGTAGAATAAAGTACTAATATATGCTCAATAAGCCGCCAGTATGCTTTTTTTCAGGGAGAGAGAGAGGGGAATGACTTGCGGGAAAGATGCCACAGGTTGGATTCAAACCTGGGCCGCCCGCTTGGAGGACCATAGCCTCCATACATGTGGCGCGCGCACTAACCACTGCGCCACCAGCGCCCGACCTCTTTATTTTTTCAACATTTTAAACATGCATACATAATCCCCAAAGAGAGAACTTAAAGACTTTTTCAACACAATTGCTGATGCAAAACTCAGAACCTTATAAATGAAATATTTAAAATTCAAAAGAAGACTTTGGTTAGCTTTGGTTGGAAGGATTGGTTCATAAGAGAAGAGGATGAGATTAAAGATGCAACATGCATATATCCACTTCAGCAGAATCCCCTGAAAATAATGAATGAAAGCGTGTGATCAGGGGTCAACGTAAACACTGCGTCTGCACTTTGAGACCAGATGGTGCATCGACTGATTGTTCCAGATCAAAAGAGAAAATTGTGTTTATTTAAGAAAATTACCATCTTAGGTAGAAAGTAAAAATCGTGCAGTACATGCTCTTGAATATTCCCTCACAAAGAGAGCTACAGGTAACACCACTTATTCAACTTATTTAGCTTTACATTTGCTTCATAAATAATTCTAGTTAATTACTTTACGAGTTGATTAGAAATCAAATGCTCATACTTTGAACAACAGCTTCATGTTTAAGTCATTTCCCAATCAAAACTTTAAAATGTGTTTGTTCTATGAACTTTAACGCAACCTTTGACTTAAGTTTGTTTGTATTATTTCCTTTGCTACTCAAAGTGTCTAGTCAGTCTAGTTTTTTCTTTTTTAATTACCTCTTTCCTCTCCTGCCTTTTTTTTCCAGGTGACGTGTACTACCTGGCCATCGGAGGAGGTGTAGCCGAACACAACTGGAACCACATCAGAACCGTTCTTCAGGATCAAGGCTTTCACTGCCGGCTGACGGACCACTCTGAGGACATGGGGATGATCAGCATCCAGGGACCCAAGAGGTGAGTAGAGGAAAAGAAGGCTAACAGTGAAACGTGGGAGTGATTTATATATATCCAGGGGAGAACAGGACCAAATAGAGAGGGCAGAGGAGAGGGGAAAAGAAAGAAAGTGATGAGTCAAAAGTAAGGGTAAAGATACACATCCTAGACTCTAGAGGTGAGAATCAGGGTGGATTGATTAGAGGGAGGACAGGTTAAGAGTGTCTTCTAAAGACTTGGCTGGAGACGGGAGCAGGGAGGTTCATGGGTCATTCTGCAGGATTTTGTTTTACGACACTTGGGTCAGAGTTCTAGAGTGAATGGTCATGCTGTTACCATGCTATTTTTAGCGGCTTAACTCTTGAGTCCTCATATGTTGGGTTCTTCTAATACTGTGTCTGGTCAGGTACAGATTTTTTTTTCCTATATGTATATGGACTTGGGGTAAATTACACCGCATGTCACCTACCTATTCACACCCATTGACACACTGATGTGTCCGTCCGGATGAGAGACGTCGACTCTACACAGCCGCTCCTTGAATGTAGCCTCATGAAAAAAAACAAAAAAAAAAACAGATGTAGCCTTGATTCAAATACTGAAGGTCCTGGCTCAAAACCATCACATTTGTAAACCTTAATTATTCATATGATACGGAGAAAGGCTTAATGAAGACAGTGTCACCTCTAAAAGATATAAGTGGATCAACTACCTACTTGGTGCATGTTAGGTAGCGGGTTGTTTCTGCTGATGATGAAATCGGGAAACAGACTTAGGATTTATTCAGCCGAGGTCAGACAACAGCAACAGAACACAAATGGCTGAAAGAGTTTTTTCATGTTAACAGCCTTGATTATATTCTGCGAGAAGGTCACTTCTGGGTATACTTCTAAAAGGCTATAAAAGATGACTTTACCTTGACTTGTAAATGTCAGGCATACATTTCAGTCTGAGCAAACATTGTTTCATTTTTAAGCTCACAACGTACACTTGGCTCCTATCCAAATATAGATCTGCTGCTATGAGAGGCTCACACATGCGGTTACATCTACACAGAGCTAAAGGATAGACTGAGTTTAAATGATACATCCACAAAATCAGCAAAAATCCATGAATATGTGAAAACACATACTAACGGTGCACATACAGAAACTCTCAGAGCACCTGTTACATGAGTGTAACACAGAGGAGCTTCCTCCCTCACTAGCAGTCTCTCTGGCTGTGCAAAGACACAAGCTTCAGAGAGTGCATTAACCAACAGAGAAGTTTAATGCTGGCTTGTAATGCTGTTTCTTTTTCATTTATCGTCTTTTTAGCTACAGCTGGTATGCTCTTTTGCTCGTGACATTCATTTGAGCCATTGATAGTGACAGTTAGCGGCATGTAACATGGCTGTGGGAGAGGGTGATGACGTTTATATAACGCAACCAGTGAGCGACCAGTGCCATGGTCGTGCATGTAATGAGGCTGCTTCCTACTTTTCCCTGTTGCCTGTATGTTCTTCTCCGCTCTAAAGTTAATACTGTTTATACAATCAATTAGACACCACACAGCAAAAAGGGTCATTACAGCTTTGGACTTTGATACGCTCACAATCTTGGATTTCTTAACATTACGACCGCAACACCCTTTTCACGTCGCCTCCTGAGACCCCCCCCCGCACCCCTCCATCTCCCTCTTGTTAAAACGGGGACACTCCACACTGTGAGGTACATTTGTTTATAACAACTTTCTCATATTTTGTGGGCTGGCTTGTCTGGAATTTTTCTTGTAACTTTTTGGAGTGTGTAAAATAAGATAATCCTGAATTCATCTCACAATGGAGACATTTACGTGGAAACAGCTCTGCTTGTTTTTTTGATTGATATGCTTGAACGAGACGCCAAGAGTGAAAAGATACCACATTTGTTATTGCAAGAGTGACGTGAATCTTTGGATCCTGACAACTTCTGTGCTTGAATTTGGAGTCAGCCAAAGCAGTGGAGCCGTTTTCTAACAAAGGAAAAGAAAAGGGAAGCGTTCTAATCACTAATGTAAGAATGCAGAATTGTTTTAGGATAACTTTATCTTTAACTTCAGTCTCAAATCTTACCACAAACATTGGACTCTAGATTGTCATATTGGGATGGTTATAGATTTCCTACAGGATCTGATCTGTTCACCTGAGCAGCCTGCCACCATGACTCCCTTATCTGAACCCGAGAGTAGAAACTTTAAAGAGCTTAGAGTCTCAAACTTTGCTTCAAAATAGATAAACTGTATTTAAAATAGGTTTGGTGAAATGATTCAGATTAGCAGGGATCTAAAGCTGCAGATTTTGGATCCCCTTAACGAGGACAAGCAGGGATTATGAAGAGACAGCTGTCTGCTATATGAACGCTGTCAAACACAGGATTTCTGTGTGAAAGAGGTATAGCTGTCAGCTCAACTTTGTGCTCTTGTGTCTTGTTTGTCATAGATGATGTTCACCGTATTAGTCTCTTTGATACGCTTGTGTCCTTCATCGCAGCAGGAGGAATAGTGTTCCTCACAGGTGAAAATAACTCTGCACATGTGGCTGCAGTCCAATGTGGGACTTTCTTCTCCCTTCCTACAGCTTTTTCTTTGTTCTTCACTCGCAGCGAAAGCCGTTGCCACCTTTACCTCTGCCTGCTCTCACTCTCTGAACTCCTCATCTCTCTTTTCCTCCTCTCTCTCTCTCTCTCTCTCTCTCTCTCTCTCCCCTCCACCTCACCACACTTTGTCTTTGTTCTTCCTTCTTACCGGCAGCAGGGTTAGGCCACTCTGTGTGGGCTCTGTCGATTTTTTTATTTTTTTATTTTTTTTTCTCTTTCCTTTCCTCCTTGAGGCTTTTTTTTTTCCTAATCTTCTGCTCTCTCAACTTTCTTATTGCTCTTTATGTCTCTCTAGGTCTTATCGTCATTTGTCTCACTCTCTCCTCCCGTGTCCTCCCGTTTTGCTCAACGGGCATCCTTTTTTGCTTTTATTGCGTACACAAAATCAGAAATTGAGTGCGTCAGTGGCATCAGAAGTCCTTTTATATGTGTGTGTTTATTTCCATTACATGTATACACACACATAATAGCATGCTGATTACTGAACTCGTTGGGTTTTTTGTGTGCATCCAGAACGCAATCAGCTTGTTAGAATCAGTAGTTGCATCAGTGTATGTTTCCCATTGATCACATAAAGAATATTGGCGTTTCAATCCTCTGCACAGTATCTTAATTATTCTCCCCTCCTCCTCCTCCTCCTTATTGTTTATGCCACAAATGAGGAATTACAGAAAATCGTCCCTTAAATGTTTGGGTATTGTTTTCTCCCTCAAGCTAATTCATCTTTTTAAAGCTCAAGGAGAGACGGAGAGTTCTTCAGAGAGGCGGAGGTCTGTAAACTCGTTGCTTTTTCTCTCGCACGGAGGGTAACGCTGCTGCTACATCGTTAGCTTTCTTATTATGAACCTTTAGCTTTATATATGAAACGATGTGATATCGTCTAAGAGAGCTTCGTTGTGTGTGTGTGTGTGTGTGTGTGTGTGTGTGTGTGCATGTTCTGAGACACAGTTGAGAGCCGCAGTTAAGTGGCAAGTCCAAGGAACAAATTGGTGGTTGCAAGACTGCCTCACCACACACACACACACACACACACACGCACACGCACACGCGCACAGACTCTGTAACATGGCCATTCAGTGATCATATATGGCTAATTGGCCTTCCTCACGGCCTTCTTGAGTTCAGCGAGCAAAGCAATCTTATGCAAAGACAGAAATGAGAGAACAGCCTAAAGAAAACATCCGTCCGTGCATCATCACATACGGCACGCATGCGTTTATGCAAGAGCTATTTGATTCACATAAAAAAAAAAAAAAAAACAACCTGCAGTGCCATACACACATCGTTCTGCATCTTTCTATGACCGCATTGATCGCTTGTTGGAAGAAAGAAAAGTGCACCCACACAGATGCACAAAATACGTAACATGAACCCTTCCCCAAATATCTTCATCCCTGGCTTCCTGCCACACCGTAGCAAAAATATCCTCCAGAAAAGGCCCGCACCTTCCCACTCACACACGTACCAGCAGCAAAGTAAGCTAAACTTAGTCCGTTTTCTTTCTGATGACTCATCTTTATGTAATACTGAGTGTGTGTTTGTGGGAGAGGGAGAGATGGATCATTTCTACAACAATAAAAAAACAAACAGGTGATGCTTTTGTATTTTCTCTAAATAAACAAGATGTCCATTTGAAATAATGAGCTGATTGTGTTTTCATAAAACACATAGATAAAGCATTTAACAAAAGTCAACAATGTAAGTACTATGGCATTATTACCCTCTTTACTTGATATCGATCTATGCAAACAGCTTAATTTACATATTCTATTGTCATGTTTATTTCATTATTTTTGCACCACTCACCACTGCGCCTCGTCTTCTTCAGCCTGGTCCATGTTAGTATTTGCGTTTTTTGTGTTTATTGTTGATATTTCATGTTGAACGTTTGTACATAGAGAACGAAACTAAATTCAAGTCAAAGTCCTGTGTGTGTGTGTGTGTGTGTGTGTGTGTGTGTGTGTGTGTGTGTGTGTGTGTGTGTGTGTGTGTGTGTGTGTGTGTGTGTGTGTGTGTGTGTGTGTGTGTGTGTGTGTGTGTGTGTGTGTGTGTGTGTGTGTGTGTTAGCATACCTAGCCAATAAAGCTGACTCTGATTCTAATAATATGGAAATAAGGACAATATGTTTAATTCCTGGAAAATGTGATAGATGAACAACACACACATTAACATTATTTTATCAAAGCTGACACAGTAGCCTGGCTTTCTAAGTGTGCTTTTTCTTCTCTTTTATTTACAAGATCAATATTTGTTCCCTCTCTGTGTTGGACTGTGGAGATGTAATTCACTCTTTAAGGAGAGATCAGCACTCATATTTATTTATTCATAAGTTGATTTTTACAACAACAACAAAAACCCTATATCTCAGCTCTACTTACTTTAAACTCAGGTAGCAATACGGTCATGGCTCGCCCTTAAAGGTTTTTTAAAGATCACTCAGTCAGGAAGACTTTCCTTCTATCCGTGTGCCCCATTTCATTCTTATTTGTAGGAAAGAATGTCAGCTGACCCCAATTACACCACTGTGACAATTCAAAGGTTAACTTGCTGTTCTTATAGATTTTGATTGTTATTCTCTTATAGATAAAGTGAGTAATTTATCTGTCCATTTTTAAGCTCTTTAATATTTTCACTTGTCCTTGTTTTTGTTTTGTTTTTTTTACATTTTCTTTATTTGTACTCTCTAGCTTCCCCTGATGACTTCATTTGCTTCTGATCTATTGTTGTCTGTACCTCTGCTCCATTGACACTGAGGGGTCTCCCTCAATGTAATATCCAAGATATAAACTTATAAATGATAATCATGATTGTCTAAAATCTGTTCTGAAAAATGTTTCTGTGTTGTTTCCTCCCCCCCTCCCCCCCTTCTTTCTGTGCAGCCGGGAGGTCCTTCAGGAGGTGTTGGACACAGACCTGAGCAACGATGCTTTCCCCTTCTCCACCCACAAAGTCGTCAAGGCAGCAGGGCATTGGGCAAGAACACACACACACACACACACACACACACACACAAATATCGTAAACGTTTGGTGGCTTAACTCGTTCCTACGGCAATACAAATTGGTCCGCTTCAGAATAACCCCTCCCAGAGATAGTGTGGTGTAAAATGCAGATAATAGAAAGGAAAAAAAAAAAAAAAAAAAGTCAAATGATACCGTAGCCTTACTTTTATATCAAACCTGACCAAATGTTTTGTGACCCACTGCCGTTATCTTTTTCTACTTCTTCCCCTTCCAACTCTGAAATCTCATCAATTGCTATTTTAATCATCTGTTAAATCATTTATTTACATTTCAAACTGTATTCAGACTCTTTTCATTTGCAAACAATCTAGCTGTTAGGTAACAAAGCCCTGCCCCCTCAGGATGACCTCTACAATGTTCCTGGCCTCAGATCAAAACAAGCGTGTTGTACCGACACACACACACACACACTGACGCACGCTGCGACACATATGTCCACACACACACACACACACACTCACTCACTGTCTTAGTTGCTGTTGCATGAATTATGCAACTCTCCGCTGATTGCAGGCAGCATCTTCTCAACGCTCTGCAGAAGTGTTTGTGTGTATGTGTGTTTGTGTGTGTGTGTGTTACTTGTGCTGTGTTCCAGCTGGTTGCCGGCCTTGTCTTGGTGACATTTTAATGGCTGCACGGCTGGAGAACAGAGCCTTCCCTCTGCCCTCTGCTCCCTTCACAGCTCATTACAGTATCTCTCTCTTTCTCTCTCTCTCTCTCTCTCTCTCTCTGTCTGTCTTTCTATCTTGCAAGTATAACTGAATGTACTTGCATGTTTATATGCATTTTTGTACTTGTGTCTGTGATTGATGTTTTGCCGGGTGAATGTTGACTGACAGGGTGCATGTGTTTCAGTGTGACGCCTGTGTATCTGCTTGAGTGCGTGTTGTGCATGATATCGGCTCTACATGTAATGTCCTCCTGAGAGTTTCATGGTGTACATATGGGGATGCAGAGTGATCCAGGGCTGTCCAGATGGCCTGGCCGTCACAGCACCCACTGGGAGAACTGTTGGAGATGGTTTCTCTCCTCATTTGACACTCCCTTCCTCCTTTTCATACTTGCTTTCCTTCCTTTCCTTTGCTTGTGAGCCTGTCTGCTTCAATAAAGGATTTATTGCGTTCTCATCACTGTGGTTTTAGTAAACATCTCAGTTGCTGGCTTTTGATTTATGCATCCTTTAGATAAAGGAAAAAAATACAGGATCAAACAGTTGGTGCATTTCATTTTTTTTTTTTAAATTGCAAATATAAACGAGAAGATGTACACCATGCAGTGTTTATGGATTTCACTTTTAAAAAGAGAAAGACTATGGTTGAGGGTTATTGATCCACACCTGCTGAGCAGCTACAGAGCGTTCCCGGGGACTACTTTCTCTGTTTACTCACAGCTGGAAACGTACTTTTGAAATGTCATTTTTAAAATTCAGTTGAATTCTTTTTGTTTTTTGGAAAGATGCACAAAGCACACATTCCTTTAAAGCAATGTAATTCCTACAGCTTGATTTAAAATCTCTACAGTGGAGGTTACATGTTTACATTGCCAGGAGTGGTAAGAGAAATTTGAGAAAATCACCACGGTTAAATATGGAAGTGTTTTTCCTTTTTTTATCTCCTTTCCGATGAAAACATTTCAGTCTTTTGTCCCCTCAGGCCGTGTCTCTTCCTCCTTCTCAGCATGGCTGCTCTTTGTGTTTCTTGTCACCTAACCTTTTTCATTTCCGCCTCCTTACCCCCAGAGGTGTTTCTGAATCTCTTTCAGGACCCAAAGCATTTATTGAACAACGTTCATTTCTAATAAAAGATTAAACTTTTCCTTCTGTGCAACTTATCTTATCTTTGTATCGATTCTATCTCAATTCTCCATTCTTGTTTTTTCTGGGCTTTTAGCTTTGCTCTCTTCAGCGTTAGCACAAGGGAAGTGTGTGTGTGTGTGTGTGTGTGTGTGTGTGTGTTGTGAATCACAAAGCACAAGCAGAGGCATGACAGCTTGAACCTCTCCTCATCCCTCTAAGCCTGCTCTCTACACCTTTCTGCTCCAGGTGCGAGCCATGCGTCTGTCATTTGTTGGAGAGCTCGGCTGGGAGCTGCACATTCCCAAAGACTCCTGTCTTCCTGTCTACCACGCCGTCATGGCCGCCGGTGCAAAGCACAGCATCATCAACTCAGGCTACAGAGCCATCGACTCGCTCAGCATAGAGAAAGGTAACTCTTAAAATGGGGTCAGCTTAAATATTATTCTAAACCAGAATAACTGTAAATGCAGCTTTAACTTTTAAAAAGGAAAAGGCACAAATCTTCTCGAAAACTCCAACTACTTTTTGATTATTTTTTTTTTAGATGTTCCTTCTTCTTATGTTCAGATTTCTTTTGATGCTTAATTGAGCTCAGTTAATTTCTCTTCCTGTCTTCATCAGGCTACAGACATTGGCACGCTGACCTTCGCCCTGATGACACACCCCTGGAGTCAGGATTAGCCTTCACCTGCAAACTGAAGAGTTCAATCCCCTTCCAGGGCCGTGATAGGCTGGAGAAACAGAAGGAGGAGGGGCTAAGGAGACGCATCGTCTGCTTCACCATTGACGAGTAATTAAATCCTGAGGCTACAGCCATACAATACGAAAAATATCACAGTCATTGTGAGGAAAATAGCAGTGCTTCTGAAATAATCTCCATCCTTACAAACACGCCTGTTCATGCATATCACATGATCACTTTTATACACTTGGCAGGCACAAGCTGGAGTAAAAGGACGCAGACGTTCCTGCTCTGTGGTTGGTTGCTTGGATGCAGAAAATACAAATCAGGAGGGGGGAAAACAACATTTTTAAAGCTCCTGTGAGGAATTTTGAGCTGGTTATAAAAGAGACTTAAATGGATTCTGATGTCTCTTTATGACTTACAAAAGCAAACAAGATCATCTGCATGCAAGATAGTGATACAGTTGACTGTTCAAAAAGGAAGCAGGTTGAGATTTGTTAAACACTACCTACATATGTACAGAGCAAAATCAGAGAAACAAGTTCCACTTTGTCCACAGGGGGCGGCAATATCCCCACATACAAAAAGTTCCTCACTGGAGCTTTGATGTAGCAGAGTTAGTTTGGGCTTCATTCTGTTTAAATGTCATACTAACACACAATCTGGGAATTTCTAACTCAAAGGAATGTCAGCTGTTTTTTTTCAGAGTTTTGTGGCAGACTGTTCATGTAAATGAAGCAAAAGGGGAAAGAAACATGACGTGTTAAATTATTTAAGTGTTGTTACACACTACCTTATCTTTCTCTCTCTCTCTCTCTCTCTCTCTCTCTCTCTCTCTACCAGGAAAATCCCTATGTTCGGTCTGGAGGCCATATTCCGTAATGGTGTTCCCGTTGGTCACCTGCGGCGTTCTGACTATGGCTTCTTTATCGACAAAACTATCGGCTATGGATACATCCGCAGCCCAGATGGAGGAGTGGTAAAAGCCTTCAACATTTAATAATTACACATTTAACTACACACTTGCATCTAACCTCTCTTTTGTATCTCCTTTTTTTTTTCCAAGACTCGAAAACACTCGCCAAAACCTTGACACGCTGCACTCACATTATCTTGGTTCAACTACTTCTAACTCAAACCTTCAATCCAAAGAGTTTAATCAAATCTAACATTTTGTTTTGGAACACCAATTACATACAACATACCATATTTCTGTGGTAAATTGTTCAGACAGTCAGTGTATCTGTATTGTCAGCTGTTTGTTCGGTCTTTCTACTCACTTCAAACTGACTTCAAAGTTTCATTGGCTAGCATGCAGCTCTTTGTTGATGTGTCTCTCCAGATAGTAACACAGACGCACACACACACACACACACACACACACAGACTAACAGATGTTACATCAAACAGGAGGATGGAAGCAGCCTAAGAGAACAGAGACACACAAAAAAAAAGTGATTGCTTGAAGGGCTGTGCTCAAAAGCAGACTTATTTTGCATTCTGAAAAATAGAACAATCCTGCTGTGATTTGTCAGCGCATTTAGATCTGTATCAATGAGCATGTGCTCAGTAGACACACTAAATGTATGTGTGTGTGTGCGCGCATGTCCGCCTCTGTCTGTGTGTCCGTGTGCGCATTTGTTTAAGATCCATCGAAAAGTTGTGACCAGCTAAACAACGCAGATTGACACTTGGCTTTGCGGAATTTTTCAGTTCAGAAATGCACTCAAACATTCACTCGCACATACACTCACACATACACACACACACACACACACACACACACTCACAGGTCTGTAGTGTCTAGTCTGCTGTCACTCAGTATTACAGATCACATCCTCAAAAATCGCATCACTGGCCTCAGCAGAAATATGTATTTACTTCTGTTCTCAGAGACATGTAAGAGCCGGATCTCCGCTGTGTGCTTATTGCCTTTTGTTCTTTCCTTCTTTTCAATCATTACTTTCACTATATGTCTCACAGTTTTTTTTTCTGTCGGGGACGACATGTTGCAAATGTTGTACAACCCCCGAGAGCTGTAGCCTCTGAACATAGGGCACATGCTTCAACTACTGAGCTAAAATTGGTGACCCCAAAATGCCAGTTTAAAGCATGAAATGCAATATCCTTAAAATCAGTCACAATTGCAGTCTAAGCAATCACATCAAACACATCACAAAGTCTGAGATTATAAATAAGGATAAGAATAATTATTTGCTAATAATAATAATAATTCTCACTCAGCATGAGTACATTTTTACCCCACAGATAGAGGCCTGGGTATTATGGCTACTTTTATGCTTTCAAAACATTTTGATGCAGAGGGGGGGAAACCTGCGCAAAAGGAGCCATAGGTCGGATTCGAATCCAAGCTTCCCGCTTTTAGTCTGAAAAAATGTAGGCTCCAAAAATGTCGAAAGTTTTCATGACAAAATGTCATCTTCAAAATAAGTATCAGCTGTATGTGCTGGTAATTCATATTACTTGATTTCTTTTAATATTCATGACTTAACACTGGTGTTCTAAAGGGTCGCTTTAATATTTAGGTATTTGAGGGTATATGTGGCAACACAGAATGTAGCCAATATGTATGTAAATTACATGTTTTTCTATCAGTTGGGGATGTAACTGACCTTCAATTCGAGATCATTGCTCAGTGTTCAAACTTAGACGAAGCCCCCTACATCCTCTCTCTGCTGTCATGTCGTATCTGTTAGACCTTTTAAGCTGGAGTAAGGGCAGCTTCGTCCCGAGCCTTTGACCATGATACTGGTCCCTTTAAAGCCTTCAACACGGATACAGTAAAAAAAACTAAAAAAAAAAAACTAAGTGGTGCTGAAAGAGAGCTGTGTGAGAGTGTGTGTGTGTGTGTGACAGAGAGACAGAGAGGCAGATGAGTGGAAGAGCTGCAGGGAGGGAAAAGGGAGTCAGTCAGTGAAAATTAGCTCTCTGGGTTATGAGGCATCTGACATTGACTCATGGCTGGATGAATTGCTCTCAGTGTTTTATAACTCTATGGCACTTCTCTTCTGTCACATATGAAGGCTGTGAGATTGTGCTGTGACAGTTGGGAGCCCTTTTTTTTTTTTTTTTTAACCAGGTGTTGGGATTTATTGGTCATCTCATCTTTTCACTCTATTTTAATCGCAAGTGCTACCTCCCCCTTCCTTCTTCCAAAATCTAAATTCCCTCCTCTCTCTTGCTTGCTTCATATTCATCTCATCTCTCTCTTTTTCTTTTTTCTTCCCCCTTTCTTTATCAGGTGAGTGCTGACTTCATAAAGAGCGGCGACTTTACACTGGAGAGGATGGGAGAGACGTACAAGGCCAAGGCCCACCTCAGATCACCCTTCGACCCTGAGAATAAACGCGTCAAGGGCATCTATGCTTAAGAAGGACCACACATCTGAAAAACCGATGAGAAAACATGCTGCTGTTGGAGATCTGAGGCTGAGAGAGGTGCTACTTATTAACATGCTGATGCATCAGTCTTAATTTGTACCTCTCTGTGAAATGCTGGGTAACTGGAGTAGTAATAATTCTGTTCATTAAAATTGTGTAATTTGTATCTTTAATTAGCTTTGTATCGGTAATATCTGTAACAAGATATTAAAGAGGAGCTGCCATAAATCTAACAAGGGTGGGGCATGTTAGCTGTAGGGTCCCATGAGGTGAAGGGCCTCTACTTAAGAGCCTGTGCTTAAAGTGAAAGTGAAAAGTGTTTACATTTCTCGTTGGGAGTCATATGAAGTGATGCCAAAATGAACACAAACAGACACAAAACCTACAACCAAATTAAGGGAATACAAAGAAAACAGATCACCAAAAGAAGAAAAACAACCACATAAACATGACTAAGACACAGAACAACCACAAAAAGACAAAAAAACAACAACAGAGACACACAAACCTATTGCAACGAAACACAAAACAACTTCAACAGTCAGCCAAACACCCATCAAGAGACACAGAAGTGACTTCAAAGTGATGCACAATGGCCACAGATCTCAACTGTGTGTGTAATGTAAAAGGGGTTGGGGGGGGATCTTGCTCAGTAACCTACCCATATGCATACTTTAGTAAACTGAAAATTGTGATCTTCCTTGTTTTGTATATGCTTTGATTTTTATCGTATTAACCCTAAACACTAAAATAACGACACGTGATTGACATTGAGTCGGTTTAAGAAACTTAAATGAATCTTTGTGGGAAGCCATCTGTAGTCAAAGAAGCGAATGTAGAGCCTTGAATAAAGCATGCTTTGGGGTTTTTGGGTTGCTTGTAGGATTTGAAGGTGAAAACTAAAACCAGTGCCAAGTGTTAACACTTAATTACTCAGGAAGTCTTAACTCCTCTGTAGATCAAGCAGCTGAAGACATTCATACTATGTAATAGTTGTAAGAGTAACATTTGATAGAAACGACACAAAACACTGTTGCCCTTACAATCAATGTCCTACAATAGGGCTTAAACATCAGGGGCACCGTTGTTTGAAGGTGTAAATGAGAGTAAACACAGTTTATGTTAAACAGGCGGTTGAGCGTTTGTGTATTTAACCTTGAGAGAAAACTATTGAGAACGAGTCATATAAGGAAAGGTGCTAAGTGTCATTTTGTACTTCAAATGAATCATGTTGTGGTATAATGTAGTAATAACTAATATCTAACTAATTCCACCATGAAATCAGAACAGCATTCTTTCTTTTAGCCCTTGAGGCAGTTTGCGTCAGATCACAGTGACTGATGTTTGTACTGATGATATTGATTACAAACAGAGAACGTTTTTGGAACAAAGACGGCCTTAATGTTCATCAGAGTTGGGAGGAAAAGGGAGAAGAAAACATCCCGAGGCACATTTAAACAAGTGAGGGACAAAACCCTGCTGGAGGAAAAAGAAAAGACAAGAAAAAGACAATGGTTGTCAGAAAGTCACTGTCACAGATAGAACCCTCATGTTTTTGGATCATTCCCCCCCGTGGCTTTGCTCTGCTGCAATAAACTGCGATCGTTGCTGCTTGTAAACTCACATCACTTAGCTTTGTTTTTTTATGCAGATGCATTGTTGTTTAACTAGGCGATGCATGCACTCAGGCAGCATTAACAGCTCTCGTTTTGTCTTGTTTTACTTTTAGATCACACTTAACATTTTGTATGTCTGCTTCACAGAAAAGCCCTCCAGGAGTTTCGGGGGGATAAACACCTCTCCCCTTTACCTGAGAGCACTTAAACTGTGAAGCGTCTGCAGGAGGTGTTCAGCAACAGCACTTAAAAAACATGAAAAAGAAAAAAAAAAAAAACATCAGTCAGTGATAACATTTTATTTTTAAATGTGAATGAAGCTCTTGTGAGTGTGGCTTGACTTTAATGTAGGTCTTTTTGATTCATTAAATAATCAATTAATAAACAACACCCGCGTTCTTAATGGGTCATGTGGGACAGACAATAAGGGCCTACTCACACTAGGCAATCCATACTGTGCCTAAGCACGCATCACTACACCAGTACGTGACTAGTGTGAGTGCTCTGATCCGGGCTCAAACACTGTACACTTCCTTTGGCCCTGGCACACTTGGAAGAGGTGTGTTTCAGCACAATACAGCTCATGCACGAGCACAGGAACGGTACACAACGTGGAAAGCGTCTATTATCGAAAAAAAACTCTGGAGTGTTCAGGCTGTATCCAACTAAAGTGACTCAAAATAAGCCACCAAGTCGGTAAAGTAGCCGTCATGTTTTTTTCTCCGTTGTGCAGACACGGACTTGACCTTGCGTCCCTATTGTTATTTTATATTTTTCTCCGTGTCCGCCTGTCTTGTAAACTTAAGCACGCTTCATGATCACGTAAAGCCATTCATGTGTTGTATTATGACGTTATGTACAAGAGGTTACCATGCTCAGGACCTGTTCGTCCTGGAGCAGTGTGAGTGCAGGCAAATGGGGAAGGGGGTGTTATTGTGCTGAAGCACGGTGCGGGACAACTTTGCCGAGTGCAAGTGCGCCCTTACTCTTGCTGTCAACATGTTTTATTTGGATAGAACTGTCTCTCTGTGGGTTCAGATTTAACAAAAAAAAAAAAACCTGAATGGATAAGGTTACAGTCTCCAGGCTCTCGGTCTTATTCCCTTTGGCTGTTGTTAGCTCTTCAATAACAACAGGTGTGTCTTTGGGACTAACTTGATCTCACTTTCCAGACATCCAAACAGTGTCGCCTGTGTGATGTCACTCACTTTATCAATCGCTTCTTTCCTGTTTGGTCATAGTTACTCTGTGTGCTGCTGAAAAAAAAAACATTATGAGGCTTCAAACTCGAGACACTTGAACAGCGAGTCTGTTGTGTTAGCTGAAATCTCTGGCACACAAAAAAACTGATTCAAAACACTTGGAATTGGAATTGGAATTTTGCGTATGACGCCCAGTCAGTCCATTGGTATCACGGGAAAAGTATGGTTTCCATCAGTTGACCATTGATCAGAAGTTTAGCACCCATGTAACAGAATCATGTCTCTGATTCAGCAGCAGGTATGTGTAGTGATTAAAATGTCTTTATATAGTATACAGCATCATTCAGGTTGGTTTACAAAGTCTTAACTTTAGACACATAACACTATTTGATTAATTATACCTTACTTTCTATCTGTGTTTACAACCGTATACATGACCACAGTTCAGGCCAGACAATACCCAAAGTTCACACACACACACAAAACTCGTCTGCAGATGTAGAACAAGCCAATTGTATGTAAAGGTCCCACTTGGCTCTCTTGAGTGTGTTGCTGCACGTTCAGCACAAAATGTTTACTAATGCAGAGTGATTCATTGATTCTGTCCAGCAGGCCATTCGTCATTGAAATGGTTTGTTCTCAGGAGTGGCTTAGGTTAATAACAAGATTTATACAGAAAATGTGAATCAGAGTGATAAAACACAAACGGTCCTCTAGAAAGTGTCCACAACAGGGGTTTTCTTCTGCTTCAGTTTACAAAGTGTCTCTTTCTGTCTTAGTGTGATTTGTGTATTGCAAGAGGCTTGATAGAAAGCAGGTGAGGTCGATTCTTGAATGCAAACAGTTCAAATGTTTCAGTGCACACAACTTTAAATAAGGGTGTTTTAATTGGTATTCTTGTTATTATCGTCTTAAGAGAGTTTTTTTTTTTTTTAGCCGTTCAACAAAAAAAACAGCAATTGAAAGGATGTGACTCATTTTGATCCGTGGGATTAATACCTTCTTGTATCAATAAATGTCTTTAAACCAACATATTTGTATCATTTATTATGTAACACAAATAAAAAGCTAAGGCACATAACAAAAAAAAGTGAAGATTTAACTATGGAGAAGTATTTTGATACGTGTCATTATACACTAAAACTTCATAAAAACAGTGTGTTTCATGTCTTAAGGATGAGATGAAGACATTATTATAAACACTTGCATAAAAAAAGGCCAAACATACAAATGAGAAGTGGGAGTGCAGCAGAAGTAATTGTCTAACAGATCTCACACTTTGGTCCCAGCACCAGACTGTTCATTAATTGCGCTTACACTTTTTAGTAACATGACAGCACACAGTTCTTAGTATAAGAAACAGTGTCCCTGTGCAGTGCTTTCTAACAGGTCATCTGAATAGGATTGGCAGCGATTTATGGTTCTAATAACAACAACACAGACAGTAGGTGAGTATATGTTATTTCATATCATGTTAGAAAAACAATCAGAGGAGGGTGTCTATAAATTCTGCAAGTCATAGGAGCGCATTTAACTTTTCCTTGGTAAGGTGTCCTAACCCAGGGCTGAAGCTGGCCGTATTTCCCCCTCTGCTTAGAGTGTGGGTGTAGGGGGTCGTCCGGTGGCAGGTGCCCCTCCCTTACAGGGGTAGCAAGGTTTTTCAAGAATGGAGGTGACGGCTGGCACAGGCTGTTTCTCCCATTCTCCCTGGAGGAAGAGATGTATAATACATGTGAGCTCTACTGGCAAAATAATCCAGTAGTTTCCTTAAAATTGAAAAAGCAGGTTAAATTTGGTGGCTGCTTATTTGTCACTGTACAATAACGGAGCATAATGCATCTTTAAGTGATACACTCAGGTGTTATTTGAGTTTAATTTAGTAGGACAGTTTAAAGACGGTGAAGGGACAGTTTCCTACCCTTTCCAAGCTCCAGTTAACTTACATTGATTCATTTGAGTTTCGCAGTATGCCACACTGAATTGCTGTCGCTGATCATTTCTGCATGCTTTGAAAGTGAGAATAGGTTTGCATCAATAGGCCCTCAAAGCAGCGAGTGATGGAAGGAAGAGTGCTTTTATTGATATTGTTGCTGAGAATGTTACTGTGCATCCTTTGAATTCATGGACCTGTGTAGCTCTTCCTTTGTTTGTCTGAGCAGAAGATACGTTGGAGTTATCATACTGTTGGGGCCAAACAGCTGCTTAACAAATATCACAAGATATTGCCTCTAAACATTTTTACTGTAGCAATAAAATAATAGCTTGGCTGTATGCTGGAAAACAGCTGAATTATGTACAAATGGCCCCGTCTGCAGTGATATACAGCCTAGCTTCCGTGCCAGCACTCCGACAGCTTTTCGATAAAGTGGACTGATATCTCCTGTGGCAAATACACTTACTATTGAAAAAACCTCAGACAACCCTGCCTCAAAGAATCTATACTATCCCTTTAATCGATGTCTTTAAGCATTCATGTGCATACAAATGCAGCAATTAATCATTTGTGTAATATTTATCAACACCATTTACCATTCTCACTCATTAAGATGCTCGTTGCACTGTGGAAAATAATTTATTGGCTGTAAATCTTAAATCGCTAACCCCCTAGCTTCACTGGAAGCCACATCAAAGTAGGAAGAACACCTACCTTACTAGCCTAGCGTTGGAGCTGGTGAACCAAATGGGCTAGCATATTTGTAATTAAAGGTACAGAGTCCATGCTACGATACTCCAACTGTGGGGTTTGCAGTAGTGTTGTAGTCAAGATCACACTTACCGAGACCAAGACAAGACCAAGACATTTAGGGTTTGAGACCGAGTCCAGACCAAGACCACGGCCCGGGGCGAGACCAAGACAAGACTATAAATAACAGTAAAAATCATCATCTTGTCACTCACTAAGACCGTAACACCGGGAAGGTAAATGAATTGAAATTATTCATTGTTTTAGAAAGGGCTGTTTTCCTTCTAATCACAGTAATCACGTGGAAAAAATAGCCTGTCAGTGGTGGTCTTGGCCGTTCTTTCAAATCCGGAGTCTGCCCATTCTGATTCCGAGATGAGACCAAGACCTTCAAGTGTTCTCGAGATCGGTCTTGAGACCAAGTGCGATCTAAGGTGCTACAACAATAGGTTGAAGGGCTTCTAGCTAAAAAGAATATGTCACAGGCTGAGCTCCTACAGTACCTACAGTTGGTGCAATGTTCCTCAGCCCCTCCAAAGTGTCCCTTTGACAAATGGGCTGCTCTTCATACAAACTAACACCCCTACAAAGACTGAACACTGCGAGGGGCCTGACTATAATTCTAACTGCTGAATCACTTTGTTATATTTTATGCATGATGGCTTCACCGAAAATACCTACCCTCGAGAGGTGGAACTACTAATTGAATTGATGCCAGCTCCTGTAACACACCACATATTTTGATTAAACAAAATAAATGTTTAAAAAAAATGAATATCCTTGACAGCATTTTAACATAATGTAAGAAGAGAACAAGCAGCATCCCTCCTTTTATTAGCCTCCTCCTGATGTTTGAATTATGTGCCGAATTCTTTGTTATCCTATTCTCTTCCTTGTCAAGCTCTCGATGTCTCAACCCAAACACTGCGTTTGACCTGGTTTGCACTTACACAACTGATGTTATAAAAGAAGATGATCAAGGCCCCCCGACAGGTTTGAACAGTAGGTGATTTATCCACTCTGAACAGAACATTTTCTGTGTGTGTGTGTGTGGGGTTTAGATCACAAGTTAACACGCTTTGATTCAGCCGGTCTGACTATATGCTGTCCAAAGGATGTCTGGCTTTGAACTGGTTTAATTAGTGGCTTGGCTGGTAATTTGAACATGCATGTGACTGGGGACTTACAGGAAAGAGGTGTGCAGTCGACTCGTTGCAGTGCATGGAGATGGGTGCTGTATTGTAAAGGGAGTCCAGCACTTCTCCAGCGAATGTGTCCCAGTGTAGTTGAGAATACTGCTCAGTCACACCGACCTCACCGCACACACACCGGTCATCTCCGTGGAACCTGGATGGGAGGAGACAGAGGGAGAGGGTTGACGGAAAGTCGATAAGAGAGGAAGGCAGAGTGAGATTGAGGAAGGAGGATGAGATTGGAAAAAAGAAAAGTGGACAGAACTAGCGTTGGGAGAACACTTAAAGGACAAAGCAGCAGGATTTCGAGATTAAAAGAAGTAATCACTCTGGTTCCCGGGAGTGAAGTGATGCTGGGGGAAGGGATGAATGCTGAAACAAAACAAAAGTGCTGAGTCACACTGGAGATGGAGAGGAAGAAGCACAAGAAAAAAAAAATAGAGAATGAAGGGCAAGGGAAATGGTTTTAAGGAAAGACAGAGCGTGTACCTGTTAATGAAGTTAAAGTATTTCTGCAGGTATTCTGGGTCAACATGGCTCTTGCACAGCTCCAGCTTGGTGCGAGGGTAGTAGTGAATGTAGTTAACACACATTTCCTCCATAATGCCAAAACCTCCCTGAGGAGAAAAAGAGATTTGGATGGAGGGAGGCGTCGACAGACAGCACAAAGAGCACATGTAGGTATTATGGGAGCGAGGTGGAAGGATTACGAGGAAGAAGATGGAGAGAGGAGAGGGATCAAAGAAGGCAAATTCTCAAGGATATATTCTGTTGTCAGCGCTCAAGGTGAACTTTCAGAATGTAAAAATAACATAACAACTGGAAGCTGTATAGTATATATATATATACATGCTGCTCACCACTGTTGGCTTGCTCCTGTCTTCTGTGTTATAAGTACACTTTGTTATGAGGACGTCGCCCTGCAGAATCAAGCATAAACACAACAACAGCTTTTAAATTGTAAGTTTATCAACCGAGCATGGACAGATAAAGAGTCAATTCAAAGTTCCAGTAGTTTCTTGAATTGAATTTTCGCTTGGTGGAGCTCAGCAGCTGCTTTTGTCTCGTCTGTCTCCCAAGAACTTCCCATTACGGCGCCGATTTTACCGCCTGTCCCCATTTTCCCCTCGCATAAGCACCTTACACAGCAGCGAGGTGTTCTAATTCAATACTTTAAATGCAAAAGAGGGGGGAAAAAAGGAACATCAGGAGCACTTTTCATTCAGAAGGAGTCAGCTGAGCTTGCAGAATAGTAAATTTCCCTTTCTTGTCAGGATGTAGAATATGCTCTGTGGAAATAGAACTACAGCTTTCATACTTACAGGTAAAACATTCACCATTTTCCTGAGAACTCTGATTGTCTATAAGAAAAAAAGACAAAAACAGAAGCAGTTTATTCAAGGGAAAGACAGCCAAGACTCATTCTTTCAATTGCTAAATTTGTCTGTTTGTTTATTTCGACCAACAAACACTGAACCTAGAAATAAGGCTGTAGTCTAAGACATGTCTTTGTCTCTCAAAGCCAACTCTTGTTTCCTCTGAATGTATTTTTGCAGTATGTTTTAATTCAAGGTACAATTACTGTGTACAACACCCTCAGTGTGATAAAGCTGCCTGATCTTAATACTTTACTTGAATGCACCCTCTGTAGCTATTAGCTGAGCGTGCGACACGGTTTGTTAACTTTGCTGAGAACGCTTTGACAAAGTCTTTATTTGCCTGATGAAGCTGCAGCGTTTAAAACAACACCACCTCACAAGTAGATTAGTCTGACATCAACAGCAGCTGGAGATTTTATCAGCACGTTGAGCAGATGTGCTTGTCTGCTTTCTGTGTGTGTGTGTATACACCTACTTAAGAATAATGTGTACACAAAAAGACCGATGTTGTCTGCTGTCTCTTAACAATTTCCATGTTTTTTTTGTCAGTTTTGATGTCGAGCTGATGGTCAGGGAGTTTGTATATTACAGTTTTAAAACTAAGTTGCTGATTTAGCAACTTATGCAAAATGCTTTGATAAAAACACAGGTAGTCAGAGGTTGGATAAGGAATAGGGCTCGGGCACAGGTACGTGTCAAGTATGCCATGTTTGTTTATCATCATGGCTTGTAAAACTGGGACATGCAGATGTTTTTTTTATTTGCACAAATTGATGCTATAAACATGTGAGAGATGTTCATTCCTCTGTACTGTAAACCTCTGTTGTTGTCTAATACGCATAGAAGCCATATGGTCGCAATGCCTGATGTGTTTCCTCATTAAAATAAACATGGACCCTGTAGACTGGATGATGGTTCCTACTAGACAAAAGCCCCATAGGCATATTAATCCACTTCTTGGAATAGTCCTGAACAAAGTCACTATTTACTCATGTTTGAGTAACGATTGATAAAAACTGTAGTGCCCTGCTTTGTCGGGGAATAAGTTTAACTCAATATCAAGCATTTGCTTGAAACAGATGTCAACTTTCATAAAGGATTTATTTTATTTTTATTCATCAGAAGTTGTCAGTAGAAACACATACTTTCAGATTTTATTTCTCAGTTCTTCGTTTTGCTAAATCTTCATTCTAGTGGCATACAGCTCAGTGTTATGTTAAGTCGACCTTACTTTTCTTGTACGTTATAACATACAAAGCACAAAGGTGGATCTCTGCACAGAGGTCCTCTGGGTAAACTGAGCCCTGTTTTTGCTCACCTGGTAGTGTGTACTGAAGTGCTGGTCCTCCTGCACCACCTCCAGCTCTTTACCTCCCCTCACCAAAACTGTCCTCACCCCGCGCCCTGCCAGGTGGGTGTGCAGCTGGGATGCAAATACATAAATCCCCCCGGGAGGCAAGGCCTAGACAGACAAAAACAGATACAACAAAACAAACGTTTAAAAAAAATTGAGCTCCAAGCAAGAATTTTGTGCTTAAGGGACCAGAACTTGAAGAAAAAAACATGGTTCCCCAGCTCAAATATTCACCCAATATTTTTTTAACATTTGAATCATAAATAATGCAGTGAAGGATTTTCTTATACACACAGTCTTGGTACACTTGGAGGTGCAATATCCATTGAGGTAGAAGGCGTGTTGTTTGGGTGGGATAGCCATGATAGGAGTATAAACAAGGCCCAGCTCCATGATTCCTGCGTCGTACCGCCGCAGACTTGTAGTGTAATATAACCTTATTCCTGATGAATCTCGACGGCCTGAATGGAGAATTTCATGGAATATTAAAGTATTTTACATACAGGCAGATCCCTCATAGAACATTATAAGATACCATCCAGGATTACTTTGCAATAAACCAGGCTACTTGATATGAATGTATTGTTGTAATAAATCAGAGAGAGATTATACTGTAAAGACAGAATCTAACAAGTATATTGAGGTTTGTTATGTGTGCTCTCCATCTACTCCTGCTAAACAAACATCCTGCCACATTTTGAATCACCTGGGGTTTTATCTTGCCTAAGCACAAAAAAAAAAACAATTTAGAAGAGGAGTTTTTGAAACCTGCTTAGGAAAAAGCTTGCTGCTGAAACAAAATGACTGTAGCCTGGCAACACTCCTGAACCGTTAAGAAATGTTCTGGTAATATTTTCGAGAGAGGTTTGAAAATTCAAATCAAGAATGTTCCCTGGTGTCCTCGGGGCTTAATTTCAAATAGCTCTTTCAACACCAGCTCCATCCTTCTTTTGTTAACGCCCTTACAAATTGTAGAAAATGTTCTGTACATACTTCAAACAAAATTCTAATGCAAATCACTGAGCACACCATGTTGTGCTTTTATTCTGGCATCATTTTTAATGTGACAGGTATTTTAAGTTGATGTAAATGTTTGCTTCAATATCTATTGAACTGCAGGAAGGATAGAGGGAATACATTTATATAGATTGTAATTAAGGACATCTTTTTCTATTTTTTGATTAATCCCACTGTTGAAGATAGGCCTATAGCACTCGTTGGGAGAGCTACAGAGAATCCAAATGTTGTGTGGGTAGGAGGGAAAAGGGGCATGTGTGACGGTATAAGAATGGATGTGTGTTTGTGTGTGTACTGTATGTACCAGATATAACAAGAGGGTTGTGGTAATGGACCTCCAGACGAAGGAATCTTGAAGAGCCTTGTCCACCCATAGGCATGCCTGCATCAGGAGGGTAGTAAAAAGCCTGAAAGTAAAAACACACACAAACATAGAGCGACCATCATTTGTCCCATTTATGCACAGCAGCTTGTTTTCTTCACAAACTGTTAAGATAAATATGAGTCAAATTTCGGGTGCATCTTATTGCAATAATTTTAAGTACTTTCCCTTTTATTAACCTCACATAACTTTCTGGTTTGTTTTTAAGCATTTAATGAAAGACGAGTCATTAATTTCAGACGAAGATTTCTCTGCAAAATGTTTTCAGAGACATTGTTATAGGCTGATAAATACTGCAAAGACATAGTTGGCATCTATGGAGTCTCCACAGGTGTTTCATTACAGAGGAAAGTTAATTTAATCCGCAGTAGGATCTCCCAAAATTAAATTCCAGGCTTCCCAAACCACCACAAACTAGTCAGAACAATTAGATCGTAACATTTTATTTTCGACCCCGCATAGATAATAGATAACCTCTCTAGGCTCTTCAAGTGTTGTCAACATTTTCTATGGTGACAGCAACAGTTTGTAAGTGTGTTTTTAAATTGTTTAGTTTAAAGTGAATTGGGCATCAAGACATTTGTTTAAATCATTTAAATCTTTGTCTTTCCGGCCTCTTGTGGATGAGCTGGTGTAGAAAATGTACATTGATTATTTCTGCGCATGAAGAAGTAGATCTGTTCTGTGTGGTTGCTCTCTGAGGGATACTGGCTCAACTTGGGAGATCATTTTATTTTTCTTCCTCTTTCAATCTTCGGTTTATGAATTGTTCTGTTTGTTGCAGCAAAGATTATTTAAGAGTCATGTCATGCGCCGGGGGCATCAAATCTCCATGCAATATTCTGGATTTAATATTGATTCATCATCAGTGTCTTCATCTATTTCAGAAGGCAAGCCCACCTTAAGCCTCTTCTGCTGACACATACAGTCTGAAATAGAAGAAAGAATTGTTTTATTTAATCATGTCCTCACAGTCAAATCCTCAGAGACTTGCCTTCCTCCTCTTTCGTGCATGTACGCTCCTCTTTTTCCTCTCTCTTTTGTGTATTCTGACAGTGTTGTATTATTGTCTCTCTCAAACGACCCCCACTTTATTTTTCCTCTTCTGTCCTGCTCTCTGTTTTGCGAGGCCATGCTTCCCATCTGATGTGGTGTTGGGGAGAATGAAACAACACTAGAAAGAGGTGATGAAAGAGGCCTGAATATTTCCCACCTAATCTTGTCTTCACAGCTCACAGCCCACAGAAGGCATCCTGCTTGTTTTTGTTTGGCTGGCAGATAATCCAATCAGAGAGGGGCCAGGCCGGCTGTGATACAGTGGGGAGCGGAGCAGAAAAATATGGTGACAGGCTCACAGATCCCTGTCCTCTTTGCTTTATGTGACCAGGAGGCCGGGTGCTTGCTCGGTCAGCCGAGCTGGTTGGTAGCTAACTAGCCGTATCTATGTGGTAGCAGGCAAAGGAAACAGGTGCCTTGTCTCCTGTTATGTAGTTTCACAGAGGAGCTCTGCCTTGTGAGGGAACAGCATTATTTAAACGTTAAACGTTATTCTCTAGTGGTTGTAATTCACATGCATTTAAACAAAATATCTTACTTGCGGAATTGCTTTTAGCTATAGCCAGCTAAAGCAGCCAAAATTAAGACAGACTTTAGAGAAAGCTGTTGAGACATTACAGTATACTAATCATTGTACTTTTAGTTTAGTTTTTTTTTGGCCTACAGGTTGCCAAACCTTTTTAAAGTCTATTTGAGCAGCCTGTGACACATCAGTGTTAGCAAACAATGTCCTATAGCAAACACAGACTAAAATAAAATAAGCATGTAAAATCGTTTGTGGCCACCTAAAGAATATGTGTCCAGTATGTACTCTTTTATAGTTCTGTTTTTTAGGCAATACTAACTCCTACCTACAGTATAGTTTTCTCCATATAGGAGCTACATGCTACGATATGATCATTGGCAAGCTAGTTGCTAGCTGTTTGTGTCCTTCTGGTTTCTGCAAGTGCTCCACATTGGCTATGTCAAACATTTTAATTTCTTTTTTTCCTGAAACAGCTACCTGCTTTAGCTAGAAAGGCCATTGAGAAAGGCCAAGTCTGAACTTTTATGGTAGTTTAGTTGGTTGACTGAGAATATCAGGCATTATGAAACCTGACTCTCCTCTTATTGTCTTTCTAACCAATTTCCAAAAATATGTTGTTTTCTGTCAGGTTTATGTTGTGTCCATGTAAGTAAGCATGTGAGGGTTCTTCCCACAAACAAACTGTCTTTAGGCTCCTAATAGATTCTTGCTATGCGTGGGATCATCTTTAGAACGTTCCCTGCCCGCAGTAAGGCATAAATATTACTCGCGTAGGAGTTATTGTTTGTCTCTTATAATAGGTACAAGGACTGGAGCAAAATAATCACTTATTCTATTTTTTAATTAATTACATGATACTTGTTAGGCCAATATTTATTTTTAAAGAAAACTTGCCATTGCATCATTTTATTCTACTTTATGTGATGGTGTTTATGTGTATGCTGCTCTATTTTCTAGATAGTTTGAGTCTTTAATCTTTGAACATTGAGACTTAGTTTGTTTATGACTCCAAAGGCCAGTTTTATAATTAAATCTTTGAATTAAAAAAAAGTTAAAGCAGGTGAGAGTTGGGGTTAATTTTGATTGTTAGAATTATCATTATTTTTGGGGCTTTTTATCTTTAATGGATAGGACAACTGAAAATAGACAGGAAATGTGGAGAGAGAGAGTTGGGGATGACATACACCAAATAGGACTGGGAGTCGAACTTGTGACCAGTGCATTGAGGACTGTATAGCTACATGGGGCTTGTATACCAACTGAGCTCAACCAGCCCAGTGCAGGTTCATTTATATGACTTTTGGGTTTGGGGAACCGTGGATGAATATAGTCAGTAGAAGTTAAGTCAACAGATGTGCGTGGGTGTCTGTTTCGCATCATACCTCAGCACCCATAGCCCATGCAGCCAGCACATGGCGGCAGAAGTTGAGCTTGCCCGGCTTCATCTTGTCATCGCAGGAGCCGCTGTACTGTGGAACATCGCGCATATCCGGGGAACACTCAAACACTTCCATGTGGTGCACGATGGCCTCGTTACCTGGAGTTACCACTGACTCATACTGACAGAAACATAGAGAGTTAGGAAAGAAACAGGTTGAAAAAAAAAAGAGAGTGTTGTTGTTTCTTCTGCTGGAAGCTGTGGCAATATAGCTACTGTATGTTTTTACTTGATTTTTTCACATTAACTTTTCTTCTTTATAACTAAAACCCAGCTCTTTGTTTTTGAAAGCCAAGCTGGTAATAATAATGCCTGTTCACAATTTCTATCTATACCCACTCTACTGTGTGCAAATCAACTCTATGTAAAGTGTTTCCAACTATAGATGCAATCACCATAACAATGTGGTTCTTGGGCATGTTTTCAGGCAGCTCCAGTATGAAGCACCAGTAGGTGGTCTCTTGACTTGGTATGATGACATTTGGTGCCACGACGTCAAGGGTCTCCACACCTGGAGGCAGGGTGGGTGACAGCGTGTCCGGGCGGAGCATGAGCACTCTCTGTAATCCTGTGTGGATGCGGGAAAGGTTAAGATGCTCCAGGGAGGTGAGTGGTTGGTCCAAGAGTCCATAAAATATGTGCACAGTCCCCTCCTGAGCAATCAAAAGAAATGAAAAAAAATAACATAACATGGAGACCAGGGATTTTTGTTGGAATTAAACATCTTTCATGGTTATTATTCGGCTGAAAGGCTTTGACAAACAAAGAACTTTTTATTATGTTGTCATAGTGATGAGCGCTGTTACGAGTCTGCAACTTAGAGGTCTGATGCATTACCATGGAAACCATAATATTCATAATGAATTTTTCAGTGCTTACTTTTCATCTTTCTGTCTAGTTTATGTCCACATCTTAAAACATGAGCTCTCCATGATATTATGTCTCATCACTTTTTAATATATGCATCAAAGACAGCAATAGAAATATCTGGAGAACATAATATGGCAGACACACACCCTCCCATGCACACATGGCCACAGACCAAACACACTGTGACTTCTTTAGGTTACACACATGAATACACTCAAACGGCAGCCTTCATGCTGTCTACATCTTCTAAACACCTGTTATCAGTCGGTTCAGGTTTGACAGATGTCGGGGTTTTTTTGCTTTGAGGCTATATGCAACATATAAAGCAACAGGTGTATATGCCCTTGCAGGGAGGTAGAAATACGAAGGTAACATAAGTGTAGGATATACAATCCTATACTTTCAATACTCCAATTTTATGTGCCCTACTACTGAAAAATTCAGAAATATGAACAGTAAAACAATGAAACACAACAACTAGTGTTAGAGAGAGAAACACTTGAAGCCTGGCCAGTTAATGGCTTTAAACAAGGCAAATTCTTTGCATTCAATTTTCTAGCACACCACATTTAACATTTAATAAACTTCAGTGAGTCAACAGATGTGGAGCCATGTTTGCTCAGTTTACACAGCTCATAAAAAAGGGATTACTTTGTCAAATGGAGATAGAGGAGCGAGTCAAGGCTGTGTCAACTACGGGAGGCCTTTAGCATTTAGAAAAATCAAGACATCCATTTCTTTACATATTTTTTTTAATTCTTTAAACTGACTAATAAATTGAGAAAAGCGGAATGATTCCTCTAAAAGTGCACATTGTATAAAGCCAGAGCTAGAGATGGTAAGTAAGTAACCAAAGGTAATTAATATTACAGTTAATATGTCTAGAAAACATTTGTATTAACAATCCCACTTTGAAATTATTAGAACCATATTTTGTCATTAAAATGTACATACACATAATATATACACACGTAAAAGAGAGGCTTTACACACCTCTATGAGATAATCCCTGGGATCACAGGTGCTGAAGGGTCTCTTGAACAGCAGGTAGAATCCGTCAGGTTTCTGTTTGGCTTCAATCAACTCGTAGTCTTGTTGGCTGTCCAATGAAACGTGGCCTTCACTGTCACTCCATGCATCCTGAAGGAGAGGACACACAGTCAAAACCAATTATTATTATAAAAACCAAAAAGATTTAAGATTTCACCAAGTGATTAAAAACATCTACATCACATATATTAATGATTTCGGAAGTTAGATGGCAGAAGACATTTTCTGAACTGGGTTTATTGCAAATTATTTAACCATTAATTAATAAATTTCAGGGCTGTGTGTCTTTAACACCATGTGTGGGAGTACTTTTTTTAAGCTATATAAAAAGGAGTATACGAAATTTACAGACAATGTTTAGAGGGTCATGTTTAAAGAGACATGAAAGCTTTGTGCCAAATTGTCATGTCAATGTTATCATGAAGATTATTATTATATTATATTATTATAATTATTATTTTTTTCGATTTAATATTAGCCACACAATGTAAGTGAATTACTTAATAGTGTAAAATGATGCAATGAAGGAAATAATTGAGTGAAACTGTTTGTATGGTTGGTTTTGTGAAACCTTTCCTGGCTATTTAAAAGACTCTACTTCTTAGCCAGGAGCCTTTGCAACAGCTCCGACTATCAGCTCCTGTTTCTCACATACTTATCTGTCCAGAATAGCACCTAAGATCTCTCTCTGTATTTCTGTCTCCTGCTTGGTCCCTCTTACATAACTGTCCTACACCAACTGCAAGGACTCTGAAGAAAACATTTTTGAAAATACACGTAGCGGATATATCTAAAATAAGATATGAGGAGTATACAGTATGTTTTATGTGTGTTACATGTCTGTGTAAAGAATGAACAAGCTATGACCTCTGCAGATGGCTCAGAAACAGAGAGATATCTTGGCTTTATAAGCTTATGTTTAAGGTTTCTCTCTAAAGATGGTTGCTGTTGTAGTGGACACAAAGAGACACAATCTGTTGTGGACTTCTTAAGCGTTTGGACGCAGTGATTGTTCTTCCAGGTGTTCTGTTACCTATGCTACATGGGGTACTTAAGTGTGATCTCTCTATGGATATACTATCTGGAATCTATGGCATCCAATCCACTGGCGTTTGAAATAACACATAGATCAGATTGATCTCGGTTTGTAGAGAATATGTTAATAAATCCTCTTCAAATCCTTGATTCAAAATTTAGTCAGGGTTCCAAAAGGTTTGATGTTCAGACTTCTCTGGGGAAAGAGCTCCGTGTATTTTGACATAAAAATTTGTTAACGGCACAAAAACAGACAAAGCAACATGCACCAACACACCGAGGCGACCATCCGCTGCGCCATATTGGTGGTCAAGAAATTACTTATTCTATTAAGCTTCTATGCTTCCTCCATATGATATAAAAAGGAAACACCCCAAAAATATGTATTGTTATGCAGATGATGCTCTATTTTACATATCAATATGAAACTGGTAAGTAAGCTAGTGTTGCTAACTAGCTTTCTTCCTTCATCCTCCTTCCTTGAATGTGTTTGGTTCTGCTCAAGGTGTCGGCCTGTTAAAAAGTTGTTTTTTTTTACTTTCCAATGTTGCCAAGTCCTAGCTTATTGGTGAATGAATGTTCCGTCTGTCTAAAAATACAAAAAAAAGTGCTGATTTCTCTGTCTCTCTTATAAGAAAGCTTTTACCGTGCGTTAGCACCATATCAATTAAGATTGATTGGTTGTGGACTTGTTAGGTATCTTACTAATTGTAGCTTTTAATGCGTTGATAGAGCCAACAGGTTATTGTTGTTGTGATTGGGTCAACATCTGGCTGACAACCAATCATCATTTTAATCTATTTATGTATTGACCTCATCTGGATAATAAAATGCAGTTTAATCCATTACAACAAGTTTGTTCCCCTTTTTCTTGTATAGGAGTCACTTGATTATTTATGATTGTAGTTTTGAGTTGGATTATAAAACATTTGAACCTTTCCTTTTAATTACTGAAGTCCAACAGGGAGTTGTAGTTTTTTGAGGGAGGTACAAATACCCATTATTCAATAAGAAGAGTCCAGAAAGTGTTACCTTTGTAAATCCCTAGAAATAATCTTAATGGCTTCCGAAGTGGTATCACTGAAAGTCAAACCTTACCATATAAAAGAAAGAGAGAAGAAAAAAATATATTTCTTCTTATCTCTGCTTTGAAATTAAATGACTAAATCCTAATATTCAGGCCTCAGAGGTCTAATTTGAATACATTTATTTAAAAAGGGATTTTGAAGTCTATGAACTAAAGCAAATCTAAAATGTGCCTTGCTGTGTGGGCGCGCGTGTGTGTGTGTACGCGTGCATGTGTGTACGCGTGCATGTGTGTACGTGTGTGAGAGAGAGAGAGAGAGAGAAAGAGAGAGAGACACACACTGTCACTCAACAGTGACCTTTCTTCTGCTGGTGGTTTTGCCCTCCTGAGGGAAGAGAGACAGATGGAACAAGGGAAAGAAGAAAAGTCAGATAGCACAGAGGGGATCAATTTTAACAAGAAAAAGCTTTACAGAGATGTGAGCTACAGTATTATTTTTTTTATCTGCAGGGATTTTAGAAAAGTTTTGAAATTAGGTACAAATGAATGTGGGGGTTAAAGTTACTGATCTTATTAAAGTACGACATTTTTTTGTTTTCCATTATCCTCCTTAATGCCCCCCAATGACACAGTGCACATCAAAACAAATGTAACTACATGTATTAAATGGTATAAAATTAGATTAAATAATTTGAGATCCAAACGCATCACATCATTATCATATCTTAAGGTGCAGATTACCATATAGCAGGTCTGATTTACTGACTGCTGGTGGACTTATTAGATACGAATATGTGTAAAAACTTTGATGTGTCTTCAGGGAACCTTTTTGTTTGAGTCTATAGCGCGGCCTCTGGAGTCCCGCGTGCTCCTTCTGGCCTCAGATCGAATCACAGCAGAGAGATCCCCTGTCAAGGTTTCTTTTCATGTTTTCTCTCTACTGAATACGTCAATAAAAGTTTACAAAAGAAGCTGAAAGATGGATGAAAATAAAATAAATAGTTTCTTTGGGTGTTATGGTTTTATACTTAGTGCTAATAGTCAAAAAGAAATCAAATGAATAAATAAATACTGGTAAGAGTATGTAGCATTAAAAAAAACTGCTGCAGTGTTTAATGCATGCAACAACTTGATGCGTTTCCCAAAAAGCTATTTGAGGTTTTTTTTTTTTTTCTTTCACATTTGACTTGCTTCATAGAAAGAGTTAGAGTTAGAGTCCTCGACAAAGCCACCCCAGGCTCTCTTTTTTTCCCCATATTCACCCTTTAGCTTTCCTATCGATAAAAAAGGCACACAAAAAATCCAAACATACTACAATTACTGGGAAACGCTGGAAAAAATGCCTTGTGCAAAATCACCAGTCAGAAGAGTTTGAAATGTGTTTAATTCGAGGTATTGATGACAGAGATTGCACTGAACTGTTCCGCATGGCGGGCTTATACTCCTTAAAGACAAAAGGGAGCGGCATGCTATACATTAGAAGCTGCTGCTGTGTTTTTATTGGCATTAACTCGCCTTTCTTTTTGCACTGAACTACGTATAGGTCGTGGTGGTGAAGCAGTGAGAAACAACAGATCTGCTGACGACCTTCTTCCTAGTTATGTAAATCATAAATACTATTATTCATCATAAGAAGCTGGATTTGTAAAAACAGGTTGCTCAAGGTCTCAATATGTCATCCATTCATTACATGAACAGTAACCTGCTCTGTTAATTATGTGATAAGGACAACATTTTCAGGACGAAGGAATAGAAATCAATCCTGCTTCTTTTTCACCTACAGTTAGTATTCATCCTGCTCACAGTTTCTCATGAATATTTACATTCACATAGAGCAAATGAAAAGACAAATAAATAGGATTGCTGTAGCAAGATAAATTGTCTTCCAAAAACATTTATCAGGTAATTTCATTACAAAGAACTGTTGGATTTGTGTGGGACAAAATGAAAAATAAGGCATTTCACACATTCTAATCAGCACATGGATTCAATTTTGATATGCTAATATCTGCTAATGATTCCCAGATGAACTTGAGCTATTAGTGCAGTTTGAGTGATTTCCAATTAGCTGGGGCTGATAACATAATTTGTGGCTGTGTGATTGTGAAGCAAGCTGTCCTCTCGCTCCTTGTACAAAAACACCAGTCACGAGCCCGGCCGGTACCACAGATAGCTCCGCTCCTCAAGGACTTCATGTAATCCCTGTGCATTTAGGAATTTAACAAGTGAAATGTGGGAAAAAGGGTGTGATAAAAGACAAGTAAATGGTTTGACTTCTTATCACATAGCTCCTCTAATTCTAAATTGAAAAGCTTGGCTTCTTACCCCAAAGTAGCTCTTACTTCCAGAGTCCCACAGCACCACCAGGTCAGCATCGGTCAGATCCCCACGGTCAGACATCCCCAGGACGACGCCATGTTTCAGCTCCTTGACCCTCAGCTCCAGGTACACCTCCTTGTTCGCATAGCTGATGTTCCAAGCAAGATGGAGATCCCCCTGTGGGTCAAGGGGCACACGAAAAGGCATGGGGAGATATGGGAGAGGGATGGATGGGTTTAGTGGAAGGCTGGACACTTCAACAGCATTGGTGGGAGCCTGATAGGAAGCCACCAGGATGACCATCAGAGCAGCCAGGGCGGTGAAGTACACGATGGTGACGTCCTGAAGACGAAGGTTCTTATTGAAGACCCTCATATCCCGATTATGAATTCTAATCTTTTTTTCTGGGTTTTTTTTTTTCTCCTATCCTCTCTGTTTTGTCTTTCAAGCTTACTCACTTTCTACTCACAGCTAGAGTTGATTTGGAGTTCAATCCTGAAGTTTGGAGGAGAGTATCCTTCAATTCTGTTGTTCTGTAAGAGCGCTTGCTCTCCAAACTCAAACACTCTGTGGATTCTTCTGCTCTGCTTTCAGGCCTCAGTAGACTCTGTATCTCTCTCACAGTGGTCTGGTGAGTGTGTGCATTCTGTTGCTCCCATGTTTTTTTTATCCTTTTAGGCCCGCAACATTTACAAAGTTGCTTTTCATCCAACGTTTTCCTTGTTCCTAAGCCCTGGTGGGTATTGTCTCTTCCTCTGAGCGGTTGCTCTGTCTCTCTCTGTCTCGCGTTGGTTTTTAAAAGACTCCTCCCTTGAGTGTTGTCTGTTTGTATCCTGCCTAATGGTATTAGATTTGTTGAGGAAAATTGGATTGTATCCTTTAAGCCCTGGGGTCAACCATGATTCTGCACATCTGCCAGTCCCTAATTGATCCAAATTCAACCATGGACATTATCAATGACAATCTGCTTGGACTAACAGAACTTTATACCCTCTCCATTTCTGTCTTTTTTTTCTTCTGTGGTCATCATGATGCTTCTTCTTTTACGTCTTTTGGCAAAATAAATCTTCAAATCGCATGTGTCACCTGGCTTGTTGGGTATTTGATTCAAAGAAGGCATCATTAAGTACTTGCGTAGCAGTCAACAAGGCAATAATGCGTTCGTCCTGCCGCCTGAGGCTGGAGAAGACCTAATTAAACTGCCAATTAAGGCTTTCAAAAGCAAGACGGACACATTCAGGTTGGTTTCAAAGGTCAGTAAAGCCCCTGTAGGAAACTGTGTAATCTTGTCATCGTGTGTGTGTGTGTTTATATATGTTGAGAGACAGGTGAGTTTAAGTGGACAAATGGATTTCAAAGGATTACAGAGACATTAAATGCTGGTCTTTGGCCGGTGCCTGCCTTCTGCACACATTTGAGAATCAATACTGTCTAAAAAGATTACAGGCAGGGAGGTTAACATTGAACCAATTTGGGGATTATCAAAAAGCATAATGCAGCCAAAGAATGAACTGTAGAAAATGTTTAATTTAGTCAAATTATCAGCCTTTCAACTGTGTGGCTGATTTTCTTTTTTTGCCAAGTGTGCATTGTTGCACCTGTAACACCAATTCCCAAGTACAATAAACTTTAAAACAGAGCTTTGTAACACTCAGCTTCTCTGTGTGGTGTTATGAGTCTTCATAGTTATTTGGGTTGTAATCTCTATTAAGAGTTTCTGCATTTTTATGTTGAATCTGTAGGTTACCTGATGGGACGCAAAATTTTGGTGTTGGACGTTTTCTAGTTCCTCTTTGTAGTACAAGTAGCGAGCGTTTGATGTGGCATTTGCTGTGTGCAGGTAAACAGCCTGTGGGGAGCAAAAGGGCCGGAAAGCAATTCTCCTTAATCCAATCCTAGAATCCATCAGCAGTCATCTGCCATTTGCCTTAAGTCAGTGTCTATAAACAAGATATCTGCAAGCAATTGCAGCCAACAGTCTGTTCCAAGACATTTTCCTTCAACAACAATTCTATTCTTGCTTCTCAAGTTGCTACTGGAATACTAAACAATTGCAACTCAAGGAAATAAGACAGGCCAGAAGTCCTTTATTACTAACCATTGGCTAGACCAGAAGTCCTGAAAAGCTGGCCTTTGCTGAATGAATGCGAGAGTTTTGGATCTACAGATTGATGGATGGTGTACATGAAATTAATTCTCATCTGTACACTTTTTCTGAACTTCCCTTTTTTAAGTCCTGGTCTAGATTTTCATTTTCTGTGATTTTCAGTGAACGCTTGTCATCGAATGTGCTGTAGGTGGAGTACAGACTCTGTGGGTTGGAGTCAAATTTGTACATGACGTCAAAACACTGAATCTGTTTTACAAAAGAGGCATGAAGCATGAGAGCAGACGGCTTGGTATCATGTTTGTTAATGTAATAAAGGCCGTTTGTCCCTGAGGGCTTAAGCAGAGATGCGCGTTTGTCCTTCTAATGTCTCTGGCCTTCACATGAGTCTCTGTAATCTTCTCTTTCTTTATAAGTCTTCTATTGTTTCTTTTCATCTTCCATGCCGTCACACTTCTACCTCTTCAGCCGTCTGTCTCTCCTCGGTCACGCTCCTTCTCTTAATGCTGATCACCGTCTCCCACTCTCCCTGCATTTTGATTTCCCCTCACAAACACACTTATCTTTCTGCTGCCGCTACTGATGTGTCAGCAAACAAACACTAGACAAGACACGTAGAGTCGGCTCTGATCCGGAGGGAATGGCAGGAAAGGAGGGGGATTGAGTGGAGGTTGGGAGGGGAAGAACAGATTTAGGGAGAAAGAGATGCTACTTTGTGTGTGTTTGTTTGTTTGTTGATGTAAACAGCCTGGGGGTCTATGTGACATTATCCTGCCTAGAAAAAGCCAAAATATGGCCCTAAAATATTTCCCATCATGCATTGCTTTTTGTTTGGGAAGGCTATTCAGTTTAATTAAGAATCCATTGGGCATTGGGCAGGCGGATGTTTCTTTTTTCTGACAATATTGTGTGATTGGTGTTTTCATTGGTTGTTTAGGATCCATCACAATACCTGTGTAACACAAAGAAACAAACTACTGGCGGTGAGCTGAAATGAGAGTTGTGTTATAAACATTACATGCACTAATAAGTGAAGTCTCACTAACGTACAATAGCATTGCTCCAAATAGCAGTTCAGTGTTTCCAGCCACAAGAAAGAGGAAGTTAAAGTGAAATGTGAAACATTTTATACTGTTTGAAAATTGCATTCTATTGTTTAAAGGTGGAACGATGTCTTTGATTTTGGTTTATTGTAGTATTGTAGTTTAACAACAGTGTCTGGTGGCTTTTAAGAGAGCCATGTGATGGCAGTTTTCATTCTTTTATCATACCTCCCTAATGTTGTATCTTTCAGTCTACTATTGGTATAGGGAAGTACTGTCATTACCTTATGACCAAGTAATCCAATACTAAGAAATTATCAAAAAATGTTTTACTGTTTAGAACTGTCAGTCTCCACTGGTTTGTGCTTGAATCTAACTAGTACTTCTATGACCAGTGGCGACTCTGGAGTCTGTTGGGGCCCTAGGCAAAATTAATTGGGGGCCCCTCAAACCACCTATATCGGCCAGTGTCCCGACGTGCTCTTCCTCTTTTTTTTTTTTTCACTTCCAGACAGATAATTCCTCTTCATTTTCCTTCAGTGACTTTCACTGACGAACTTTGGTTTTCACAGGAATAATCCATGAGATGCTAAAGCGGTACGATGAGAGACAGTGCTGTCAGATGGGGCCCCATTAGGTAGGTTTCCTACTGTCAGTGCAAAATTTGCACATTTTGAGCTACTGCTGCGGTTTTCAGTTTGTGAGCATTCGAGGGCCCCTCACTGGCCTGGGGCACCAAGCAGTTGCTTGCCTTGCCTGTTGACAAGCAGCGCCTTTGTCTGTGATATGCAAGTGTCACGCATCACATCTTGCACAGCATCTTATTATTACCTTTTTTGTTGAAGTACTACCAGACACGTCTTTTTCTGCTCACCAAATTCGTAGCCCATGAAAAATTGTTGTGCATCATCATCTGAAAAAAGACAGATGCCGCTAGGAAGTCAATCCAGCGGTAAGCGTTGTACACCCTTCAGGCAAAACTTTATTTTCCGTGCTGCGTTCACATTAGGGTCCATGATACCCTGGAGTTACACCCATTCATCTGTTGAGACTCGTTCAACAGTAGACTACAAAGTACACAGCGGCTTCACTCTGGCTTCCTTCAGCAGAATAAGCCAGATATGACATCATTTGCTGATTTGTAAAAAGTAAAATGTCAAGCTTTGTCAGGTCTGTCCTCAAGAGGAGAAGAAAAACAACTTTAAAAAAAAAAATGTGTTTGTTGAGTGGAGGCCAGAGCGATCATTTCTGATGCATTTCAGGAAGTCAGGGAATCTAAACGCTGATTTGCCTTTCTGACAAAGCAGATCTGTCAAGCAGATCTGTGGCTCCATGTAAAATGTTTGATCTGTAATTTATTGTAATCTGGACTTTATGTAGTTATCTGTTTATAAAGACAAATGAGTTACCGTCAGAATGCCGCCAATGGGAGTCAGTAAGTTCAAGCCTGCGTTTCGCTGTCCACACAGACTTTTACCTGGTCACAGCTGACATGTGACAACGTGAAGCAAGCTGAGTTGAACAATAGTAGCCTAATACAATGCAGATGTGAACGTTGAATAATGACATCAACAAAGAGTGCTCTAGTAAGCGTAAAAATAGGTCCAAGGTTGAACAAATCAGGAATTAATCTTCTCTAAACGTGATTGTCTTTGAAGCGTTCCTTTTTAGTTTTTGAGTAAAAAGGAATAATAGCTGTAAATATAAGGTGAGCCGTCTCCTTGCTGCAGGCATGTGCACACACACACATACACACACAGAGAAAGAGAGAGAGTGAAGGATAAAAGCAGAATTCACCTCAACATGTCCGATCCAACCATCTCATTCTCTCCTAATATAAATATTTTAGCGCTGCACACTCTCAAAGTGCACTAATCTCCACTTCTGTGAGTTTGAATAATGAATGCAATAAAAACTCACACTGCTACTCTTAAAGCGGCCTGAAACTGCCCTTGGTCTTATCTGAATGGTCGAGGCGAACCCCTGTAAGGATTGGATGATTTACTGTGGAGGAGACAAAGAGTGAAAAGTTTGGAGAGGTGAGAAGTAAAGTGGGGATGGAGAAACAAAACATAGGCAAACCTGTACAGGTTGAGGGGCTGACAGAAGGGGGGCATTCTGTGCATCACATGACAGAGAGTAACAAGAAGCCTGGGGATCAGTCTCTGACATCCATGGATGTATTCCTTACACAGGCTGTAGTCAGAATGAGGAACACAGAGAAAAATGATCCTTCCAGGGACAGTTGTCTCCGTAGTCCTAATGAAACTTAATGAACAGTTTGTTCCAGACATAAGGAGACAGTTTGTTTTTCCACCTTGGCCAGAGGACAGGTGTAATTTTTTAATTATCTTTATAGAGTTGGCTGCCACATATGCATATAGCTGATAAACTACTGTGACTGCAAGGGGGAAGCTTAATAGATCTCCTTTAAATGCTGCAGCAGGCTTCTGGCTGTCAATGTAAGAGGAGGACAGGTTGACTTTCAGGCTTGGGCGGCTACCTCTTCATCCCATCGATCTTGAACTTCTGTTAATTCTCCAGACTTGTGATGATGAGTTTTAGACACAACACATTCTGTATGAGGAAAGATAACACGTCACATGTTCTCTTCAAGGTTTACCACTCAACAAACAATTAAACGTATTACACAGCCAATAGAGCAGAGATCTAAAAGCGGCACCTGACACATGGCACAGCACATGGACGTGCTGTTGGCCTGCAGGCAGGGAGCCAGCAACATAACACTCATATTTTACTCCAGAATCGCCAATCTAATTCACCATAATTCACATGTACATTATTACCAGTGGACTTGCTTTGCAACGTTTACTGCCGTAAATGTGTAGCCTACATAATTTAACGCGAGTGAATGTATAATGACTTAAGAGTCAGGTGCCGCTTTTTGATCTTGATGTTAATTCTGCTCGCTCCAGCTCCTCTCCATGAAGCAAAACATTAAGCATTGAATAAAATATAATGTACACCTTATCAATGCACAGTAAACTAAAAAATAAAAACACCAGCTGCAGCTCTTTAAACGCTTGGTAGCTTAGATGCTGTAGGCCAGGGATGGGCAACTTTGGTCACAGCAAGGGCCACATTAATTTAATTCTCACTGCCAGAGGGCCAAATTGTAGTATACAAAAACGATTAGTCAATTTTGTCTCCAATTTAATTCAACATATGCCAGTGATCAAATATTATTATGGACATGCTTCTGGTTTTCACGATTTCATGGCAGATTTATTCATGTTTTCTTCATGTTCACAAATAATTGATGTGTAAAAATTGACCTGAGCGCCACATTGAGGGTTGATGGGGGCCACATGTGGCCCCCATCAACCCTCAATGTGGCGCCAGTTGCCCACCCCTGCTGTAGGCCTACAGTCACGCTTACAGTTTGGTACATCGTAACATAAAGGACAATTAAAATACTCACAACAAAATGAATATATGACTTTGAATAAATGAACCCACCTCTTTTAGGGAAAACCATTCAAAAAGGAATTCACAAAAGTACCACAGAAGACGAAATCAGAAAGGCAGAGTTGCACCTACAAAGTTTGAAGTTTGTGTATGTGTAGCAGTCACTTTTTTTTATGTTGCCTAGTTTATTCTATTTTATTTTTTATTTTTTATTCTGGGGGGGGTTACCCACAACCCCCCTTGCTAATGTCTAAGCAGCCGAGCTCACAGACCTCTGCTCATAAGTCAAAAAGGGACCTCACGCGGTAAATAGTTCCTCTTTTTTCCCATCCCTACCGCCTCTCCCTCCCTCCTCTCGCGTCTCGTCTCTCCAGCACCCACAGCCAATCTGAGCCTGTGACTAAAGCGCCATCTCTCCGGCTCACACTCCAGGCTGCTGCGTTTACTCGCTGGCTCTGCAGGGCGCTAAAAGCCACCTCTGCATTTAAAGCAGAGGGTTTCTTTTTCTCTCTCTCGTCGGATATCGCCCTGCAGGAATCAGCCAAATACACGGAAATCAAACTACCGTGCATGAAATATACAGTAGATGTATTCTTTTGGATTACAGACACTTTGAAGCCTGTTCGCCAAAGGTGGGATGCTAGAAGAGAATACTGGAGGAGGGGAGACGATAGATTAACAGATTGTTCAAAGAAAAGAAAAAAGAAAACGGAAGGGATATAAAAGCACCGCCATCGATTTCCGGAGCTTCTCTACAACAAACACCTGACCTCGACCTACTCGGACGATTTGGGAGAGATAAAAAAAAAACTGGTTGTTGAAATGGAGATGTCGAGATTTTCTCTCATCATCCCGTCTCCTCCTCCAGCACGCGTGCTGCTGAGGCTGCTGATGATGATGATGTTTGCGTAGGAGTGTTGTATTTTTGCGGACGGCGTCGGTACACCAGTCTCTCTACTGTTCAAACAACTCCAGACAAGCGCTGGATGGAACTGCCTGCTCCGAACACATCTCTCAAGAAATACTATTTTAATTAATATTGAAAACCGGCTTGTTTCCCCCTCTCTCTCTCTCTCTCTCTCTCTCTCTCTTTGGAGTGTTTTTCTCATGTCTTTCTGTGAGTCTGGGATGTTTTGCAAGCGGATGAAACGGATTGTGTCTGGAAAAGTAGTCTAAAGGCAAAGATTAAGAAAAAAAAAGCGAGTTTTGTATTTTCTTTTTCCGTTTTTTTGTTAAATTAACTGTTAAAATAGGTCTAAGACTAATCTGACCTTGTTTTTACGCGTGTGTTTTTCTGATCACTTTATCAACACTGAGGGCTTTTCCCCCCCTCAATATTGCTCTCAATATTCAGTGACTGAGCTTGAAACAAACTACAACCAGCAGAGGTCGAGACCTGAGCTCCAAGGAGCCACCAGTACCCTAGATGTGACCCTGTGAATTTCTCTTATCTCTGAAGGTAAGATCTTTTACTCTTTAAATACAGAAGCTTCTGTATCCATTCACCAATTCTATTGTGGGATTTTTACGAGCAACTGGTTTAAAAAGAAGAACAAATAATTGCATAGTCTATGCTTGTTGAGTCATGCATTCGACTGAGAATCTGTTGTGATTGTTTGAACAATACATTGCTCAGAAAAAAAGGAGTAGATAGATAGATAGATAGATGGAAGTGCAGCTTTCATTTCAGCACCATGGACAGAGCCAGATTTTTCTACAAGCGTTTGATAATCTGTTTTTCTTCTCCTTATTTCACCCCCAACATTTATAATTCATTTTAGTCCATATACCCAGCATACAGTATAAAGTACCTTACAGTGTGTTGCTAGGAGCTTTAATAAAACCATGGGTGAGATACAGACAGACAAACGTTCAGAGAGATGGATAAGAAAGAGAGTTTGAAAGTGAGGGAGAGGTTTTTAGTGCTTTGTATGACAGACTCGCTGGCTGGTCGGCTCGCCACATGCCGACAAAAAACAGCATGGCTTGTGAGCGCAGGCTACTGTCACCAACTGTTAGCCATGGTCACATCCAAACTGTTTTTGCTCCAGATATTTTTAGGGAGGGAGGAAATGCATTAAGGCTGCGCAAAGTAAAAGCATTCCTGTTGACTGACTGCAGTTAAAATGACAAAATATTGTAGGAAAAAGAACCTATACAGCATACGACCCTCAACATACTGGGTGTTTTGGAAATGATTTGCTGATTGAGGTAACAGCTAACCAGCTCAAAGGTGAACCCACTTGGTGAACTGGGAATTTAAAAAAATGCATCTTCCTTAGTATTTCAATTTCGCCTATCAGACGTAGAGAATATCTATACTATAAAGTGTCCTCCTCTGTAGCAGAAGTATTTCATAAAGTGATGGATTTACCAAGTCTTGAACAAATAACACTTTTTCCTACGAACCAGATCAGAAAAAATGCTTTATAATGCTCCCACATCCCTACCCGAGAGAGTTTAAACTTCCAAACATCATTTGGCTCACACTTCTGCTTCAGTGCAATTTTTAGCCTCTGTTTCAGCATAATGTTAGCGAAAACCATCATAGGAAGAACAATATTCATATTCTCCCTTATATGTGCTCCTTTACAATCTAACTTGATTTGGAGTTGATTGATTTTGCTTCACTTAGCTACCCCCCCCCATATGTTAACCTCCTTATGCATTGAAAAACTTAAAATCTAATTTCAATGAAGTCACATTAAACGTATAACATGGCACTTTATGTACAGCGTAGGTCTAGCTCATACTCTTTGTTAGATTATTTACCCAACTGAATCCACCAATGAGCAAGCACAAATGTTCTACTCACAGGCAGAAACCTCAAGAAGGACCAGACTCATTGGTGCACAGCCATCTACTGCAACAAATAAATTAATGAAGTTATGTGTAGATGCCTCAAAACTAAGCACAAATGTACAAATGCACCAAAATGTATCTTTCAGAGCAGAACCTTTTGAGCGTGTGACCCCCAAATGAAGGGTGCCAGAAACTGTCCCTGGAGGTGACTAAGGCATGTAATGTAACGCACGGCAAGGCTCTGTATGTTTTTAGTTTTGAATCTAAAAACAATGATAATACTCTTACTGGCTTTTTCTTTTTACAAAGGTCAACAACTTACAAATAACTGTGTTAAAAATGATTTCCTTGACAGTTTTTGACAGCAGTGTATCACTTATTTTTTCCTACGAATCCTAGGGGGGCTCAGCTTTGTTTTAGATAGAAGTGTGTGTGTGTGTGTGGGGGGGCTGCAAGGGAAAAGGTTAGGAACCACTGTTATAGATGATTGTAGATCATCCTGCTGGTAGAGTTATATGATGGTACTCCAGAGGCCTGTGGTGACACCAACCCTCTACAAAGATGCTTAATGTTGTTTTTCCACTAATTTCCCAGGGGCAAAAAGGAGCTAAAGGTTGCTAACTAACTCAGATTGATACCCAAGCGTTCTCCGCTGCACATGCTTGTTCATTGAACTACAAAAAAAATTATGTCACTGCTTATTTTCTTTGCTTTAGCATCAGAGTGACAGACTGTGCACACACTAGATAGTCTTGACAAAGTATGAACTTAAGCTAGCTTAGGAAATAGCAAGTGGGAATCATACATGCTGTGCCTTAAGAGGGCCCTACCACAGTGAATGACAAGGCGGGGCTTATGTTCCCATGGCGACTTCCTCAATGACCCTCGAAGCAACCTTGGCCCCCTGGGAGATCAGTCATACTCCTTCCTGTGCACACACACACACACACTCACACACACACACACACACACACATACGCTTATGTCCCCCTCAGAGCGCCACTATGAGTGACTGTGTGTTTCTTGCCTCCTTGCTGCTGATGCAGGGAGAGAGACGAGGAAGAGAGCGAGGGAGTTGAAGGACAAGCGGATGAGTGGGTTGGAGAAGCAAATTTCAAAGAGTGATAGGTGATGAGAAAAAAAGATGAAGAAGAAAGGTGTGGAGAGAATAACAGATATAAAGCAGAGAGGGAAGAGAGGAGGAGGAGGAGGAGGAGGAGGAGGAATGTTTAAGAGTGAATGTAATTACAGAGGCAGCACTTTTTTCTAAGCATTTAAACTGTACTCACATTTCAGCTTAATTACCTTTTAGAATGCACTGTTGGGAGGAGGAATCATGATAGAGCTGCCTTGGTGGAGATAAAGAGGAGAAGTGGTTGGATGGGAACTTGGGGGGGGGGGAAGGGAATATGGCTGCTCAATGATCATGTTAAACAGTCACCACCCATTCCCATTCCCCCTCCCCTCCCCTCCCCCCCTCCGGCACAGTGATCTCTCTCCGTGCTCTCCCCCTCGCAGCTACACCCTGACATGCTCACACATCACGCTCATGCACAGATGGGTCCCTGTGCAGACACCAGTATCGGCGCACACTTACACACAAGCGCACATGAGCCGTTGGTCAGCTGCCCTCATCCCGAAGAGTGATTGTAAAAATCTGGAGCTCATTCTGATGAGTAAAAAGGGAGGCGAGGGAGGCAAGAGGGAGAAACCGGAAGCGGTTGAGGAAGAAAAACAGCAGCAGAGGAACAGCTGTTGTTCCCCTATACATGTACATTCATAATTTCCATGCATTTACAATACACAGTGATATGGTAAACACTGTTTCTCCTCCATGGAATTAAAATTAGATGGGGTTTTTTTTCTCTTCAAAGATCTGGCCTCGTTCCCATAGTCTTGGGCATCCTTCCCTGGGGTTAAAAAGTCTTACTCAGCATCTTAATTGCTGAGTAATGACATCACTAGACTCGTTAGAATTAGGCCAAGGAATATTAGCGTTCAGGGATCATACAGGTTGTAAACAAACTCCTGTGTTCCCAAACTTACTTCAATAAACGAGTTTGAAATTAAAGTGCTACTGAACTCCGCATTTCCCCCCCCAAAAAAACTGTGAGTAGCTTTTATTTCGTCTTTTTTGGTGGCCCCTGAGGTTGTTTAAACTCTGAACTGAGCCGACCCTTTACATGTGTGTGTATAGTATTCTCTTTCTAAGGTCTGCTTGCTTACTTTTAACTTTCTGATGTAGTAAACAAAAGGGCACAGTTACAGTGATGACAAATGGGAATAACTTTCTAGATATTCTCAGTCTTCTTTCTGATGATGTGGTTTATATTTGTAGTCTATACAGAAGCGTCAGGGGCAAATGAAAATGTTTCCTAAGCATTTTAAAAGATCTCACAGTAGGGCTGCCACTTGAGTGGAATGAGCAGAGTATATACAGAAGCTACAGTCCTCAGTGTATCGGCTGTAACATCCACGATATCGATCTCAGCCCTTTGATGCATTTCCACCCCCACTCTTGTCTGTGTAGGTTCTCAGTCATACAGGTCAATTCAAGGCTTGTTCCAAAAGGCAACAGGACTGTGTTGAAGGTCATGAAGGTGTTTCACTTCTCCGACAAAAGGCTTCTTTAGTCCTAAACTGACTGGTGGAAGGAGTTTAAATCTAAGCGTGCATGGATCATATGTATGCTTGTTACAAACAGCCCCACTCTATTTCCCCCAGCTGGCTTATCAATAAAAGCAAAAAAAGACCCACAAAATATCTTTGAAAAGTCCCCACAGTAAAATCCTCACAGGTCAAAATGGATCCTGAAGGTAGCACTGCAAAGAGAAATAGCTGTCTAGGGACTGCTTGGGTTTAAATAGAACAATAAACAAGATAACATGGTTCAACTGGGGATAAAAGAAGACGGACTTCTTGAACCGGTGGTGTTCCAAGATCTAGTGTGGGTTTAGTAAATTGACTCAAAGCTAACATAAGTGTTAGGAATGATGTTTCTAGCTTTAGATACGAGAAAACACCGCAGACATTTCCTATATAAGCCTCGCACAGCTGGCTTGTCTGTCTACATGGCCTGCAGCATTCTGAATAAATTACACAGCACTTATGAAGGCAGGGGGCATACTGATGAGAGTTACTTTAACATTTGCATCATGTCTTCAAGTATAACTTACAATACATACAGTACTTTTCAAAGAAGCCGGGGGGTGTGGGGGGGTGCGCTTTCTCATTATAAACTTTATGCTCCAAAGCCTGCACGCTCATTATGGGAAAGTGTAGCTGTATCATGTTAAATTACAGACCGAAAGAGATAGCAACATGGTGCTGGTGGAAAGTGACGTGGCAAAAATAATTTTAGAACAAGTGAGCTCAGCAAGGTGTTTACTTACTCTGCTGTAAGAGTTGATCACAACTAAAGTGTGCATGAAAAGAGAGACTCACAATCTTAAGTGTTCCGTCTATATTTTATTTAACAATTTGACCCGACTAGATTGTTGTCAGCTTTCGAGAATATCATGCAGTTTTCGAGCTCGAAAAAAAAAGTTGGTTCAAGTACAATAAAGCCAGAACTTTTAAGCTTAAACCACCCACTCAAGACATAGAAAAGGCAATGGTAAAATGTCAGTCTGTAATAGCCCTGTCGCCATAGTAACT